CCATGTCTGTCTGCCTTTGCTTGTGCCACCTGTGCTGTTAACAGTACCAGATGCATATGTCCAAGGTAATACTCCCTCCTGTGTTTTACCTCAGTCTATGTTTGCTTTTATTGACCTGATTTACATGCGAGCAAAAACCTGTTGGTACAAGAAGTGTGTACTAATGCAAGCGTACAAAAACTGCGTACATGTACTTCAAATTTTTCCTCTGTAAATCAGCCTGCTTTAACATACGTCAAGCTTACGCCAGCCCTCGAGGTAATGAACAATCTGAAGAACCCGGTATATTCTTGACGTATGTCACAGCAGGCCAACTAATATATAATGTACATGAAGCAAAAACTTGATAAGTGCATACGCAGTTTTCATACCATCAGGTTTTTGTCTGTGACTGTGAAGGCTGTTCTTTCTGTTTTAACAATTACAGTGGTCACTTTGACCATAAACATACACTGGAAATTTCAAAGCTCTCACACAATTTTCATTTATTAAAGACACACAATGTCATATATTTTGCATGATGATTGTGAAAGAGTATGTTCTCTTTCAAAAGAGGTGAGGCATGATCAAATATCAAGTAAGAACTGAAGATGCCTTGAGTTCCAATGTAAAATTTGCAAACTAACTTTCTCCATTTCAACTGACCAGTTTTCCATGTGTCCCTGCCAGTTTGTAAACCTGTGCCTTTGCTCCTCTTGTCTTTTGCTCCAACACTAAGAAACCTTAAAGATGTTTAATGTTGCTTGTTAGCACCCCTGTCTTGCAGCAGGCATGTGGAATGGCCAGAATTGGAAACTACATGTACATGTAAGATTGTAAGCTGCAACCCGGGCATCGATAATGAACTGCTGTCAACACTAACACATACATATTATGCAATATTTTTCAGCTGGCCGTAAACCTGTGTGGAGTGTTTTTTGATGTTTGCAAAATGTCATAATTATGATGTCACCATGCTGTTGTGTTTTTTTCTTTGCATGATTATAAATGTATAGCTTAACGAAGAACTTCATTAGGTTCTGCCCTTCGCATTCTCACCATAATCTAGCATTAATCAACTGAAAAATTGATACAATTTGATGTATTGTAAAAAAAATGATCACAGTTTCTACATTAAATTTTGTACATTCAGTCAGATATACATGTAGATTCACACACTACACACACACAAGATGAACGGGGTATCATTAAAATCATGCTTCTTTTGCCACTAGCAAAGCAACACTTTTTTTACATCTCCAGATCATCTGAAATTGTAATTTTCTTTTCGACAATATGTTAATTGCAAATCATTGCCCAAAGTCAAGTAACATCGAATAAACAAACTGTGAAGAACAATATTATTAATACAACTTACATCTGTACATGACTTGTCTAAACCCTGACTCTAAATTTTAACTTCTTTAAATTCTTTGTCTGAAACAGTGAAAGATCCCACTTTTTCTGCAATGTGTGGGTTTTGTCATGTTTAGAGGAGGTGAAAACCCTAACTAAGCCAAGGACTACACCTGTTCTTGTTGAATCTAAATTTTACCTTGCCCCCCTCCCCACAGCAGAGAGACGGGCGGCTCTAAACAGGTCCAGGTCAAGAGTCAATGTGATCCAGCTGTCTAACTCTGTCAGTAAGGAGATCGACATCGACGGCCCGCAGGACAGCCCCGTTAAGGCACCTCCCCGCAGGAACAGGCAGCCTGGCTCCGTCTCCGTCCTCCCCCGCGACTTCAATGGGTCCAGCCCACCGGGAGATGCTGAACAGCTTCTGGACAGGTTGAAGAACTTGTAGTCAGACCGCGCCATTTTGTGGCGGATTGTAAAACCACACAGATCCATGCAGATAGAATTTGCTGGTATCTGTGACTTGTATGTAACAACATACTTTGGTAGTACTACATGTATGTTTTATATAGTTTGCTATGGGTTGTTGTCTAAAACTAAAAGAAGACCAATAATTGTTGTACAGGATCAGATAGTTGCCATATCAAACTGTTCTTAAAGAGGTACTATATGTGGCTTGGATTGATCCCTATTTTGGAATATAATGAAATAACAAAATAATGATCGGAAGAAATAAATTTAAGAATTGTGTTTAATTCCATAAAAATTTATTAATCGGTGGAAGGTACTAACTGTACAGAGTGTTGTTGGATATAGAAAGACAGAGAATGGTGGTTGTATAGCTATCATGTATGTAAGAGATAACTGGGGAAGCTGACCATTTTTGAAGACAAACTCAATTTTCTGTCCCGAATTAAGGCATCCTAATCTGTCAGGGCCTGGAATACCTTTTTTCTGCATACCTGCACTGGTACAGGTAACATTGAAAACTGCCTGCACCAGACAATCCCTGAAACAGAGTTCTCAAGGCACAAAGTTTAACAATCCTTTCATGTTGATCTTCCAGTTTATCATCATATTACAAATCTGAGAACCAACAAATCTAGTGAGGCTAAAAGGCAAGACACATCTTATTCAACTACCCCATCCACAAACACTAAAGTCTTGTTATGTTCCATGAAGCAGAAAGAAAATGACAGACATGACGTATGTACCAAACTCAGTTGAACTTGGTGCTTCCAGTCTTACTTGTGTATTTTACATTAATTATTTTGCACATGTAAGTGCCAGTAAACAGTAGTGCATTTTATCCTGCCATCATTGTTGGGATTCCAGTACAGACACAACACATCGCCATCATCTACAGCTACTGTAGTTTTCTTACATGTTACAGTTTATACTCTACTTGTAGAAGGCATTGAGTACGTTTCAGTCAGTATTCTTCTTGCTAGCTTTGTGGAAATTCTTGATATACATTGCACATGTATGATGGAAAACGTGGGTTGAGGGCTTCTGTGTAGTTGGTTGTGGTGTTGTACATGTAGGGCTGTTTTTGTTGTTTTTATAGAAGTGGGTTCATTGTGCTGTGGGTCCCTAGCCTGTTTCCGTACTGATTGTACCTTTTGTGTACTAGTAGCACTGCCTGTACTAGTCTTGGAATTGGTTTAAGACAAGTCGGTTGAATTTAAACTTGGACGTAACGAAGACCTATGACTTTGACCACCATCTCCTTTGTAATGATTAATCCATTAATATAATTGGCCAAAGGTACTAATTGGAAATTTGTATTACTTACCCCCCCCCCCCAAAAAAAAAAAAACTCTTGGTATACATCCTGGTATCAGCTGTTTTTGTGCCATGCTGACACCATCTTTCCAAAATTAGCGAATGGATCCCAAGTGTTGTAACTTCTTTTGCCTCAGAGTTTTCAGGAAGGGAAGTTTAACATGATTCCAGAACTGTAAATCATCATCAGGACATTCAATTTGATAGCTAGATACACAGTATAATTACATTTGTACATATGTGTATGTGCACATGGAAAATACACAGTGCTGGTCTGGAAGCTATTAGAATGTTACTAGTTTGGAAATAGAATTTGCAATATTTGCAGATTTATATTTACATGCTATGTGAAAGTTTAGGACTTGTCGTTCAGTTGCCTTATGTTTGATTGTGAATCTTTAGAATCGTGAAGAAAGTATGAATTTAATGCTGATCTGGTGTTTATAATCTTCTAACCTACTGTCTGTTGCTGTCTTATGATTATATGGGAAAGTTCTTCAAGCCAATAATTTCTCTACATTAAGTGCATGTTGTTGACGTAATGTATACATGTGTTAAAAAGTCTTCTCTACAGCTACTCTTGAATGGAATGTCTGTTTCCATTCATTTGTTAATACCTGTTGTTTGTGGGCATATGGAAATCTGTCTTATCAAGAAAAATTGATATTATTATGTTGGTTTTTTGCATGTCCTTCAGGCTTGCTTCTTTTACATTCCACCTTGGAACCCCCATTGTCTTAATAAGCTGCCCCGACTGTGACTTAAAATGAGCAGAAAAGGTGGGCTGTACCACTATAATGGGGATGTACAGCTATGTACGTGTACTATGACTAGTATCATCATTTTATTTACCTTTCAGTTCTTCCAACTTACCAATATATTCTGACGTGCAAAGATAAATGCATGTATAAGCTTTATCTCATGCATACATTAAGTATCAAAAAATGTATTGTTTACTTCTGTTACTGTTCTTTTCTGTCTTTTTGGTTCTATGTCATTGACTACTGCAAAAAATAGGTTTTCTTTTTACATAAGTGCATAATATTATGATGTAGGAAGAGGTGGGAAAAGAAATTCACGTATACGAATATTTCTGCAGAATTGTCTTTCTATGAACAGCCATCGAGACACAGAAGTCAGTCTGCTTTCATAGGCCAGTTTGTGTACATTTTTTCAGACAAGTTTGAGAAATAAGGAAGTGTTCAGTGCACCCCTCCTTTTGCAATCCAGGTCCAGTACCAAACACTACATGTACTTAAAGGCACCTAGCAATTTCAGGCAGTAAAACTGGATTCCAAACTAAAGACAATTTTCTGGTCATTTTTTTTAAATGTAGGAAGTTGAATCACTAGCATCTGTGATGCAAAAATGATAATACATGTACTGATGGAAAACGGTTGCTTATTTCCTATTGTAGGCTAATAGTACCTACATTGTATCTATTGGTGGTACATGTACCAAAAGATTTAAGGGACTCCTTACGTAGGTTTTTTCTGGGCTGTCTCAAAAATGGTGACAAAATGGCAATAAAAGACTACATCAAACAGACTTCCTCATCCAGAATTTTTTTTCTTTGTTTTGCTGCCCTGAAATTGTATTGGATGCCTTTAAAAATACTTGACAGATACATGCAATAGTTGTGTTGATTATGTCTACTAACACAAGATTTAATACCTGTGGACATGTCGCACTACACAAAGACAACTTCCATTATAAAATCAAGGACTATATTCTGACATGATTTTCAGAACTGAATGTATGTTTGTAACATAGATATTACTGTTTTCAGTGAGAAGGAGAAGACTTTGGATCAGTCAGCCCTATTTTTGTATACATATTAATCAGCCAGCCTCTAAAATAAAGTGCGCTACATCAAAACATTGGAGTACTGTTTTATTGTCAAATTCCATCTTGCAGTTAGTATCATTACAGATTTCTTTACAAATACAAGGGAAACATTGGCCTTATGTGCAGAGCAAGTATTGAGGAATGACTTTAATTCTTTATTTTTTTCTCAACTAAGCACTTGCTTTTTACATATCGCTTTCCTTAAGCTGTACAAATGTGCTTGCCTTCGCAAATGTGCTATCACCACATTTGTACCGAATTTCACGTTGGCAATACTTTGCTAAGCCCAGTTCAGCTTTATTACTACTACCAGTATATGCTTAATTTACAAAACTCTGTCATTGTTAGATGGAAAAGTACACACCAATCTAAAGCCTCTGTCACACTTTCGCTAGCCTCCTTCGCAGTCTTGTTGGGCGTCAGCGTTATTTTTCTCTGAGCGACGCTTTTTTCTCTCAGAGAAATCTCAGAGGTTCACATCTCTCAGAGAAAAAATAACGCCGACGCCCAACAAGACTGCGAAGGAGGCTAGCAAAATACTGTCGAACTTCAGCCATGAGTAGAAGTCACTTTACATGATAAATCTGTCACATTTACATATATTTACATTCACAATAGACAGTACACAAGAATCAAACTGGAAATGTATATGAATACTAAAGTCTTCTTATCATAAGAGTCAAAGACAGCCTTCAGATTTTAAATGAAATGTCTAATGATACACATCAGGTAATTTTTGTACTCTTGACAACCTTTTTGATATGTTAGGGTCCCATATTGGTTCATGTAGATTTTTGCCCATTGTCATATCACGAAAGAAAGCACTGAATGTAACGTTACAGTAAAAATTAATTTGCCTGTGCATGTTATCTTCGTACGTGGATGGCAATCAAAATTTATACACAATTAATGGTGATAATGTGTATTAGGCATGGGATCATGATTAAAATTACCATATTGATTTGGTCACTTATGATCCATACTTCAACAAATTTACTAGCCCTGGAGTCCAGCCTTGTTGGCTTTAGTATGCTTCAAACAATTGGTACCCTCCTAAAGCTAACAAGTTTGGATTCAGGGCTAGACACACCTCGCTTTATAGCCCCTCTAACAAGCCTGGACTCCATGCTACACACATACACACACTTGCTACACGGCCTCTCTAATAAGCCTGGTCTCAACTCTACATATATGTATATGTACCCTAAACCTTCATGACCCCTCCAAGAAGCCTGGACTCCAGGCTACACCCACCCTCCCCCCTCACGGCCCCTCTATTCTCTCCTCCCTGGTGTCCATGAGTGGGACGATCCCGGTGACCTTGTAGGCGACAAACAGCGAGAGACAGGCCATGATGACCAGCAGGCAGATGAGCCGCTTCTGTCCCACGTCCTCCACAAACTGACCCCAGTCGTGGAGAACTGACCGCCACAGGCCGGGGGAGGATGACGGGTGGTCAGGCAGGTGCTCCAGCGTCTCGATACGCTCGGGAGAGTACGCAGCCAGCAGCAGCTGGACATGGGAAACCAGTAGGTCAAATTCAGCTCAACATACATTGTACTGGGAAAGCAGATGGTTTGAGTGGGGGTTCAAGAGGTGGTTCACATCAGAGCTTAGGTAAGCAAGTGCTGGATAGAACACAATGTCATGTAATCTGCATCTTGGTTACATTTTGTCTGACTCTTACCTATTCTCTCACAGGGACACTTCCTGGCCTACACAGCTACATGTAGGTAACCAACTTACCTTCTCCTCCTGCGGCTGCATGTACAGCTGCCTGCTGTCCTGGTTCAGCTGTTTCTCCAGCAGCTGAAGCACCTGCTTCTTTACTCCCCTCCGCACTGCCAGCATGTAGGGGGTCAGTCCATGGCTGTTACTGAAGACAGGGTATAACTTAAGTCAGAAAGATTTAATATGGAATACATACATTACCATATGAAAGATTACACGTACAATGTATGCTAAAACCCAATAAACTCATTGCTGGACGTGGAGTTTTCAATGTTATTTCAAAGACTAAAAGAGTATGCCCAACACAACAGCAATATTTGTGTGATGTCCTGCAAATGTGATCTACTTTCCTACTACTGAGTCCTAGTGAATGTGGTAAGCCTAGATTTTTGCTGGTGCGAACAAAATTTTTTTAGGTTTGGAGCGTAAATACACAGTTAAAAGTTTCAGAATATATGATTATGAAAAATGAACAAAATTCAAATGAGAAATTCTGAATTGCGTGGCTTCTGCATGGCTTTTGCACACATTTTAATCAAGAAATACACTGCTTTTAATCGCATTTTGCACAACATTTGATTGTAATTTGCACGCGTACAGATGTGCAGTTACTGGATATCTGTTCTGTAAGAGAGTTACCAGATGTCACTCTGCAGCCCACAGTCTATGAGGAACTGTGTAGTGTCCACGTGACCACACATGTGCATGGCCGTGTTCCCCTGCTGATCCACAGCTGACAACTGCACAGAGAGAGATGGGGAAATGTTTTAGTTCACAAAATATTAAGTCAACCATCCGTTGTAACCACGTGTATACATGTCAAGGTTCAACCAATGTACATGTAACATCTACCATACAATGCTGTATGTAGTGTGGTATCATCTACAACAGCTGAGGGCTGTACCACACTGCTTTCTAGGAAGGTTTTCTTAGCCTGTATTGTGTATTATGATATCAACCATCTTTTTCTTGTAGTGTTACTGTTAACATTACATTGTACTGTTAATGTGATGTCTAAAATTCGTTGTCTAAGAATCTTCAAAAGGTTTGGAATGTAAAATTTCTTGTTAATGTCTATTTTCATCAGCCATGGTGCCAGTTTCTGAACCAAGTTTCATGTCATCTTTAAGTTTAAGACCCCCTCACCTCTGCTCCGAACTCTACCAGGACCCTCATGACATCCTCAGCCCCCCCTACAGGCTGCCAGGTGCAGGGGGGTCCTCCCCCGCGGGTCCCGCTGGTTTGGGTCATGCCCCTCCCTCCAGGAGTCGCAGGGCCGTCCTTACATCCCCCATCTGAAGGGAGGAAAAAACATTCAAACATACGCTATATCATACCCGGTGTATTGGGTGTAATTTTGGTCAATTCTGCAAGAGGGCACAGCTGCAAAGGTGTCTTATCATACGTATGATACTAGTACTTTGTGGGGATATATTGGGAGAGTTGAAACGTTAGGAGAGTATGAACTAATGAAGTACAACACATGAGTATAGTTCGAGCTCGGGATTACTACAGGCAAGCCTTCTCATCCCGAAGATGGTATCAAGGTATATGGGGTTATCTGAACTGTTTTAGGACTGAAATAAATATTTATCGGAATCTTTCTCCTTGCTGATTAATGCACAAATATGGCTCTTAAACCATTCCGAACCGTGACTTACATATTTGTATATACATGTACATGTAACGTTACATTATTCAGTACAAGTCGAGATCGAGAAATATATGAGCTAACGGGGGGTGCCCTAATTCCGAGGTATGTTCTACACGAACGTACAGGTGTTTTGTAAAGGTGCATTTCGCACTAAACCCCTGTGAACTGAGCTTCAATCCTGTACTATGCTTGTAACCAAGATTAAAGCTTTACAGACGTATATTTTTCTCAAGTGAAGCACCTTGCGTCGCAGCGTTACGGCGCACGGAAGCTACGGACGGTTTTTGGTTCGTTTGCTTATGGAACGTTCCATCACAAAAGTGGTGCCCTAATCCCGAACTATACAACTACAGTGTGATTTCTAGATAAAGTGAAGCATTTGAAACACCAAAATTACCACCGAAATACTTGATAACTGTCTTTCTGTCGCAAACAGTCGTCATTCGTTTCATTTAAGCCGATACACTACCGATAGCTGCAGTCCAAAAATTGTCCTGAAAAAACATCACCTTGCCGTTCCTGTGTTCCATTGCACGGTCGTGACTATAGTAAATCTTAGGATCGACTTTTTGGGGATCTGCTACAGCTACATGTGTATAAAAATGAGAGAAACAATCGGTAACTTCCACTACAGTCCGTAAATAAGTCCTGAAAGCCACCACGTGACAACAGTAAGGTGATATCCCAGGTCAGCGGCCGGTACCAACAGAAGACAGCACTTCGGAGAAGGGGAGTTCGAGCCTCCGTGTGCCGCTATTTTGTAGCCGTAATAGAGATGTTTGTTCCAGGACTAAAAGCACAACATAACGATTCATCAAAGGTTTAATATTACCTTAGTTATTGGCAAACTTTATCAGTTTTGGTTGTACGTAATTATCATAGCAAGCTATACCTATACTGAGACGTTTGGTATCGTCGTAGTGATGTGTGTACACGTGCTTGGGACTTTTACATTTTCGAAAAAGGGGACCAAGGTGTGGAAGATATGTTGGCTGTTATTTCCATTGCAAAGGTGTATAATTCAATTTACTTGTTACTAAATGCTGCTTAGAAAATCCAAGCTAAACGGGAAACACACGCACAAATGAATAAATAAAGGCAGATAAAAAAAGACTTGTAATGTCGTAGTCCAATCATTTTCCCACGTTTGCGACCCTGACAGAGACATTTTGAACACTGGATACGCACGGCGTCCTTGACAGAATGGTACGTATTTGCCTTTCGTTTGGCACAAATGTTTATTCATTTCTTCATTGCTCTTGTTTTTGTCTTTCATCGCAATATAAGAATGGGTCCGTTGGCTATCCTAAGGCTTCCAAAAACGTCAACATTTTAACAAGGTCACACTTGTGCTTAGCCTATAAACAATGACTTAAACAGTCAACTTTCATTATATACTTATAGAAGTTGACTCTACAAACATTCCACTACGGGACCAACGCCCAAAAAGTCGTTGACAATCCTGACATCCCTCTGCGGGTGGCGAAGTTCCACCGTCCTGGGGCTCCAAGGGCAGGCGTAATGACTTACGCCCAGATTGCAGAGGAACAGTGGATCGAGGTGGGGTGGGTCCGAGAGACGGATCGGCAGGCGGTGGAAGACATGGCGGGTGGCCAGCTTGAAGGAGTCGAAGTGCGCCTCAAGGAGGCTTATGTCAAGCGAGGCTATGTCGTTCTCAAGATTGAGTTACTGATGGGATAAACTGACCACCGGCGAAGTTCAAGCCAATGTTCATAATACAACTAATGATTATCAACTATCCGTAAAAATATATGTTTTAACTCGTGTATTAGCGTTGTTACTTTCCTGTATATCTTCGTACTAGTAGTAAGGCATACAATAAACTCACCAACATGTACAACAAGCTAGTCCCATGTTTATTATATGCAGATGACTTAGTCCTTATCTCTGAATCAAAACAAGGACTACAATCTGCCCTGAATAGATTAGAACAATACTGCCATACTTGGAAGCTAAATGTTACATATGGCACTGTCCTCGCATACAACACAAATGCGTCTCAAATTATTAACTCCATCCATCAGCGACTAAAAGACATTTACATCCAAACCTTCTTTAAAGAAATACACAATGACACCAGAGGTCGGTCCTGCTAAAAACAAACTGAGGACCTATAGACTGTCCAAGTCGGCCTACAATGAACAACGTATTTGTCGATACTGTAATCTAGATAGAATAGAAGATGAACTTCATTTTGTAGTAGAATGTAGTTTGTATAACAGTGCGAGAATTGAACTTTATAGACGGATAACATCGATGTTTCCCCACTTTACACACCTAAGTAATACAGACAAATTCACATTTTTAATTAACTTAGACAAACCCCCGATCCTTAAACTTGTATGTTCTTATCTTTTCAACATCACAGAGAAGCGTTTACTAAACTAGCCCTCCTCCTCGAGCTCCTCCATCGGCTCTTCTGTCTCGAGATCGTAGTGCTTCAACCACGATGGGGGCTTGCGAACCCTTGACTCTTTCTGTGAAACGAAGAAAATAATAATAATATAGTTTAATTATCGCCGTGTGGAAAAAAACAACATCAAATTATGGAGAAACAACTAGATACACTTATTATGTATTGACAATCCGCAGGTCTCTGATGTACCATCGTCTGACAAGACGAAAAAAAAATTTTTTTTTCTTGTGTTTACACCCTTTCTTTACAATCCTCCTGTGCCCCGTTTATAAGATCTTTCATATACGCCCGTGTAATTATCAGTTTGACGTTACCTACCACTGAGGGACCTTGGTCAGGTGCTGGCTGGCTTTGGTTCTCCTTGTCTTCATTCCGTCTCTTCTTCCTCGCTTCCAACTGTTCCTGTCGCTTTCGCTTCCTCTCCTCCTTCTCAGCCAGTTTTCTCTTAGCCTCGGCCTGCTTCTCTTCTTTCTTTCTCTTTTTCTCCTTCTCTTTTTGATCTTTCTCTTCACGTTTCTTAGCAAGCTCCGCCTTTCTTTGTGCTTTCCGCTCCTCCTTTTCCTTTTTCTCTTCTTCCTTCTGTTTTATTTCCTTCACTACGTCCCTGTCTGTTAATACTCTGCCGGTCAGCCTCCTCCTGGCTGTACGCTGGGTAGGTGCAGTTGTTACCGGGATCAGGATCTCCCTCAGAGACGGCGGGATTAGCCTTGAGATCAGCGGGCTCTGGAGAGGCTCGCATGACCTACAAGGCTCGTTGCAGGTTGGGCATGATGTTTTGCCTGCTGACTGTTGCTCGACACTTTGTTCCCCTTGGTGGTCCTCCTTGGGCTCACTCGGTCTTTCGGGTGTGTCCATCCCTACCCATCTGTCATCAATAGCATCTTCATCAAAGGGATATATGCCAGTTTTGGCGAAAGAACTCTTGATGATACTGGTTGTTACTGCTTCGTCATAAACGCTGGAGAACAACCTTGCAAAGTTCCTCTTCCCGACGCGGAACTGATGACTGGCCGCCTGCATGGTCTCAATGGTTGTGGCCCATTTCTTCTTGAGTGGAGCGAATATCCCCACATCCAGAGGCTGCAAGAAATGTGTAGTATGGGGAGGCAATCCAAGGAGTATTATGTCGTTACTCACCGCCGCCTCCAGGACCTTCAAGGAAAAGTGGCTGTAGTGCTGGTCGAGGATCAACACCACTGGACGTTCCTTGTGGCAGTGCTGCAAGAAGCTCTTGATGAACCATTGCTCAAACAAGTCGTCGTCTATGTAGCCTGACTCCGAGAATGAGTACAGGGCACCGGCCGGGCCTCCCGCTGTATACTGCCCCCCAGGAAATGATTTGTTGTATATCACCATGGGTGGAATCGTTTGACCAGCCGCCGACACACACACCAGGACAGATATGTGGTCTCTACCACCAGCGCGCCGTGAAGGGGACCTCTTCGAGCCTCTGGGGACTATGACCTTTGATACCTTGACAGACAGCTCAACGCCCGTCTCATCCACATTGTAAATCAGATGCGGTTTCTTGTCCTTGATCTTGTTTTCTGTCAATACCTGTTCCATACGCTCGAAATGATCGAACACAACACCTGGTCCAGAGAAAGACGCACGCTCCCTGTCCAGTTGATCTGGGGACCTGAGCGTGAGGTCAGGATGGCGCCTCCGAAAACCTCGCCACCATTTCTGGCCGGGACCAGACTCTGTGAACTTTGACGGTTCACTGCGTGCTTTGGATGCCTTAAGCTCAATTTCATGCGCAAGGGCTTTCATCGCTCTTACGGTGAGTGGGAAACCTTTGGCCGCCAAATACTTAGCGTATACCACTAATGCTTGTTCTTCATCGTCCGTTAGGATGGTAGGACGACCGACCGTGTCATCACGGGAGCGTCCCTTTATCCTGTCTCGTACTGTGGATTCTGGGATGCCGTGTTTCTTTGACAGAGCGTAGACGGAGATACTTGGGTTTTCGGCCAATGACTGTAATGCTGCTGACATGTCGTCCTCAGACCAACTCTTCTTACTTGACCGACACGCCATCTGACAATAAGATTACAAAAATTGGCCATGAACTGACGAAGTGTTTTGTTGGCAGTGACAGATGCCCCCCCCCCCCACATAATGCCACTATCGAATTAATTAGGTTCTGCTAAGTCAAAAACTTCACTTGTTAATAGTTAAATTGTTGTATACAACAACTGTTGTTTTGTTTAATTATTTACCTCAATAATGAACCTGTATTAACTTATAACCTTGTGGTGTTCGAATTCAAAATGAAGATTCTATCGTTCAACAAATTGGCTTGAACAGTCTTTCACGAAATTGTATCGCCCCCTCCACGATATGGATACACCTATTGTTGCTTGAATATTACTTAAACACAAAATTGTCAAAATGACGCCTATTAAAATGTTTACCTACCACGACTTCATGCGAAATAGCACGGAACTGCAAGCAAATCGACTCCGCGTTGTGCTACATGGTGGGGGTCACATGACTTCGAATCACTCCGAATCACGTGATCGATAAAAATGGCGGACCCGGAGATGTGGTTAAAACCGCACGTCGTGTTAGCTCCGATTATCCAGAAATAAAGACACTGGCAAGACAAAGGTGCGGATTGCTGTCAAGCTTTATTATCAACTTTTCTACATGCGGAGCCATCTAGGAATATAATATATTCTACACTGAATAATTCCACCGTGTTGAAGGACATGTTCGCAAGCTGTTCGCTCGTCAACACCCCTCAGAACGGCGAAATTCAAGCAAATTTTCAACCGTTGGTTGTTGGTTCTTCCGAACTAAGGCAAATGTCGTGACCCTGTGGTTTTGAAGAAAGTAACTTAACCAACTGTAACAGGCCCGTATCATGAATGGGCACTCATGCATATCGTAGCAATGCTTGTTTTTCAAACTACTTCGGTATTAGGGATACCTCGGAATTAGGGCACCCCCCGTTACCAAACCAACAGCAAGGAGGAACAGGAAGAGGGAGGGGGGCGAACACCCATTATCAAAGGTAACCCCACGCCGAACACAACGACAGTCACAGGAGATTCCCTGTCATCTAGAACACAATACTCGCCCATTCCACCTACAACTGACTCACCTATCGCAGCCTGCGCCAGCGGGGACGCAATATTCTCTATCGAAGTGCAAGAATTACTTCTCATCGCCGCCATCTTGTTTGGACTATTCCAATTAGCACACTGTACCCCAATGGAAGATGATTAGCTCCATTTGAATTTATCAACATGTCTTTTAAATGTGACAATATTCAGACATTAGCAGCAAATCTATCAAACGTGTGTTTTGTAAATAGAATTTTTCTCAATACACTCGTTTTAGTAAGAACATTACATAAAGTCCGTGTATATCTGGGCGGTGTGACTGATAATTGGAAGAGCCACAGTTGCCAAGATGGAGGACGACAGGTAAGTAGATGGCCGGTGTCTTCTTTAGGTTTCTACCTAGAGGATACCTTGAGGAGTCATGAGTGTCTACTTCTTTGGTGCCTGAAGTTAGCTTGTCTACGATTTGAACCCCTGAATGAGTCACATGTGAATAAGAATTGATAATGATAACTATGATGTTCATAATTTCTATCTTATTATTTGAACCAAGGTTCTTTATTTTTCAAACCAAGGAGGTCCTCTTCTTCTTTCGTCTCTCTCTCTTAATTTTCTACTGCAAAAAATTTGAGATATCTAGTGCCCTTGTCATATTTGGATAAGGCTATTGGAAGGATATTCATAAATTCTTTAATATATAAATTCTATAAGATTTTTTTTCACTAACTGTTATTGACAGTCACATTTTACCTGCCGGTATAATTTTTTCCTTCAGAAACCATAGTAGACGAACAACAACAGAGCAAGACATGTTTGCAATGTTTGAGGATGTAGAAAATTTGAGCATTGAGAATAACAACAACCTGTGTCAAGAACAAGAATGCCGTCCGTCAAGCAGCTCCATGCCTACTAGTGAATTTCAGAATGAGTCAGAAGATGTTGTTGTAAACAACAATGACACTACGGAAAACACTTCTCTGACATCAAGACTTGACAGCGATAAACGTCATCAAGAACATTGGACTCATACAGAATCAAAGACTGCTTGGATGAAACCTAAAGATGAGGATGGAAACTGTAATGTCATCAATCAAGACATAGCAGAATCTTCAGGAAAAGACTCAAGTACACCTGTATGCTATGATGACCAACGTGCAATTATATTACAACAATCTCAACCTTCATCATCATCTGCATCTGACACGTATAATTCTGTGCAAAGTAAGTGGAAAGGTGACGGCATAGATCTGGGAGAGTCACAAGATACACATGTTGGTTTGGCTGCTGCTGAGGCCACACCAATTTAATTTCTTGGTTAACGGATTTTTCAAGAAAAATAATGAAGCGGGCGGGCGAAAAAATAATAAAAATAAAAACAGGCCTAGGCATCCTATTATGGCCCCAAATGATACGATAGGAGCCATGAAGTCAACATACCAGGTTGGTTCAAAATTTAAGCAATGAATTTTGAACTTTTAATGATACCACTGCATTGAAAGATGAAATAACTTTAACTACTAGGATGAAAAGGACTGTTTTCAACTGTTCAGGGCAAAATATGAGCATTTTGCAGTTGATTCTGAATTTTTATTTTTATTTGCAAATCAGAAAAAAATGAAGCGGCGAATCCGTTAACCAAGAAATTAAATTGTTGTGGCCTGATAATGAAATATCTGGATGTACTCGTGACATCAATAGGCAAGATACAGGTAAGGTCACAGAACATATGGGTGAAATGTAGTCAATACTGGTAGTAGTTTGGGCACAAAGTAGTACAGCACAAAATATACTTCAGAAAGCTGGAGAGATTCTTCAGCTCAGTGCATGTATTAAACAGCTTAGGATGAGGCACTGAATATAATGGTTACACCAGTAATGCTCAAATGCATCAAGTTTGAGACCATTATACTTTATAGTTTTAATTATGGTGTTTGTCGGACTGGACATTGTTTTCCGCCAACCTGTTTGCTTGGTCACTGTAGATAGGTGCCTGGATATTGTTACCAAATATGTTAATGTGCATTGGCTGCAGTTCACATGACCCCTGCATAGCACGGTATATAAGAAGACTTTATGAGGCAAGGTGCCAGCAACCATTATACAAATGTACTAGTATCCTGAAAATTTTCAAGTTTTGTAACTTGCTTGTGCTCCCACTCTAAATTCTGAAGCATCAAATGGATTCCTTACCATGTAAATCCCTATCTATATACTGTACATGTTCTGCCATATATACCTTCAAATTATTCTGTATATTCTGCAGGACAAAGCTGCCAGACTGACTTGAGAAAGTCAGAGTCGTGTCAACCCAGACTTGATCATGAGGGATCTTCTGAAGGTCAAGTAAGCCATGAGGACGGGTCTCAAGGTCAAGCTGATGCTGCCATAAGCAAGGAGTCATTGCTGGAGTCAGCAGCCATGTTACAGGTACTACATGTACATTTTGTAGTAGTTAAGTTGAACGGGGAAATTTGTACATTGATACACTCAGTATGAAGGAGTTAGTATCCGATACAATAATTTGTAATTGTATGCCAATACAAATGTAACAAGATTCAGCTTTTCCCCTTTAGGCCTCCTTTTTTACATGTTACATGTTCTTGTCCTCGTGCCCAATTTATTAAAGACATCCAAAATTTGCAATTCAATAAGACAAAAATATTCTGAATGTCAGAAAAAAAGGGAATTCACTGAAAAATGAAAATTATTTTTTTCCTTACCTCTTAATTAATAACCTTTTCCCTGCTGCCTGTAACCAATAGAAAATTGGTATGTGTAGCCAAATAACTACCTTGGTGTTCTGAAGTGTTTTGTTAAATTTTCCATTGGATCCCCAGAGCCATGTGGTGATGTTGGAAGACCCCGCTCACCTGGAAGGTGCCATGTGTCTGGAGGGGGTAGAGGTACACCAGTCCACAGAGATGTTCAGAAATATATTTCTAACTCAGGTGCAGCAACAGTTGGAAGATCTGGACAGGGAGTTAAAGACACAGTAAGTCAAACTTTTAAGAAATCTCAAATCTCAGTGGGCACCAATAACCCTTTGACATTACTGGAAGGGAGAATAGGGTTGAATTTTTTTTCAGGTTGCCTGCTGCTAAGCCAAAAGACACAGTGTGCCATAAGCCAAGGCACTGTAAACTTTAATAGGGTCACTTTGTATGGAAAAAAAAAGATTGGTAACTTGCGCACCCAGTGAGGCAACCTGGCATCTCCCATAATGAAGACAGAAAGCAATTGGCTTGCACAGCAAGAAATGGGATATTTCAAAAACTGCAATTTCAAAGCATTTGCAAAAGTTGATTGAAAGCAATGGAATCTACTGCAGCTGTTTCTCTGTCTTACAGCCTGTCCAAGTCGGAGAGGTGTCTGATGTTACACAGAGACAAGATGAGCAGCTACATGCAGCAGGCTGAGACTTTCTTCAGCAGTGAGGATGCAGGGGACAGTGAAGGAGCAGCCAGGGGTGGGTACTGGTATATGTGTGTGTGTGTGTGTGTGTGTGTCCATGTATTTGAGTGTGTGTATGTCCATGTGTGTGAGGTGTGTGTTGTGTGTGCATGTACATGTATGAGTGTGTATCTGTGTCATAGTGTGCATGTGTGTCTGTATGCATGTGTGTATGTATCTGTGTCTGTGTGGGGGGTCTGTGTCTTTATAGGATCCTTTGAAACATTTCCTACGTTTTGAGGGGATGGTAGACTATTAAAGTTTTATTTTGTGACAATCTCTTTACATGCTGATTTTTGTTTGTTAAAGATGACGAATTGCAAAATTTTTGTCCATCATGAGTGGCATATTTCTGTCTTACTCTAAGAATGCTGGTTAGAACACTGCTTGATTGTTGTCCTCTGTATCATGCAGGACAGCAGGAAAAAGACTGGCAGGAGCCTCTTCATGAAGGTCACGGGCTGTCGCTGAAGGACATCTTGGACAGCGATTCTGAGGATTCACAGCAAGGAGACTTGGAAGGAGCTGACAGCCCTGCAGCTGGTGGTTACTGGAGGGAAGAGTTGGTGTTTGCAAATAAAATCCAGGAGTTAGAAATGGCAGTGGAGGAGAGGGTCACTGCTATAAGACCTCCGGGGGACATCGATGAGGAGGCTGAAGACACCAGATTCGGGGACCTCCCTGCAGAACTGGTGGTGCGAATCTTTTCATACCTGACCTTACAGGAGCTATGCGAGAGCGCGGCGCCCGTGTGTCGTGCCTGGTACCGCCACGCACACGACCCCCTCCTCTGGCAGGAACTGGACTTGGACTTTAACCACGACGTCAGGGCTGTGGACCTGTGTGCCATGATCAGGGGCGCCCCCTTGCTGAAGGTGTTGGTGATGCGAGGGAGAAATGAGCTGACCATTACAGAAGTGTCAGTGTTTGTGAAGTACTGTGGCATGCTGCAGCAGCTGGACATGGGCTTTTGCAAGGTGAGACACTGATGGAAACCTACTTGAATTGGGGGTATTTTTCTTAGATCTTTGACAGCCAAACAGAAAAAAAAGTTCAATCTCAGGGTCTGCCAAGCTCCGACATGTTGAGAGGGATATATATTGCAGTCATTTCTGACAGTAACGTAAAGCTAGCTACCAGCTCTGTGTATGAGGGAACTTTAGCCATCAGAGACATAAGCCTCAAAACCTCTGCACGTAGAAGAACAGAACAGTAATTGCGTAGGGATGGCCTGGTGTGCTTGGCTATAATAGAATGCAAGCTATAGCAAACAAAGACTCATTGTACTACAAGCAGTATATGAAAAAGTACCATTGTTCACTTCAGTTGAGGATGACTACTTTACCTTATAATACTGGCAAACAGTGTAATGTTGGTTTCCACGATCTCACTGGTAGGTCCTGGATCTGACCATGCTGCACATCATTGTGGACAGCTGTCCCCAGCTGGAGCTGGTTAATGTGGAGGGCTGTGACAGCATCAGGGATAGCTGTCTGACGGTGCTGTCCAGACTGCCCAAACTCACAGTTCTCAATCTGTCCCACTGTACCAGTGTAAGTGCCTGTTCTCTACCACTACCTTCTTCAGAGCTCTGTCTAGCTCAGACAGATGCATCCTTGGTTTTACTTATTATAAGAGTTAAGAAGAAAATTTATTTTTGAGAATAGGTTCTCTTGTGCATCAGCATCCTGATCTCTGTTGACAATGACTCCATTTGAGATCTAACGTTGTACATGTTTGAAAGAAAGAACTTCATTTGCACAACAAAAGTACAGCGACTTTTGTACGGTCTATAACTAGCAGACAATTGCAGACAGACACAAAAGAATTGACCCACATACAAGACTGTAGATGAATCAACTTATTCTATTGTACCTGTAATTTGTTTTCTAAGGTTTGAAGCTTCTTTGGTTTATATGCGATTCTACCAGATGGGAGTCTGTACCCTGATGTATTTGTTCCCTCTACTCCAGGTAACAGATGATGGGGTTTGCCACCTGGTCAGACACTGCCCAGGACTGACCTCTCTGAACATTGATGGTATCGCATGGATAACTGACAAGTTAGTACATTAGTTCATATATTATTGGAACATACAAAACATGAATTTAAGAATTGCCCAGTTAACAGGTACAATGTACCTACATATACATTATCAGCAGTTTCTTTCCTTTTGTCATGATACTCGTAATTGACAAAAGGATTCTCACCAGTACATTGAGCTTGTACAAAACATGTACATTACAAACATATTTTTAATCTGTCCCAGTGCTGTACAAGACATAGCTGCTTGCTGTCCCTCTATGAGACAGCTGTATCTGGATGGAGATGAGCTGACCGATGTCAGCATCACTGCTGTTACTGACAGCTGTGCACAGCTGGAACTGTTGGACATCTCCTTCTGTGAGGGAGTCACGGATCACTCTGTACAGAGCATTCCAGTAAGGAAGCACAAAATCCAAGATTTCATACCTCCATGAAATGTTAATGGAGTTTTTGTGAATTTCTTGTTTTATTCATTATTGTGTAGTGAACTCATTATTGTGAAGTGATTCTTCTACATAACAGCTAGTCAATATACAAACAAAAAGTGCCACATGTAAGCTTCACTTGTCCTGTGCAGAAACTGCAGCACCTGAAGCACCTGCGACTGAAGCGTGGCATGCAGCTGTCCTCAGCTGTCATGCTGCACCTGTTCAGGGGCGAGGCTCTTGCTGGGCTGACCTACCTGAACCTGACAGAGTGTACAGCTGTCAACAATGGGGTGGTGGAGAGGATCTCTAAATGGTGAGGATGGCAGTCACAACTGATGATCATGAATCTGTGACTTATCTATGTCTGTATAGCCACTACCGGTACACAACCACCCATCAGCATAATACACCAGTTTCAAAGATACACAGTGCCAGTTGGTTATTCTACAGTTAAATACTAGTACCTGTCACACCTAACTGTTGCACATCTAACTGTAGGCATTGCTTAAAGTGTATTTAGTGAGGATGCCTCTAATGTCCTTGGTGGCAGTGAATACTATGATATTTCTAGGAAGACAAATTTTCCAATACATGTACTCTGCTACAGTATTTCAACCACTGGGGGGTTTCAACTTATCCAAATTTTCACCTGAATAGCACCAAGGAATGACATGACCTGCATGGCTCAAGTATGATATTAGAGTTGTAGTACACGTCTACCAACATGTGTCAGATGAAATTTGCTGGTCCTATGCAAATGTTTTTGACATGCCAACTTTTTGAGTAAGCTCAACTAAAGTTTAATTTTCTCTCTACCATTTCCTTGTTTGTGGTGTTATCAGTTGTGCAGAGCTGAGAGAGCTGTACCTTTGTTGGTGTTGGGACATCACAGAGGAAGGACTGGAGCACATTGTTAACAACCTCAGGTACTCAGCACACCGATACGCTTGTCCAGCTACTTGTATAAAGTGGAGATACATTCCTCAACTTTGAACCACAAAACCTTTGGGCTTTGCCCGTACTATGTATGTTTCTCTACTGCTCCAACATTTTTTTTCTGAAAATAGAGAAACAACTCTCTAGACAAGTATTAGGCACAGTGAGGTCATTTCTCAAGCTAACAGACATCTTTGACACAGGAGTTGTCCCTCAGTAAGACACCTGGAGTCACATAGTTCCCATGTAGAACTTTTATTCAGCCTGTCACAAAAAGGTAAATTACTATATTATTAAGTGATACTAACTTCATGGACTTTTGTGATTTAGTTTCTGTATCCCACAGGGCAAAACCTGTCAAGACAGGCTGAATAAAAGTGTATGTGTGTGTAGAGCAACATACATGGTTAAAGTAAAACCCAGTATGCTATGGAATAGGGCTGATATGACCAGAAAATTGACTTTGAAAATCCAGTTTTACTGCCCTGTAATCACTTTGAATACCTTTAAGCCATCAAAGGAGGATGTCCCCACCACACCTGTATACTTAACTTGACAATGAGTCTAGTTTTTGTTACCTTGTTTCTTTGTTGCAGCAAACTGCACCACCTGGACCTGACAGGGCTTGATAAGATCAGTGGGGCGTGTCTGACCTACGTCCCCTCTACCCTCCCACACCTCACCTACCTGGACCTACAGCAGTGCAATAGGGTTAGTTCAGGGGCAGGGGTGCACAGTTATAGTTTATTAGGCCCCACTGATTTCATTTTATAGATGAAATCCGTGCGCACATTGATTTTCACCTGTTCTCCAACGAAAATTAACCTCCTACAACGAAGCCTGGGTGCCATCCTCTATAATCTATTGTGGCTACCAAGAAAAGGGAGCCTACATGTAACCATTGTTGGGGGTTTGGGAGGTCATATTAAGCTATGTGTGACAGGGGCTTAAGAGTCCAATTGAGCTGGTAACCAATTATTGACAAATGAACTGAAATGTGTCTTCCATACTCATGACTCCATTCACCTTCCCCACAGGTTCAAGATGAGGTTCTGTCCGCCCTGGTATCTGCGGAGCCTGGCCTGACGATCGTGGATTACTACGGCAACAACGTGCCAGACCTGCCGGAACAGTGCCGATCATGAGCTGGACCAGATATACGGCTGTCCTGTCTGAAATGAAAACTACTGTGACAACATCTGTCTTGTTCTGTAACCTGTATTACTCAACCTGTAGGACTGACATCCATACATGTGATATCACATCAAGTGGCTTGTAACGTTCATGCATGTACAGTCAAACTTGTCTTAGGGGTCGTCTTATCCAAAAAATCCGCAGCAAAAAATATCCGCTCATTTTATAATTGCCTGCCCCATCGACCTGACAAGTGATCCAGCCGGCGCCATTTTACATTGCGCAAAAATTTATCACTCTTACATCGTCTTGTATTCTAAGCACTGTCTTCATGTCACAGTGTACGTATTCATTTAGATGTCAATATCGTTGAAACTCTTTCAGTGAAACATTTCCCTGGACCTTAGGTGGCGTCCACGTGGTGAGAAGAGCAAAGTTCTTGCTGCTGCTGTCTGAGAAATTCCTGGACTTCTGGAGACTGTAGAAGGGTCTGGAATGTTAGGGGGAAAATAATTATTACTCGTTAAAGTGGAAACAATCCTATATACCAAATATCAAAGGTCTTCATTCACAACCACTTGTTTACAAGATCTGTTGTTTTGATGACTGTCTGTCATCTTTATCATGATGAAGTTGGTCATGGAAACATCTGCTTTTGTAAACAAGTGGTTTTGAATAAATAACTTTTATATTGTGAGTGATATTCAATCATTATAGCCTAGTACCATCCGGATTTTCGCTACGCAAAGCTGTACGAGCGTTGCGTAGCGAAAATCCGGATGGTACCCAGGCTACAATCATTCACCAATCTGAGGAAATTGTTTACGGACAAGCCTACCGTTTGAATGTTAATGTAATGCCTAACTGTAAACATATGATGCAAGATTGATATATAAGTTTATTTTTTATACCATTCTGAAATAATATTGCAAAGCTGTTAGAGTTTGACTACAGATCATAATCCAATAATATGAAGTGCACAATAAATGTGGCGATGAGAAATTCAAGCCATTGTTCAGTGTGTTATTTTGAATAATAATAATAGAGTAACCAGGATAAATTTTATGTGTGCTATCTAATATAGACCTTTACTGCTATTTCTTGGACAATTTTCATCATCATTTTAATACTATACAAATACATTTTTGAAGTTGTCCAAAACACAAGCTTAAGCTACATGAGGTGTCCCTTTATTTTTTGATACCACCAATAAATGCATGGAGCTACAACCAGCCTAGGATACAAAGCAAACAACGAACATACGAAAACTGCAGTTCATAAAACACAGAGGCAAAAAACATTACTTCTGTTCTATTCAGAACTCTGCTTTATCCAGAGCCAATCAGACACGGTTCTACTAGTAGTACATAGTCCATGCATAGATATCCATTCTAACCAGCAGCTTTATCCAGAAGTCCTGGATAGTCCATGTGAATCCAGAATCCTGCATGATCATCTTAACCCATTCAGGCATAAAATTAAACTACATGTAAGATACATGTAGTAGGCATGGTTCTGGACACAGCAACTTAACCCAAGGAAATGTTATTGCTCTTTTCGAGTTTTCAATGTACTAGATTTTGTACTTACTAATTTTTTCTCGTTGAGGACCTGTTCCAGCATGTTACACTGCCTGACAGGGGCATCGACCTCTCCGGAACCTTCTGTCAGGTTATCCAGGAGCATCTCCGTGGCCATCCCTCCTGGCAGCTGGGGAGGGGGTTATAATGTAATGTATGAATGAAGACCTTTATTACTGTGAAATGAATCACTTTTTTATTTATTTATTTATTAAGATTTACCACATTTGTGGAAGGATTGACATAACAGGTGACTATCACCTTTTCAAAGATGTCAACCCTGAGACCAGACTGTAATGTTTGAACCACTCACACCAGGAAGGTCCCCTACTCTTTTCGATAAGTGCGGTGGGCTCTTTAACGTGCGTGGGGTGTGGCTCTCCCAAACACGGGACCTCCATTTAACGTCCTATCCGAGGGACGTCCCTAGCCGAAGCTAAGTACTCATTTTCACCTGAGTGAAGTGAGGAAAGTCGTGTAAAGTACCTTTCCCAAGGGTACAACGTCGGGGCGCATGTTCGGACTTGTTCGGGTACGACCCGGGAATCGAACCTGGGTCTCCCCGTTTCATAGTCCAGTGATGTACCACTACACCACACGACGCCACTTTGTATTCGTGGTACCGGTACTTTTATATTCACGATTTTCACGGTCACTTTTGTAGTACAGTACCCTGAATTTATCATGGCGTGAGCATATAATTCAGTACCTTTTTTTCTTCTACACCTGCCACCACTTCTTGTGCTCGGGAAGAAGTCCCCTAGCATCCTGTTTTGGAACTGCAGGATGGGTTGTTTAAAAATCTTAGAGATTACTTCCTGAAAAAAGTAATCACAAATTTACCTCGTTCTTCTTCTTCTTGTAGGTGTCCTTGTAGAGTTTGTTCCTGTGCTTCTTACACAGCCATGTCTTCACCTTGCTCCTCTCCGTGGTCTCCCCACACCCTTCATGATGACACTTCTTCAGCGCCTTAAACCCGGAAGTACTACTGCCGGGACAAGAAACACTTGCTTCTTCACTCTCGTCTTTGTTAGTTCTTATTTCTGGGGTCGCCTTTTCTTTATTGTCATCCTTCGTCGTCTCGGATTCGCACTCAGTGTCCAGGGAAGAAGCGACACCCTCCTTTTTGTCCTCTTTCTTGAAGTAGTCCAGTTGTTTTTCTTGCTTTATGCTCAACTTTGCGCCCTCTGCCGCAGCGCTTGGTTCCCCTGCTTTCGGGTCGCGCGTAGTCATTGTCGCAAAATAAAATATGCAAAACAGCTTAAGAAATCCCACTGATTATATATAGGGTCCCTTCAGGTCGAGGAAAAGATATGTTTGATCCTTTGGAGCTCGTCAACGGAAAACGGTTTTCTTGGACCGACCCGGAAGTTGGCTAGATCTCGAGAAAAGTCGCCTTCGTTTCGTCGTTGCGATTCCAATGGGAAACTTTTGAATGCGACCTAGAGTTACTTCAAGCTCTCAACGGCTGATCTCTTACCTCTCAGACGAAATGGATGTTAACTGCGGGAGAAACGGTGGAAATGGTACAGAAAGCCGGTCTGAAAAATCTAAAACATCCGAAATGCCGCCATTGTGAATGATGCATTCTGGGCTTTGGACTGTGCCACTTTACCAGAGGAGGAGTGACGTTAATAGTAATAATGTCAATGATAGTCAAGATGCACTTAGTAGGAGAATTGTTTTCCATAAATCATTAAATCATGTAGCGTTATGTGCAACCAACACCATTCACACACGATAAACGTTACACCAATGATTCAACCTGTCCCTAGTGCTGAACACCATCCACACATCGCTTGACAGCTGTCCTTAGTCAGTGCTGAACATCATCCACACACGGGCAAACACATCCTTGGTGAAAAATAAAAATACAAAATTTACGGAGGTTCAAAATTTGTCATGGAGGTGTAAGATCTCAAAACCCTTGTTTCAACTATCTCGATCGTTGATCGTACAGTTCTTGCCTGTAACGTTACATGGCATCATCTAACCGTAACATTGCTCGGGCCAGCAAGTACAAGGAGCCCCGTAGCAGATTGGATGGTACCCGGCTAGTATAGTTCATCCTATTCAGTCTAAAGTCAATGTATGTTCTTATCTTGTGTAATTTGTAATTGTACTTGAACAGTTCTGGTGCTCAGAGAGTAAGAACCAAGGAAGAACGCCCTCTTGAGACAGACGACGGTAGCGCAGAGGGAGATAAAGCGGCTGGCAGATCAGTACACGAACCTACTAAATCCGCCAAGCCCTAAAACTACAACAGGAGAACGTCAAACTGAAACAGGTAGGAACCAATATAATACACGGCTACATGCATATGTTCATGGACTTGTTAGTACTTTAATCATATAACCTGTATCTTGTTGCATTTTGTCTGACCAAGGACGTTTTATGGTTTGACCCTGACCTTTTCCTTCATGACCTCAATGATATTAGAACCACAGGTCCCCGTAGATTTCCTGAGATATGCATGGGGTTAAACAACTGCATACAGCGCAACAAAAAGTCCTCACATAGATACATAATGTTTATCTTTTTTTTTTCATATCTCCAGGCTTTGCCCAGTAACAACCGTGTAGATATTTCGTGTCAGTTGCATGTACATTTAGTTACGGACACACTCACTACTCTGCGTTTTGGCTACATTTTGATACATTTCGCGTGGAGTCACTAAATTCGTTTCTTGGTATAAGAACCTGTATGAACGCGGCTACCGCTTTCAATATGATAAGTGGCATGATAGCAGTCAAGTATAGACAGAAAGAGGGTTTTATTTCAGGGTACAGACTTGTTAAAAATTGTCAAATTTGAAATTTCGAACTCCATGATTTGAAGGATGGGGCCCAGGCGTCAGGTTTCATTTTTCGTGCTGCTGGGGTCAGTCGTGAAGTGATGTTGCAACTTTTCAACCGCTGTTTGTTTGGGAAAGATTATAAAACGAAGGGCTCAAGTTTTAACGACACAAATAGACTTTCTGGAAGCCTTCCAACAAAAAATACTCATGATCATATCAGAGTATCTAAGAGGTAAGCAAAAAGTTGAATGTATATGGAACTATGACAGCAATGTCAATACATATTATGTCTGAGGTTTGAAATTTATAGTAAGGCCATGTTGATTTGATTATATCGATGACATCCACCGGGAAACCCCAAAACTGATGCAAGCGTGAAAAAAAGTTTGGCAAAAAGAAATTTCCTTCCTTATAAAATCTAAGTGGTCACGAAGGTTGAACTTGACTATACATACAGAGTATTGTGTGGCCAATGATAGACTATTCATTTCCGAATTCGTTTCTTCACATTTTCTCTTTTTTTCCATTGGAATTGATTTGGGCGTTCTAAGACATTAGTATCATTGTTGTGATTACAGATTCCAAAGGTCTTGAACAATGGAGTCACCTCGATCACGACACCTCTTCTGTGTCATCGCGTTCCTGATTGGCTGGTTCTTGGGTTGCATCTTTACGTCACATTACACAATCTTCTGGGACAACAAATGTTCAGAGAGACCAACGCCAAGACGAGAAGATTCGCCATATGAAGGCTTACCATGGATGAAACCGTAAGTAGTATCAGTAGCGTAAGTACTATCAGTAGCGTAAGTACCATCGGTAGCGTAAGTACTATCAGTAGCGTAATTACTATCAGTAGCGCGCGTAAGTACTATCAGTAGCGTAAGTACCATCGGTAGCGTAAGTACTATCAGTAGCGTAATTACTATCAGTAGCGCGCGTAAGTACTATCAGTAGCGTAAGTACCATCGGTAGCGTAAGTACTATCAGTAGCGTAAGTACTATCAGTAGCGTAAGTACCATCGGTAGCGTAAGTACTATCAGTAGCGTAAGTACTATCAGTAGCGTAAGTACTATCAGTAGCGTAAGTACTACGTACTACCAGTATAGCGTAAGTACATGTACTATCAGTAGCGTGAGTACTACATGTATCAGTAGCGTAAGTACTATCAGTAGCGTAAGTACCATCGGTAGCGTAAGTACTATCAGTAGCGTAATACTATCAGTAGCGCGCGTAAGTACTATCAGTAGCGTAAGTACCATCGGTAGCGTAAGTACTATCAGTAGCGTAAGTACTATCAGTAGCGTAAGTACCATCGGTAGCGTAAGTACTATCAGTAGCGTAAGTACTATCAGTAGCGTAAGTACTATCAGTAGCGTAAGTACTACATGTACAGTATAGCGTAAGTACATGTACTATCAGTAGCGTGAGTACTACATGTATCAGTAGCGTAAGTACTATTAGTATCATAAGTACTATCAGTAGCGTAAGTACTATCAGTAGCATAAGTACTATCAGTAACGTAAGTACTATCAATAGCGCAAGTATTATTAGTAGCGAAAGTATAACTTGTTTCATTCAGTAGTTGTCAGTTTTCTATTATTGTACTGTACCATCTTTGACTCATTCGGGCATGATTCTGCAAATGAAGAATTATACACCGGAACTAGTACGCGCACAAGCATTGAATATTATGTGCGTACGTGCTATTGCATGGCAACATGTCATAATGTTCAAAGAACGGCTCAAAGACACGTTTGTTTCTGGCTGGAGGCAAAATATCAGAAATTACAGCAAACTGAAAACCTACTTCAAAGTCAAATCTGACTTCGTTTTGAGAAATATCTTTCACTAATACAAAACAAATCTTTCGCCGCCAATATAACCAAAATACGAATTAGTTCACACTGTTTAGAAATAGAGAAGGGACGCCATAACAATGTACCAGCCACTCACAGATGTTGTCCTATTTGCAAAGATATTGTAGAAGATGAATTGCATTTTATGTTAACATGTCCAGCTTACAATGAAGAAAGACAAACACTTATGAACTCTATCACCAACAGCACAAGTATTACATTACCTAAGACAGTCTCAGATACCTTTACTTTTCTTATGTCATGCCCCGATGCAATCTCACCATATATAGGCCAATATATTTCTAACGCCTTAGTTAAAAGAAACAATGTCATTTCCGAAACAGTCAACTGATTGCTTACACATAACAATGGAATCAACTATATATATATATATATATCCATTATACTAGTAATACTTAAGTATAGGACAGAGTAGTATTTAGTTGTAGATTTACAGAACCCCTGTATAATGTTTGCCATTCCTTTTGTATACTAGTACGATGTAACTTAAGTTCGATTCATATACAGCATGAATGTAGTACTCTTTTACGCATTAGTTTAGATTTTAGATTTGTACTTAGTACCGCTAATTGCCATACGATGTATCCGTACATTAGTTGTGCAATAAACTTTGACTTGACTTGACTAATGATGTTTGTAATGTAATCATAACGCGATTTTTTTTTGTTTTTGCTTTCATTTCCAGACTCGCGCGACATTCTGACGGACGTCCAGAGAAGATCTTTCTGGACGTGGGCGGTAACGTCGCCTCGAGTGTGCAGATGCTGCGGGAGACGTACCCCGGCGGGAAGGAGTTCTTCGTCCACTCCTTCGAGCTGGACCCCAGGATGGCTCCCTACTTCTCTCCCTATCCCGACCACGTGCTGCACTGTCCGATTGCTGCCTCCAACAAGACCGGTAGGCAAAATTAATGTTAACGTTACTCGACCAAAACTTTGCTACTCGAGTGTTGCAACCGCCCGAACTCAGACGTCCCGCTGTCGCGAGCTCGACGCGTTCTCTTTATTATATACACATTTTTAAATTGTCGGGGACTCTCGCTGAGCTGTCGGTCGGCGACTTCGGAGTTGTCGGCAGAAAATTTGAGTCCCGCTGACGGGAATTCTCTTTACACGGCGTTCTCGCTATCGGCAGCCCCGCTGTCGCGAGAAGCTATGTGTATAGTGGGTCATATACACTTCTATCATCAGACTCAATGTAATTTCAGAGATGCAAAATAAAACAAAAAATATTCTGGATGAGGACATTTGTCTGATATTGGCCTTAATGCCATGTTGATGTCATGCATGAGGTCGTGGAAGTCTGGTTTATTTTGTATTACGCAGTGTTCCACCTGGATATCTTAAACCCTAACATTGCATGCTTCGTTCCTCCCACAGGTCAAATGACGGCATACGCCGAGGCCGCCTGGTCACCAGACATTGGACTGTACCACAGGAAGTACGTGAAATGGGGAGGAGGCACGCTGTTCGTCCGTGACGACGTGAAAAATGACAAAGATGGCGGCCCGCAGAAGTTGACTCACCGCCACACAGTCGACACCTTGGACCTGTCCAGCTGGATCCAGGACAACACCAGGCCGGAGGACTACGTGGTCCTGAAGATGGACATAGAAGGTGGAGAGTTCGATGTCTTGGAGAAAATGCTGGAAGATGGCACCTTCAAGTGGATTGATAAGTATTGAAAAATTGAATTGTTGATTGTATCTCACTGTTCTTCGAGAAATGACTTCAAACAGTCTCTAAGAAAAAAAAGGAAGAGTTTTGATCCTATACTTCGCTGATACCAAGATATCGTCAGAATTTCTTTCGATCTGTTCATTATACATATAACTTCCCTTCATGTTAAGGTATTACGGCGAGTGGCATCTCAAGTGGTCTGTGGCAGGTTGGAGCATGGAACAGAAGAAAAAACTCATCGCTGACTTGAGGAAAAGTATCACCATCCCGACTCTAAGTTGGGAGGGGGAAAGGCGTAACTACGCAGACTTTGAAGCCATCCAAGTCCCGGTAAGTATTTGGCCACATACGATGGTGAACTGAGGGCATTTTTGGGTGCGTATGTTGCGAAAATATATAGATTCTTGTCGGTATTTGTTAGTCAAAGTTCCTTCCCACACCTATATATGGCGAATAGAGCGGCGCCATAAAATTAAGTCAGTGTGACCTTAACGCATGTAAAGTGGGCCTAATTCTACTGTTCACATTGTACAGGTCCCAGCAGACGTGCCAGGTTCACCAGGAACGGTCATCTCCGGGTGTCCGGGCGGAGTAAAACGTGTCACCGTTACGGTACAAGCCGGGATGAACGGCAAGGCTGCCTGTAAGCTGGTGGAGACCATCGCGGAGCACAGCAGTAACCTGCCGGCCACCCTGTTCCTGTACGGGGACTTTGTGGAGGCCTACCCCGACCTGGTGGCGCGCTGGGCCGGGAGGTTCACCATAGGAATACGAGAGGTTTGCAGACTACACAAAATCCATTCTTTACGCACATATCAAAGCATGCGTAAAGATTTTGTTTCTTCACTTGTGTGTACCTTTATGCAAGGTTTCAGATAGGATTTCGCGCAGTTTTGGTGGCCTGAACTTACTGCCCGGCCCGCTCCTGCTTTTTTGTCAATGACTGCAAAACGCTACATAGATTATGCTAATATATATACAAATTGTGCCGCACAGAGCCAACCTTTTACTCACGGTCACTTCGCCATGATGGGGGCCAACTGGGTACGCATGAGTCTGGTGAGCGCCATCTTGCGGCATCGCGAGGTAGGACTGCAGCCCGCCTACTACCTACCTGACGTCATGACCGCCAGAGTCCGGGATGTAGCGCGAGGGAGAGGACTGAGGATCATTCAGCCAACCGTCAGATTTCCTCCGGTCAACAGGACCACTAACGGTAAGCAGGGTCCAGGAGTTTCATATGGGCGTAAGTTATGCTTATAACTAGTTAAAGGCAAAAAAAAATGTGGAGGAGGAAATATGTCTTGTATTGACATTCACTGCCATGCATTTTAGCATATTTTTTGGTCATCATTTCATACTTGAAGAAATTAATTTTTTTTATTTATTTAACCAGTAATTACAACTCAGGCCAACTTGGCCTGCTTTTCAGGTAATCCTGGATACATATAAAAATACACACAACAAATATACATTACATAAACTATTACTAAAATTACAACATCCTAAACATCAAGAGTGTCAAATCCTGCACCTAATGCTCTGTATAAAAGTCCTAAGAAGTCCTGCTCCTAATGATCTGTAGTAAAAGTCCTGAGAAGTCCTGCTTCTAATGTTCTGTTTAAAAGTCCTGAGACTAAGGAGCTGTCGTTGCTGTAGCGGAAGAGTGTTCCACAGGTAAGGACCATAGTACTGTAGACTGCTCCGGTATGCCGTGACTCTTGCTGGTGGACAGAAGAGTAGGTGAGGGTCGTAGTCCCTAAGACGCTTTAACTCTGAGCGAGTAGTCCGTACGCTTAATGTTGGAGGAGTCTCCCACTTCAACAGAGATGCCATGTACACCGGCGCACTACCACGAATTAAAAAGCTCCAAAACAAGCTACGTAAGGAAAGTCGCTTGTTTATTAAAAAATTGTTTTATGTGTACTCTGGTTTTGTCGGCCTTGTCAAGGATCAGAAATTATGATACCCACAAAAAACTATGCTAACTTTTTTTATACAGAACGCCTGATGACAGAGGAGAATTACTACAAGTTCACAGACGTCATGCGTGTGCCTCGCGCTCTGCGAATGCTGCATGACCAGCTGTCTCCGGCAGGTGGCGTCCTGACCCTGGACTCCGACTACCCCGACAGCTACCTGATAGCTGGATATCTGCTGGATTATCTGTATGAGAACTCCGGATTCGATATTGTCAGCCTCTCAGACTGTATTGAAGAAAAACTCAAATGATGTTTCAAATATTAGCGGTGAATATTTGTCCTGCCGATTTATATAATTATAATTATTGTTTTCCAAATATGGTCATGATCAACAAGAGGAAAGAGTCACATTTCATGTTTCAGGAATTTTTATGTTATCATTTGCTAATTTGAGAGTTGTCCTGAAGCCAACTAACAGTAAGCAGACGTCCCCTAGCGGGTATCTTTCGACCTGCAGCTGCGATTTTGTTGGTGAATTACTTAGAAAACGTCTAGATAAAAATCTGGTTGATATACAGCTTTATAAAGACAAGGTGGTCGTGAAGGTTGAACAAATGACTAAACACACAGAGTAATATTTTATTGGCATTGTGAATAATAGACTCTTCATTTTCATTCCTTCACATTTTCGTCTTGTCCTTTGGAATGGATTTTGACATTCTGTGACATTTTCCAATATTTTTTTTCAACGTACGACATATAACGTTATTTGCTCATTTTGCAGGTACTTTGTACGATTTACAGTATGGTCGAAAACTTTTTTTAAGTCGACAAAAATTCATACGCGCGCGGATGTCATCCATATAATCAGATCAACATGGCCTTATGATAGTTTCAGGCGGCGTGGATGAGGTACCCACTGAAGGTGAGGTGCCTTTCCCCACTGTTGGACCAGCTGCCGGCATCAAACTCCACCCACACGGCGTCCCCAGGCTGGAGCTGCAGCACGGCGCTGGTACTGCCCGACTCTCTGTTCCCCTTTCCGCTGTTGTTCTTGTGCAGTCCGACCATGTGCTCGCCGTTCTTCGTCAGATAGATCCACAAGCGACCGTCGCTGAAGTCCTCCGTCATGGCGGTGAAGGTGAAGAAGTAGAGACCGCCCACCTCCGCCTCGAACCTCCCGGTCTCCTGGTGATAAGCCCCGCCCACGTTGCTAAGGACGACGGACTTCGTTGTGTCTGGAGGGAGGTCAAGGCTGGTCATTTGTACCACTGAAAAGGCCACGGCGGGTGACACAGGTGGGCTGTCGCCAGGTGAACCCTTCTCACCTGCTGAACCCTGTTCTCCTTTGTCTCCCTTCTCACCTCTCCGTCCGACAGGACCCTGCTTACCTGGAGCACCCCGCGTGCCCTTCTCTCCTGGCGTTCCGACGTCACCTGGAGATTATAGAATTCCAAGTCAGCGGACGGGTTTTTTTAATTATACCACATCTGAACTGGAGCTACCTGTTACACAGTGAACCATGTAACACCTAGCTCCAATGCACAGCGAACCAGTCAGAATTGCCCTGATGATGGTTAAGGTGACAGACGGTCATCGAAACGTAGTTGGTTCATGTAAAGCAAAAGGTTGTGAGTAAAAAAAAAAATATAATACTATCATGAAAGTTCATCTGTGTTGGTATACGTAGTTACATGTTTAAAGTTAAAACTTTAACATTCTCTTTAAAGCCGTCAGCTAACTCCGTACCTCGTGGCCCCACGTCCCCCTTTAGTCCAGTGGGCCCGGGTGATGCAACAACCGTGATGTTGTTGTTGAAGTATTTGGAGCAGGAACCCTCCTCTATTCCTACCTCTTCAGCAAAGGTCGGCAACGTCAAGAAACCTAGAAGAACAATGACTGCAGCCGGCATTTTGGGGAGGGCCTTTATCCAACAGTAGAGGCTAGACGTTGCTTCTGTCTGTGACACGGGCGTTACAACGTTATGGTTCCCTGGGCGGTGGACTCACGCATGTTTCTGCGATGTTTACACTCCTTGGTAACTTTTAGTTACCGACACATGGTACCGGTCACTCTTGGTCGCATGGGAATGTGTTATTTTACTGCCCGAATATGTATGGACATTCATACGCATCACTTTGGTAGCCTGGGTACCATCCTGGTTAATTAACGTCCGCTCCAGACTAACCAGGATGGTACCCAGGCTAGCACTTTGGGATCAGATCGGCACGATTTTTCTACCGAGCAACGTCACCCTGGAACACCCTCTGCACTGACGCTCGCACCGCCACTACGATTACCTCCTTGAAAGGGAAACTCTGCGACTTACATTCGTACACACTGACCCTGACCTCTCCTCGTAGATTCCACCATAGATGCCATTTAGTTCTTGTACAATGTTTTATGTGTACCCCAAATAGTTACGGCTTCACCAACACCACGTAGCTTAGATGGCAAATAATAATTATAATTCGCTTTTCGCAGAAATTATTTTGAAATGTTCTACTTTTGCACAGGTGTGAGTTTGGAACAGTCCATCTTATGGGGAGGGGCATGACTGAAATATGTGTTGTATTTGCTATGGCCCTCTGGTAGAGGCCAATTGAACTGCAGCCGACTCACCCGGAAAGCCAGTTGCGTAATGCGGCTCATTCATACACGAACAGGAAAATCTTCACCTTCCAAATCACATTCAAAATGCGATACGTTTCTGTACCACACAGTGCAGTTTACTCCTGACTACCTCTCACATTAAACGTTCTAGCCAGGCTTCAATAATTTTGTCCGCACTACTTTGTATACCCGCCCCATAGGGGTCGCCTATTGATACTGCGTTGTGCGGCCTTGAGAGAAGCACGGCGCAGTCTGTCTTCGACTTCGGTCTGGACGGAGAGAGGACACAATTTACGGCGGAAAAATAAAACGATAAATCCTGAGGCATCAGAAAGAACATCTGCGGAGAAAAGATTTCTGAAGGCAGGTTGGTGAACCTTTTATTTTTGTACTGCTTGTAACGATGATGGGAAGAGAAAGAGGGCACAATTTCCAGCGGAAAATAAACGATAAATGAAGAATCATCAGAAAGAAAATTTGCAGAGGAAAGATTTCTGAAGACAGGTTGGCGCGCCTTTTATTTTTGTGCTGCCTGTAACGATTATGATCAGGGAGCGGAAAATTTGCAGAATTTGCGTCAAAAATTTTAGCGATAAATGCTGAATCATCAAAATGAAAATCTGAAAAGATTTCTGAAGACAGGTTTACGCCCTTTTCATTTTCGTGTTGCTTGTAACGGTGATTAATATGTAAACAATAAAATGTGAGGGACTTACTTTGAGCAAGCCGACATCAGTTATTAGCACTACAGAGCAGCGACTGATTACTTTTTGTTATTGTTGGCTGGAACAACATTTATTTCTCCTACAAAAACCGGGGCGTCCGAGATATTAAGCGTACTTTTATAAAGCAGTTAGATTCCCGGGTTTAAGTATGCTTCACTTGGAAAGCAGCCTAGGAATAAAATATTTCTTTATTAAAAAAAAGTCGGATCCTTTTGAACATTTGTAAGCGTGCAGCGATCTCTACACTACGCATGCTCAATATTGCGTCTGGTCCGAATCCAGACGCTAATGAAGTTGAGGTCGACCGAGGCGAGTAGTGTACTGGGATTGTACAGTACAATGTATGCAGATGTATGCAAATTTATGCAAGTCTTCTAATCTTATTCCAAATTAAGATATAATGTATGCATAATTAGGAAAATAATTAAGAAAAAATATTGATACATATCGATTAGGTAATGTATGCATAGTTGGGATGGGCGAAACCATTCTTAATGGACGATACCATCGAATGTGTTAAGATTCCCTCGTAGGGTTTCATGGTATATATTTGGTTATTGGTATTGCGGATTATTGCGGATTTTTGGTTTATGATCATCGATGCTTTATGATTGTTTCCTTGACTACGATTACTATTATCATCATTGATGAATATTTTGTATATGTTTATGACGGTTTGATTACGTCACTAGAGGAGGTGATTTGGAGTTTACTGCTCAAGTCAAGCGTGTACTTTTTTAAGTCAGGGCGCCGTATTGTCAGGCAACGCTTTATGAATATGTAGTGTTACGCGAGTGAAAAAAGACAAACACACAGCACAAAGAAAGTTTATTTGTATGTCATGGTTCCGCGCGGTTCTACAGAAATGAATAGGCACATGTGCACAGCATGTAGAAGATTTTATTTGTATGTCGCTCTACCCTGAACCCCGCGCGTTAATATTGGGAAATGATCATGAGTAGGCACACGCAACACAAGAGTATTTGTATAGTTTGTTTTTATTACCTTCGCCAAGAAGGTTATGTTTTCAGATGCGTCTGTGTGTGTGTGTGTGTGTGTGTGTGTCTGTCTGTCTTGTCTGTCTGGAGGCTATTTGCTACAATGCTAACTTTCAAACATAAACATTTCATGTGGGTTTGATGTTTGAAGGTTATGGGACAACTAGTGCATTTACCTTTACTTTATTTATAGTGTAACTCCTTTTCATGTACAGAAAATAACCAACATGCTGAAGACACTTCTGGTTCTCCTGCTAACCGTTTCAAGAGAAAGTAGCCCGACCGCAGCCTGCAGCAGCAGCTGTTCATCAGACTGTGACTGTTCCAACAGAGGCCTCAGCAGTGTTCCTCAGGACCTGTCTAGAAACATCACTAAGCTTAACCTAGAGGGCAATAGTATCACAAGCTTGAGTCAGTCTGATTTCTCAAAGTACACAAAGTTGGTAGACTTATTGTTGCAGAAAAATCAAATTTCCATAATTAATCCCGGTACATTCTCAAATATGGCCGACCTCATATGTGTGGACCTGCACTCCAACAAGCTAAGTAACATCCTGCCAGGCACATTCAAAAATATTCCAAAGCTTAGAATGTTGTGGCTGTACTACAACCCACTACCGGACATTAAGTCTGGTACATTCTCAGATTTACCCGAGCTCACTAGTATGCAGCTAGTGGGCAATCAAATGCGTAGCATTCACCCTGACATATTCTTAAACGTGCCTAAGCTTAAAACGTTGTACATGTGGGACAACCCCTGGCACTGTGATTGTAGAATGAAACCTGTCAGGAAAAGGATAACTGAGACAAAGTCCCCCTTCAAAAAACAAATTACATGTCAAGAACCTAGCAACGTCCGCGGTAAACAGCTTGACCGTATAAACCTCGAAGATCTGATATGTCAAAAACCTAAGATTGTGAGCTTTAACAATAACAAAGGTACACTGGTACAGGGTGAGACTCTCAATTTGGTTTGTAAAGCTTTGGGTATGCCTAAACCAGACATCACAGTCACCCTCCCATCTGGACTGAATACAACTATTGAGTCAGGAGGGAGGGTGACTGTGGAGGTGAAGAATACCACAGCTACAGTCACCATAACAGGTGTTACTGCAGCAGATGCTGGTCAGTACAAATGTATCGCAAGAAACCCAGGTGGCTCTGCATCTACTATACTGTTTGTTCAGGTTAAAATCCCAACAACAGTCCTGCCAGATGTGACATCTCTTAGCACTACAAAGATCTCCACTGTCGCAGCTTCAACATCTACCACAGGTATGATGCTAAAAAAACCAACGATCGTGAGGTTTGAAGTAAGCGATAACGCCCCAGTGCAGGGAGAGACTCTCCGTTTGGTCTGTGAAGTTTCAGGAATACCCAAACCAGTCATCCGATTCACCCTTCCTGGACTAAATAAATCTGATAAGTCCAGAGGGAGAGTGACTTTCGGCATGAATGATACTTAAGTTACCGTAAGAGATGTTACTGCAGCAGATGCTGGTCAGTACATCTGTACGGCAACAAATCCAGCTGGCTCTGCGTCTGGCAGACTGTTTGTTCAGGTTGAAATCCCAACAACAGTCCTGCCGGTCGTTACATCTCTTAGCACTACAGAGATCTCAACAGTCACAGTTACACCATCTACCGCACAGTCTGGCGGTAGGGTGTCCAAAACGCTAACATTTGTGGGTGGTGCTGGATCTGACAGACTGTTTGATGAGGTAAAAACCCCAACAGTCCTTCCAGATGTGACATCTCTTAGCATTACAGAGATCTCCACTATGACAGCTTCAACATCTACCACAGGTATGATGCTCAAAAAGCCAACAATCGTCAGGTTTATGATCAGTGATACCACACCAGCACAGGGGGAGACTCTATATTTGTCCTGTGAAGCGTTAGGTGTGCCCCCTCCCAGTGTAATTGTCACCCTCCCATCTGGACGGATTGCAACTGCTGAGTCCAGTGGAATGGTGACTGTGGCAGTGAATGGTACAGTCACCATAACCAATATTACTGTAACAGATGCTGCAGCTGGTCAGTACATCTGCATTGCATCAAATCCTGTCGGCTCCGCATCAGCCACAGTGATTGTAGATGTCCAAACCGCCACATTTGTTTCGCCCCCTTTCAACATTTTATCTCTGGTGTCAACATCATCTCCATTTGACAACTCCGAAGGCAATCCATCCATTTTCCCCCTGCCAGTTGCCATTGGTCTTGGCACTTTTGGCGCAGCTCTGTTGTTTTCTAGTCTTGTCCTTGAAGTTTGGTGGAAGCGAAGGACTAAAGAGCCTTCTGTAGTCTCAACACCGCAAATCAGTTCTCCAAATACAGACGTCGTGGGGAACAATGACTCGGGGGGTCAAGGTAGATCTACAAATCCCAAGGAAATCCATAGTGCTGCAGGTCCAAATGAACAGGTCGACATATCTGGGAATGAATATGAAGACCCTGAATCTCTCTTTGCCATTTCTTCGTGCATGACAAATAAAAACAACGATAACAACGCAGAGCCAGTCAAAGATGTATTGACCCATGAATTAGTAAACGTCGTGTACGGGCAGGATGTGGCTAGTTATAAGGCTGGGCAGACACTTGAGGAGAAGGCAGTAGCTGCTTCTCATGTCAGTCATGGTAATGACAATGAGAAAGCATCAGTACATGATACTTCTCATGTCATCTATGAAAATACTGATAAGGACACAGCAGTGCTTCCTGCCTCTGCTCAGTTCTCCCATGGATATAACAATGAGATACCTACATCTGCTGCTTCTCACCTCACCCATGGAAATACCAATGGGGATGAAGCAGTGCTATATGCTTCTGCTCAGGGTATTTATAATGGAAATGAGAATACAGAATCTTCTAAATGCATCTACAAGAATGATAATGGGAAATCAGAATTTCTGACTTCTCCAATCATTTATGGAAATGATGACGATAAAGCAGGTTATACTGCAGCTGCATCTCATCTTATCTATGAAAATCCCAATGAGGAAGAAGCAGTGTTATATGCTTCTGCTCAGGGTCTTTATGGAAATGAAGATGAGAATACAGAATCTCGTCAGTGCATCTACAAGAATGATAAGGAGAAAGCAGAATTTCTGACTTCTCCAATCATTTATGGAAATGATGACGAGAAAGTAGATACCACTGCATCTGATCTCATCTATGAGAATCCCGATGAGGAATGAGCAATGTGATATGCTTCTGCTCAGGTCATTTGTGAGAATGACGGCGCTAGCTATAGCGCTAAATAAAAAATCTATTGCAACTGAAACGACGTACAGGTTAAAGAAGGATAAAACAGAAATTTGGGCTTTTCGTGTTATCTATGGGTCCAATGAGAAGAAAACATCTATCGCTTCTCGTTTGATCTATGAGAATAATTATCATGATTGAAGGCACCCAATGCCATTTCAGGGCGATAAAACTAAGAAAACTGTTTACATTTTCATTTTTGTCATCATTTCATACCTGATGTGTTTAAAATATCCCCAAAACAAGCTACGCGAGAAGTCCCTTTATTCTTTTGGTACCACCAATAGATACCTAAAACCATCCTAGGATATGGAACAAGCAACCGTTTTCCGTCAACAAAATTTTGCCTGACAGATATCAGTGTGCTATGGGATATGGTTGGTTGAACTTACTATTTTTTTTTAAATCACTAAAACTTGACTTTGAAACTCAGTTTTACTTCCCTGAAATTAGGGAAAGTAGGGTGTCTTCAAGCTTCAAGGAAAAAATAACTACCCTTGGGATCCATGATAGTTCTTCGAAGATTGAGTGTGTACTCCCCAAAGAAAACATAGAGGATATACCCCGGAACTCTAAAAGACAGAGAGAAAGAAACAAGTGTCGTGTTAGTGAATAGCAAATAAGTTCCATGCTTACATTACATAAACCTGATGCCCAATTGTTATTGATAAACGCGAAGTGTAAAACATCATTCTTATTGTGGGTTTGTAATAGCGAATGCAACATAGTCTGCATAGAAGCCTTAATAGTTTAATTTTTCTTTGTTATGACAAATACAATATAAAAATGTATAAAACAAGCTGCAAGGCTTTGAGTGAGTAGTATCATGTAATTGTGATAAAGAAGTTTTTTAAATTCATTTGTGTCATTTAGATTCATTGAGATAGTATTCTCAAAGTATTGACGTAAAACGTATTTCTGATATTTCTGATTTGGAGAAATGTTTTGATGTTTTTGTATCCATTACTTTTTCAACATTATACTATTATTATTCTGTATATATTACTTTTTTCAACATTATACTATGTTTAATCTCCTTTTTGTGCATCTATTTACTTTCGTATTTTGAGATTCAAATCAGTCGATCTTTAGATGAGTCATGTGAGGATCATATTTAGCTGTTGAGTGTAAATTGATGAGAAAACTTGCCTTGAAATAATCATGGCGTTAATATATAAATAACAGTAAAGATACTTGGTGGAAGAAACGTTAATGATAACAGTAAAGATATTTAGTGGAAGAAAATGTTTTTTTATTGATGCAGGATGTTCTGTGGTGTTTTGACCAAATATCAAGTTCGGGAAGATGACCTATGTACATGTATTACATACCACGTCCTGCAGACAAACATTGATGTAAGCCAAAACAAAACAAAACAAAAAGGGTTTAACTTCGTGTAATATACAGTGAATAGCTATAGGTTGGCACATGCTTTTCCTTTCAAAGACAAAGTTATTAATCTGTTCTGAATTTCTACAGTTTATCTATGATATCTATGTGTTACAATACTGATCAAACCTTACGATATAGCTTTACTTTAATTTCATTCATTAGTAAAACGTATACGATTATTAACACGGATAAACTTATCATACAGGTGTACTGTGTAGGAATGTAAGACGTTTTAGCATTTAAGAATGTATATCAACAATATGAAATTCAATTAAAAGGGTTTAGAATGGAAAACATTGTATTATCTGTATGAGAACTCTGAACTTGATATTGTCAGCCTCTCAGACTGTATTGAAGAAAAACTCAAATGATGTTTCAAATATTACCAGTGAATATTTGTCCTGACGATTTATATCAGTAAAATTATTGTTCTCCAACGTGGGAACATATGATTCATGCAAAAGCAGATCTCGAGTTATTTCAATTTCTGTACTAACAAGCACAATTCGTGATACTGCTGTAAAAAAACGAAATAGCATAATCCAAAAGGAAACAAAAGTTTGACAAAGTCTAGACAAGTAGCGAAACCAAAAGAGACATTTACCCGTCACCAAGACATGTAAACGTGTTGTTAGAAATCCTATACCCCTTGGTTTCATCAGGCAAGTCCCTGTTGCATTCTAAAATGCGTTATTCAACAACATGTTTCGGAATGGACCACGTTTTGGAATACAACACAACATGCAACCCACTTCCTGTTATTCCAAAACATGTTTTGGAATGGAACACGTTTTAGAATACAGATGTACTCCACTTCGTCGTGTTCCAAATCATGTAGTGGTAAGAAACGTTTTTGTTTTAATGCAACAGTCCTTGAGCTCATTCTAGCGGCCTATTTCATATGGTTTTACAGTTTTGTTGAGCCCACCGTTGCCTTGGACACAATCATGTACTCGAATGGACCATAAGGACACCTCTGTGTGCATGTGCATTGTTTTTCTGCAACTTTTCGGCACATTTCATATGGTTTTATGGTTTTGGTGTGGCTTCACTCGTTGTGTCCACTGTTGCCTTGGACACAATCATGTACTCGAATGGACCATAAGGACACCTCTGTGTGCATGTGCATTGTATTTCTGCAACTTTTCGGCACATTTCATGTCTGCATGGTTTTACGGTTTTGGTGTGGCTTCCCTTGTTGGGTCCACTGTTGTCTTGGACACAATCATATACTCGAATGGACCACAAGGACACTTCTGCGTGTGTGTACATTGTATTTCTTAATTGTAAACTTTTTTTCAATTCTATATGTTAAGTAGTCGTTGTCATACATTGTACAATTGTCAGGCATGAAAGTTCTTCTGCGTGCCATATATTTATTCAACTGATCATAATTTTTTATAGCATAAAACGTGCTTTTCTAAGCATTTGTGATTCTGTACGTTTAGAACATTTGTAAACTTAGAATTCGGAAGACAAGTTCCTTGACTTGACTTATGTCGGGTGCCAGTCCTCCCTTGCCACCCGAACCACCATGGCAGCCCAGTAGCTCCTGTCCTGTATCCGTGTAGCCGGTATAACCGCCCTTCGGCGTAACACACCAGCTTCGCAGGCACACGGCTACATTACACCGAACGACTTGTTACACCTAACCCTTGAACATCTCACTCTAAACATTGTTTAAAGCTATCTAATGATGATTCCCCTACTGTCGAAGGCAAAGGTTCATTCTGATGAAGATATTTATTGCACTACAATTGTACATGGTACAGTGTATGACAACGACTGTTGAACATTCATCGCGTTTACCTTGAGTCTGTTACCTTGAATTTATTCATTTTTTTGTTCTTTCTTTCTTTTACGAGTTGCGAGCTTTGCGCCTGCGCCCAGAGTAGACGCTGTTGCGTTTCTCACTCAGAACTGTGTGTTCTTCTGACGAGTGGCGGACGCTGTCAACTGCTCAACGACTATAGATTAAAAAAAAAACAACTAAAAATCGAAGATGTTCATCCGTTGGATCAAAAGTATCATCCTGGCGTGTACCTTGCTCCATGTAGTTAGCCAAGCGTCAGGTAAGACGATTTTATCTATTTGTTTCCACATCAGGTGGTCCTATCTATTTTTTTCGTTAAAAAAAAACACCCAAATGCGATTTAAGGACAGTCAAACTGGATTCTTGATGTCAATATACTGGTCATGTAATTTTTTAAATGTAGTAAGTTTAATCAATCCTATCCCATAGCACACAATGTGCTGGATGGTGCTTGTTTTGTGTCGTAGGCTAGCTATATGTGTTAATTGCAATTGGCGATACCAAGAAAATAAAGAGACGCCTCACGTACGTTGTTTTGGGACTTTTTAACATGCTTAAGGTATGAGATGATGCCGAAACAATGCTAAGAAATGGCAGTCAATGTCAATATCAGACAGATTACTCATCCAGGATATTTTTTGTTGAATTGGACGCCTTCATCGTATTCCTTCAGCTGTTTGTCTAACTTTCTCCTTTTGCAGTCCAGAAGAGAGAAGCTGATGATAGAATACATGCATTAACAATGAAGAACACAATGCATTGGCAGAAAGTAGTGGGGAATTGAATCAAGTGAGATATGGGGAGATCAGTTAACTTAATATTTGAAGTTATGGTGCATCTTCGGTACCAAATTGTCAACTTTCTAAGGGTCCATAGGGTAAAATGTTGAAACAAACAAACAAACAAAAAACAACAACAGAAAAGTCCGCCAGGCCTGAAGCTATTTCAATTCATTATGTGGCTCAACACCAGCCATTTACAATAGCCTCTAGTAGGCTTCAGAAGCTGCTTTAAAACGTAGAATGTGCCCAAATAGGCAAAACAAATCATGCCAGTTGAGTTGGTCGGCCAAAGGAGTACATGTAGTATGTGAGCTGCCGCTTTGAGTGGACCAACTCCCCTGGTATGTTATGTATTTGGCCAATTGTTAGTCTTCCAGCCGCTTCTGAGCCTGATAGAGGCTATTCTACATACCACGCGTGCGGTTCTTGGAATTTAAAAAAAATGATCTGTCCAAAAATTTTCATCTGGTTTCTCGTGTTATCATCTCTGTATTCCACCGTATTTTGTTACGTTGTCATGGCAACATGGCAACAGATGGCGCGGACGAATGAGCAATGCGCGTCTCCCAAAACACCTGCTGGCTCGTAAACTTCAAACTGGAATAATTCATGAAGCAACAACTGCCGCTCTCCGATGTAAAACTGTGGAATCAGCTCAGTAAACCAAGGACACCCCAAGGACAAAGTGTTTGTGCCACGCCTCGGTACATTTTGTGATAAACTCCGGACAACCGCACACTCCTGCAGCAAAGAATTTGTCAATTGTGTAGCTTGAACAAGGTGGAAGATAAAATCCACTCTGTCGTAGATTGAAGTTTATATAGCAACGATAGAAATAATCTTTTTGAATATATTACAAGAAGGTTTCCATACTTTCAATCCTTGGCTAATATTGAAAAATGCAATTTTTTTTACAAAGAGACGAGAATAAGCCAAACCTCTGTATTTAAGTTGTTTTAGAGATAATGTTGTGAGAATAACATCTGAAGTCGTGTCTGTAACTATATACCACTGCATCTGTTAACCTGTACTTAGCCTGATACGGCATGGATGTACAATAAAGGTTTTCTCAATATATCAAATGTCAGCTCAGAGACAGTCAGGCCTTCAAGTACCAAATTTATAAATCAAGGATTGAGAGAAAATGGAGGAATTTAGGTTAGAGAATAGAGCTTATCACAAAACTCCCTGATAACAAATATGACGCGTGCAACAGTCTTTATAATTACAATCTGCCCAAATACATCAAAATATTCATTATATTCCATATAGCATTTGCTTCTTTTAACGGTGCTTAGCCTTGATCGTATATATCTGCTGTTATTTGGTCGCAAAGATATTACGATCATATTCAAAAATCTATCTGAATATTCTACTTCTTTCATCATTATGTTATGACCTTGCCAAGAGGCATATCACCGCACAACGTTGACGTTACCATGGTTACATATCATCAAATGGTCAATAATAAAAAAAACGCTTCGACTCTTTTAAACGCGCTGCGTGCGCATAAACCTTTCGCGTGAATAATTTATGATAAAGCAATAACTTCTCTGATATGAAACAAAGCATCTCTCAAGGACAACGTGTTTATGTAGCAGGGTGGTACAGAGAGCATCATTCCTATTCCTAAAAAGGGACTTTTCTGATGTTACATGCAAATACGGAGGTTTTATTTTCGATGTGTTTGTTTTATCCATTATTACCTCCATGAAAATGGAGGTATTGTTTTCGGTCTCTCTCTCTCTCTCTCTCTCTCTCTCTCTTATTCCATATTTAATAAGACAATTAAAAAAACATTTACAAAAACTCATGGAGGTATGAGGTCTCCGAATTTTTCACAGAGCCACAAGAAGTGAGGTAGAAATGGTGTAACAGCATCATCCAGACCAAAAACAGTACCTACCATGTCATGGAGTGGAAAACTCTTAACGACTCTTAAAACCTTCAAAGATGTATGAAATCTTCGATTTCTTGTTAAATTTCAATTTTAACAGGTTGCCCTCTTGGGTACACTCTACACGATCCCGTGAATGCATGCTTCAAGGCGTACAGCCAAGCCAAGACGTACCACCAGGCCAGGGATGTGTGCGCGGCGGACGGAGGGCTCCTGGCCATGCCCAAGACCAGCAGCCTGAACAACTTCGTGATGAATCTGATGAACGAGTTGGATCCAGGTGCAGAATACTGGCTTGGCTTGAACGATCTGGGTACTGAGGGCGTTTGGCTATGGGAAGATGGAACTCCACATGCCTCGAATGACTGGGGGAACTGGGGCGCGGGGGAACCCAACAACTTGGGAGGAGGAGAGCACTGTGCACTCAAAAGGCGCAATGGAGATTGGAATGACTGGCCCTGCCCTGGAACGTATTATTACAAGTTCGTCTGCCAGGTTCAATGGCGAGGTAGGTCATGAAATTATCTCGAAAATTATTTTTCTTTTACAGAACCAGTAATTTCTTTGATTTGAAATTTTCAACGACCACTGGCCATATATATCAGGGCACTCCCGCCATCACTTAATAGAGACGCTGGACAATATAAACCCCCTGGCACGTTTGATCAATTGCTGACATCACGTATCCGTAAAGTCTCACTCGAATAAGGTCACGTATCTGTAACCGTAACTCCCGCGAGATTACGTTCGGAAGTGAAGGCAACAGTGGAAAATGTGATCCCTCTGTACTCGTTGTGTTGGAATTAAGTTCAACATTTTACTATGAGATAGAGTATTGTGAAACTATAGACTCAAATAACGGATCTCTTTCTTTAACTTGACATATGTTGCAGGAGGAGGAGGAGGCTTTGGTTATGACACCGGTATGACTTTTGTATCAGTTTCAATTGTATCATGTATAACGTTATCAGTTTAATTCAAAACGTCATATAATGAATATGTCATATAATGAATATGTGAGTGAGTGAGTAACTGAATGAGTGAGTGAGTGAGCGAATGGGTGAAGACTAAATGTAGCCTTGAGAGCGTACACACTCATCAATATTCTAAAAGATCATTTCACTTCTATTACAGTACAGTGCCCTGCCCTGCCAGCGCCAGTGAACGGTGCGATGACTGGCGCAAATAACGTAGATGGGGTGGTGACGTTCACCTGTAATGTTGGATACGAGCTTGATGGGAGCCCCAGCTTGACCTGCCAGGCTGACCTGACGTGGGATGGGAGCGTTCCGACCTGTCCTCGTAAGATTTTTTAGTTAATAAACTCCTGTCACACACAGCCGAAGATGGCTTTCCGAACACTAGCCGAACGATTAGTAGTAGGTCGGTCCACCATCTTGGATTTTGACCAATGACGTCATCAAATTTGCATAGATTATTAACATTTAATGATAGAAATTACATAAACATTCTAAGATGTTACATAGCAGTTTTTTCATTAGCACATTTGTTTCTGTATCAGGTGTACAATGCCCGACACCACCGGCCCCTGTTAATGGTTATTTGAGCGGCGGCAACTTCTACCAGGACGTGGTACAGTTCACGTGCCATGGTGGATACGAGCTTGTAGGGAGACCCAGTTTGATCTGTCAAGTTGATGCTACGTGGAACGGGGCCGTCCCAACCTGTACTCGTAAGATTTTATTTATTTATTTATTTATTTATTTATTAGGTTCATGAAAATGTAATCAGAAATTGAAACTTGTCCAACAAGTCAGTAATAAACTAATTATCGTTAACGTAATCTTGCTTCCGAGTCGTTCAATTTTTTTATTGTCACATAGAAACTTTCCTTTTTATAAGCATATTTCTTTATTTGAAGTGATTATTGTTTATATATCGGTACGAACTAGTTGGAAGCCCCGAGCTGATGCCGCGTTCATCTAGTATCTAGTCGTCTGTTATATAACGTTATATTTTAGTTTTTAATTGTCATGTATCCGTTTTTATATGCATATTACTTCTTTTATTAGGTATACAGTGCCCGATATTACCGTCGCCTATTAATGGTAATTCGAATGGCCGCAACTTCTACCAGGACGTGGTACAGTTCTGGTGTGACCCAGGATATGAACCGATGGGACAGTCCAGTTCTACCTGCCAAGGAGACAGAACATGGAGTAGTAACGTGCCATTATGCAACGGTACGATTTGGACCAATAGGAGAATGAGAATTCAATACTTTTGATTGGACAAAGTCCGTCTTACAGGCTGCAGTAGTAGATTCAACTTCACGTGTTTTAGTGTTCTGCAATATTGCAGAATGTCAAAAACATTGTTCTACAACAAGACTTGAGCTGCAGCAGCTACAGCTTTTAAACTTTTGAAACAGCGACGAATCACTATACTAGATATGAAGCTGTATGAAATATGGTATGATGTTGTTGGCGATTAGCATTTAATCAGTATTATCTATGAATTTATGGGATTTATTATTAACTTATTGTTGAAAATGTAACAATGAAGCATTGTAAACAAGACCCCTGACCATCCTCCCTTGAACTCTGGAAAAGTGGCCATGGACAAAAAGTTTTGTAAGTTTTCAAGGTCAAATAAAGGTTGGAAGGTACTAGTACGTGCGCTATTCTTGCCCTTTTGCAGACGTTGATGAGTGTTCAGCTGCAGTTGCCGGCTGTGATCAAGTATGTGCGAACACGATTGGCAGCTTCCAGTGTTCCTGTGTTGGAGGATTCAACCTGAACACCAATGGCCTTTCCTGTGACGGTAAGTGTAATTCATTGTACATACCTCTTGTAATCATGTATTAAAAAGTTTTCCAACAGTTGGTACTTACATATATGGAGTTAACTGTTTAAAATTTAATGACTTTATATGTAAATCGGCACTCATCTATTGAAGATGGACAGCACTTTATTATGGATTTTTATTGGATTGTTATTGGATGGAAAACACACCTTCTTTCCGCTTGCTCAACAGAATTTGTTACATTTCGTACTATACTATACTATACTATACTATACTATACTATACTATACTATACTATACTATACTATACTATACTATACTATACTATACTTTTGTTGTGCGTGTCAATAAAGATATCTCTATCTCTTCTTGTCCATTTACTCAGACATCAACGAATGTATGCTTGCAAATGGCGGGTGTCAGCAGAACTGTCATAACATCATCGGAAGCTACTGGTGCACCTGTGGGACTGGTTACACCTTGAATGTGGATGGTCTGACATGTTCCGGTGAGAGGGTCTAGTAATAATTATATACTTCAGTAGTCTAGTCATAGTCAGACCTCCCGAAGGCTGTAAAATGGTTACATTTGAGAATGACTAAAGTAGTCCCAGGTTTTCAGTTTTGTTTTTGCCTGATAAGTTGTCACACTGCTAGGAACATACAGATTACTAAATAATACTTACAAGAAAAAATATCCGAAAATTACAAACATTCGACATGTATATAGAACAACCATCACAAAACTCCGGATTAGTTCACACAAACTCCACATATAAACAAGGGCAGACATAACCGCATTCCTCTACAGCAAAGAATTTGTGAATTTTGTAATTTAGATAAACTTGAGGATGAGTGTCATTTTTTGTAGTTGATTGTACATTATATAGAAATGAGAGAGATACCCTCTTTACTTTATACAAGATAATTTCCCCAGCTTGAGGCTTTTATATAAAACAGAAAAATTCGTATTTCTTATGAAACTCGACAAAGCATTAGCCCTATATGTTCGTACATGTACAACTGCCTCAAGTTGTATCTGTAAATTGTACATAGTCATTACGTAGTTTGCCTTGGTATGTACCGTTTTTAAGTAAGACATTACTGTTAATTTTTCCGGTTTATTCAATTGCCTGTAGTTAGCTTGTAAGAGCATAAACGTACATTTATGCATTCAATCATTTTCCAATGCAGACGTGGACGAATGTTTTGCTGCCAGAGGTGGCTGTGATCAGCTGTGCACCAACACTGTCGGCAGTTTCCTGTGTTCCTGTGGAGATGGTTATAGTTTGAATGACGATGGATTTTATTGTGATGGTGAGAGACTTGTGGCTAATGGCGGATTTAACGGATTTCTTTGATTTTTGCTTTATGATTATTAGCAGTTGTTGGGGTTTAAGTCATGTTTTTTTTAATTTCATTTATATACTTACCAGAGGTTTAGAATCTCATTTTTTTCATTTCTGACTTTCTGTCTTGTAATTAGTAGACATAATAAGACAAACTAAAATAAGATAAACACAAGGGGTACATATTTGAGGTTGATGGTAAACATAAATTTGATTTCTTTTATCTTGCAGACGTTAATGAGTGTGAAACTGCGAACGGTGGTTGTGGACAGATTTGCGACAACCTGATCGGAAGTTTCCAGTGCTCTTGTGGAGATGGTTATGCCTTAAATAGTGATGGTCTCGCTTGTGACGGTAAGCATTTCAATTTTGTCTCAGGACTGATCTCGTTTCTGTTACCTTTTAGATTTTGCAGACAATCAACATCAAGTTGCATATGTAGTTCAAAGTATAATCAGCAACAGGATATTTGGCATTCGTCTGCAGCCATTATCAGCTATCAGTATGTTTTCGTCAATTAAGTTACTGTTGGTACCATAATGGTAAATCAATTGTGAACAAAGTTCCTTGCACACAAACTGGTCAGTATTACCCCAAAGAAAGAAGAAGTTACAACACTACATTCTTTACTCATTACTATTCGTTACACAAGTTGTACCTAATAAGCTAGGTGTTAATAGTTACCTAAAAAATCTTGCTATTCAGTGGTTTTAGTAGTTTAATTAAATATTTGGGCGACAGATCAAATAGATGCACAGAGTACGACCCCTGACCTAACTTGACCCAGAGGTCATGTGTATATTGTCATCACTAGTAGCGGTCAGTGGGAGCTCACGTACGTACTCGAGTTCATCTGCACTTTCTGAACTTTCTTAGGCGTTACTGTTGTCAGTTACGTCATTTCTGCGACCTATACTAGTTCCAAGGACAACAGGCAGTACTTCTAAATTATGGAGCCTTTTTTAAACCGCATGGAGGGCTGGATTCCCCGCCTCAAGAAGGGAGTTCGCTCCGCGTCGCGGCCTGCCGGGCTCCGGCCTGAGCGCCTGCAGGGCTCCGCCATCATTTTCAGGTCTTCCTCTTTGTCTCTCTATGATAAGTGTTGAGTGTGAGTGCAGATAATTGTTGTTTTTTTCTTGCTCATACAGACCTGGACGAATGCGTTTATGCCAACGGCGGCTGTGAACAACTGTGTACCAATATCCCCGGGAGTTTCCAGTGTTCTTGTGGCCCTGGCTATAATTTGAGTGGCAATGGGTTCTCTTGCGACGGTAAGCATCTATTGCATTTTAGCATTAAAATTATGCTGAATTCCTTCTTTCTTTCCCCCCGATAAGCATTGAAGCATTTTCATTCCTTGAAATCATTTTTAGCATGTAATTCAAGTACAAGTTTCTAAAAACCAATTTCTTGTGTTGGAAATTACAGTTCAAACGTGCTTCATAATGACTTCTACCAACACAGATAATATTTAAGTTTCAAGAGAGAAAAGACTGTTGACATGCTTCAATGATTAAAATATAACGGTTATGTTTAAAGGTTAACCGCGTCGCGTAATCTACGAGAATTCATTAAAAGCTGTGGTGATCATTTTTCATTACTTGACTTTATTTCTTACCTCAGACGTGGATGAGTGTATGTCTTTAAATGGTGGATGTGAGCAGACCTGCACCAATACTACTGGCAGTTTCCAGTGTTCCTGTTTAGTCGGTTTTAGCTTAAGTAGTGATGGCTTTACTTGTGACGGTAAGTGAACTCTTTTTGGACTAGTAAGTTTCTTTATATCATTGCTATAATAATTGTATTACTTATATTGTATATTACATCAGCATCCGCATAAAATTATCAATAACAAGAAATAACAAAATGTTAATCTTTAACATTGATTGATTGAACATACGTTCATACAAAACTTAAGACTTAGAGATAATGCACCTACAACTAAAACAAACAAACTGAAAGCTTTTCTTTGAGTTTTGATTCGTAAATTTTGCAGACGTGGATGAATGTACCAATGCAAACGGTGGTTGTGACCAGAACTGCACCAATAGCATCGGGAGTTTCCTGTGTTCTTGTGAAACTGGCTACAGCCTGAACGCCGACGGGTTCTCCTGTGATGGTAAAGAACACATTTTATTACATCCATGATAAATGGAGGTGTGGTTTTTGGTATGTCTGTACTACTGCTTGTTAGTGGGTGCGTGTGTATGTGTGTGCGCGCGTGTGTGTATGTGTGTGCACGCGTGTGTGTGTGTGCGTGCGTGCGTGTGTGTGTGTGTGAATGCGTGTGTGTGTGTGTGTGTGTGTTTTCGCATGGTCCTTAGGTCAGGTTTTGATGGATATTGTTGGGTTCCGTCTGTCCCAGAGGGGGAAGTCATTACTAATCACTTCATCCGGTAGAGCTCGTGTTTTTCTTGTCATGACCTACTTGATAGCTAACAGCTGGTATTGTTTCCCTTGCATGATAAAGAAGGAATGCAATTTGAAAATCACAAGGAATACAATTTGAAAATCAAGCAATATACAAAGATTTCTTAAAATCAGATAGCATCCCGGCTCATTCTTTATATTCGTACAGCATAGCCACAACGTCTGATACATTCTGATCGCATTTGAGGGAGATAATAATGGGCCACGATGAGAATGCTTGGAGTGCTCTTCAAATTTTCCGAATACACTTCAAATAGTTAGGGATACCGGTATACAAAGAATTCTCATTCGGACGGAATTTTGGATCACTCTGCCTCTCGTGTGAAAGGGGCTTCAATGTTAACTTCTCAATCTGTGTCCAGATATCAACGAATGTACAACGGAAAATGGTGGCTGTGAGCAGATGTGCAACAACACCATTGGAAGTTTTCAGTGCTCCTGTCACATTGGTTACGTGTTGAATATCGACGGCCTTACATGTGAAGGTGCGTAGGTATTTGTATTCACTTCTTAGTTATAACATAATATACTGTTAGTAACTGGTGGGCCTCCAACTTTCCATCACATTCTAGTAGTGCTTTGGTTTCAGAACTTCGAACATCTAGAGTATACATGTAGGAAACAAAGTACTAAAGGACGTCCAGTTTTCGAAAATGTATATCATTTGAAAGGTTACATTACATAATTGTTACCCTTATATGGCCCAACACAATACAGCTCTGTACAGTTTCTTCTTACTCAAACACATTCACACACACCTCTACGACTCTGTCCTGCAACTTGCTACATAACCTAACCCAACACCAGAGGGTGTCTTCCACAGCATCAGTTATCTTTGTATCAAATGTGTTTGAAAAAGAAACAGAGCAAAAACAATATGTTTTCCTCCTGCAAACGTAAACAAAAAACTGGAGAAACAAGGAATCAAAGGGGTCTGGATTGTCGCCATACTTTTCTACAATGCCGTTACAATTACAAACATTATTGTAATACAATTTGTTTCTTCAACAACAGACATAGATGAATGTAATACCACCAATGGCGGCTGTGCACAAATTTGCAACAACACCATCGGAAGTTTTGAGTGCCTCTGTCGTACCGGCTACATTCTGAATATCAACGGACTCACCTGTGATGGTAAGCACACCTTCTTAAACAATGTTGGCATTTGAAAAATTCACGATATCAAATATGCTTGATACCATTCAGAAGCATCCGATGTATACACAGCAAGAAAAGTTGGATTTACCAATGGTAGTATATGTAAATTTCTGTAAAGTCTGGTAATGTTAGTACTTTAGTAACTAAAAGTCTATGAAATATCAAGATAAAAAGGTATTCTAATGTATTTTGACATTCATAGAGCAAAAATGCCGAAATGTTGATGCGGGGCAGTATGTGTCACTATCATAGAATATTTTCAGTTTTGCCATCCTGGAATGGCATTGGATGCCTTTGAAATGTCCATTATGTTCTTCTCAGATATTGACGAATGTGACACAGCAAACGGAGACTGCGGACAGTTCTGCAATAATACTCTTGGTGGTTACAACTGCTACTGCGCATCTGGGTATAGTTTAGCTGTGGACCAGTTTGCCTGTGATGGTAAGAGATCCTTTCTAGCTTTGGTTTTAGAGTAAGGCCACAATGATTTAATTCTATGGATGACATCCTCAAGCTTAGATCTTATGTTAGTGGACCACTAACAAAGATACAATCAATCTCATAACTGACATAAACAAGGGAACCGGATCGTCGTTAAAATAGGTATAACAGGAGTAATGTAAGTAAAACCATAACAAAAACATTAACAGCCAGTAATGAACAGCAAAGGTTCCAAAGGTAACATATGAGAGTGATAATTACAGAATGTTTGAAAGCTATTAATGATAAAAGCGTTTGGCTTCTAACAATATGGCTGAGTTATATCCATGATTGAGATTTTTTAGTAGCTTTTTTAGACGTTGTTAAACATGACATCGACGTAGTTTTATGCACAAACCCGTAATAGAATTAAAGACAGACAACTCAATCACCTGTAATATAATGATATAAAAAGGATCAGAGAATCATTGTTGACACTTCTTATACATACAGGATTCGACCCTGCTTCGAATCTTTCCTGTTCGTTTACAACAACGACCTCCATATCCTTAACTTGGACCAAGCCAGTTGCTGACATCAGGGGTTACAGTGTTACATACATACCTACATCCGGTTCGTATCTATGGACACCTTTTACTTTTCTAGACTGTCTGGATTATGCTTTTAGCAGTTCATCAATTTGTACATAAGGCTTAACACACCTACAAGCTTTTCCTTATTACCTGTTGGGGTCTAATATTACCAATTCCAACCCATACTCGAGCTCCGACTTTGACGCTATATGGTTACTTGATTAGCGTTTAATCCATGGTGGCAGATGTTGGCATCTGATTGATCGCAAATAATGGGTTTAAAAGATTCTGTCAATAGTGAGAAAATCTGCACTATTTGATCCTCTGAATAGTGATCCTGTCAATAGTGAAAAACTTGCACTATTAAAAGGATGATCCTGTCAGTAGTGGAAAAATTTGCACTATTTACAGGATCGTTTGTGGGAAAAGTTGCACTATTGACAGTCAATAGTATTTTCTTTCTATTGACAGGATGGTCACTTTGTCACTATCATGTGATGTGGATCATCCTGTCAATAGTCAACAGTATATTTAAAAGATGCCTCCGCCCCTGAGGCGTCGCCAAAAAACTAACAATGTCTATTCCTTCCTAGGAATCTACCAGCCCTCACTGATGACGTCTTTCCAGAGCCGTAACGACACCAGCGCGGTGATATCCAGCTTGTACAGCGGAGTCCAGTACTCCTTCACTGTTCTTGCCTTTGGGATGTGGAATGACAGCGCTAACGCCAGCGTAACGTGTATAACTGGTGATTATCCGTTAGTCATGTTTTCTGAATAGCAATACAGGGTGGTCAAATTTAGGCCCAATTCAGACCAGTAACTGGTGCTGTAGCAGACACCCTGTGGTGTTGGATTACATTATGTAACAGGACAGAGTTGGGGGGGGGGAGTCTGGTCAACATATAATACATGCATTCGAGTAAGAAGAAACAGGGCAGTAGTTTGTAGGCTAGACCAAGTAACGTAAACAGTGTGCAATTGCTTTGCAAATGTTACCTTTCAGATTTCTAATTTTAGACGTTTCCAGATGTCTAATACTAAACGTTTTCTTATTACAGAACTTCCTCCTCCTACAAACTTCAGTGTTAGTCGTGTCGGTGCGAAATCAGTCACTGTGAGGTGGTTACTACCTGCTAGAGCATTGGTGGTCGGTTACAAGGTGTGGGTAACAGACAAGGAAACGACTGTTGTAACTTCGATACAGTATGTACCTACATCAGCGGTCTCTGCCACCTTCACATCTCTAATCCCCGCTACAGAGTACCTGGTGGCAGGGACGTGCGTCAATTCACACATCGCTGGACCACAAGCAAACGTAATAGCTGTAACAGGTGAGAGCCTATTTATCACCTTAAAGACACATTATGACGATGCATAAAATCAATTTCTGGTCATTGTCATCAGCCATGTTTGTTTATATTTTAGTAGATTTTGGTGCCACAAACTGAGTGTGTCTCGTGTGGTCTGCTTTACCGCCAACCTTAAATATCATAAATAGGAGATACATTTTGTAATTGCACAAATATGTTGAAAAGTGGAAGTAGAGTCCATTCCGCGTCACCAAGTGGGTTGTTATTGTCATTATTTAGAAATGTTTTGAATTCTTTGTAATTGTTTGTCTAAGAAATTTCATAATTTGGAAATATTTTGAACATCTTGTCAATATTCTAAATAATTCCCTGGTTTTCTAAAACGTTTGAAATATTCCTGATGTGGAATATGACATTTCCAATAGTTTCTAAATATTTCTAACAGCACTCTACCATTTTTTACCATTATTTCGAATTATTTCTAACATTTTGTAAATAGGTCAGTGGGATGGGAAGGAAGTAATTCACACATCCCTGTGAAGTACAGGGTAGACTGCCTGGGCGTCAGGCATTGATGCCTTACAACAAAAGAGCCACCAGTGTCCAGCAGTGAAATCTAAAATATACAGAAGAATACAGAAGAGAAGGATTAGCACCTACTTTTATGGGGGCAATTACCCACATCTACCATTTTTCATTTATTTGAAATAGTTCTAAATATTTCGAATAGTGAAAGAAACAAATGGGTAGTTCAAATTTATTCTAAATAAAGAGATCTTTGTACAGTCACTTTCAAAATGTTTCAGAAATATATAAATGAATTCAAATATATTCAAATTTTCATTTTTCAAATTTTTGAAAAATTTAGAACTTTTGTTACTAGGGTATTCTTTTCTTCTAAATAATTCAAACGTATTAGAAACATGGAGAAAAAACCCACTCGGTGACGCGGAATCGACTCTAGATTACAATCACACGAAGATTTTTATCAAAATATTTAAATTCTTGGTGCAACAATGTTTAATCATAATGCTGGCACAAATGTTTGTTGTCAAAATTGCTTGTCATTAAATTGTCCTTTTTTCTATCTTTGTGCAACATTTGTTGAGAAGTGTTGTTGCTGTAGCTTTTGTTGCTGATGCGCACAATGTTATGAATTTGACATGAATGGATACATATTGGATAAAATCTTCTAATATCTCTATCACTATCTTTATCTCTATCTCTATTTGGTGTTTTAACCACAGATACCGATGGTCCAAGAGATTTGATAATCGAAGATGTCAAGCCTAGTAGCTTGTTTCTTTCCTGGGTCTTGCCGGTTGCCAAGCTTACTGGATACGAACTGACGTACGGCAGTGTACAACAACACAAGGAACGCCGATCCACAGGTTCTCTCACCTTGCCTGGTAACACGGATAGATATTTGCTGCAAGGACTTGTCCCTTCTACTCAATACATGGTCAGCTTGACGGCCATCAGTCTTGTTGGGCGTTCTGAAAAAGTATCCTTAACAGGTACAACAGGTGAGCAGAGAGCAACAAGTATCTAAGTATCTATACCATAATGTTATGGATGACATCCACGAGCGCATCGAATGTACTGAAAAAATCACCTTCTCCGAGGCTCTGTCCTGCTGGGTGCCATCTTCCGTAGTCCATTATAGTCAGCGACAATAGAGAGCCAGTAACTACGGAGGACGGCACCCAGGCTGCCGAGGCTCCACGGAACTTAAGAACTCGATCAGTGCTGGCTCATACATGCCACAAAAGTCCTATTCTCCAAGCAGAAGTTTGGGTTTGGGCGTATTTTTAGGCTTTTTTATCAAGGTTTCTCTTTTGCACTAGAATTTTTCCCCCGTCTCTATATTAGCTATACGGTTATTTACGTCATCACCCTTGCGGATTCCAGGAAGAATATTGTGAAATTTATGTAATACTAAAGGTTAACATCATCCGACGAAGGTATGATATCGTCGGACTCTAGTTACATGTTACTTACCCCGTAATTTCAGCTACGGACCCACCGACTGAGCTGACGGTTAGGGACGCGTCCTCCACCTGGATGTGTGTGATGTGGACACCGCCTGTAGCAGCTGTTGTCGCCTATGACCTCAAAGTAATCGACGCTATCAGCCAGGAGGAGATACACTTCAGGTAAACAAACTGCCTTCTTTTGTGCATATTACGTACGATGGACGTACTAACTACTAAGTATCTAATACCAGCTTTTAATCAAACCACTGTACTGATAGATGGAAAAAAACTGTAATGACCAGTAAGACATTCACTTGAGATTTTTTATACCAAAATTTTGGAGTTGATTCAGAACCTAAATTGTTTTTCCAAATCATAACAAAATTAATCGGGTGAATCCGAGAAGCAATTGGTTACATTGGCATGGCCTTATCACAGGACACAGGATTGCTACATGTCTTTGCCTCAACATAGCTGTTAACCGTTTGTTTTAAAAAGTCTGTTTTAAGATTTTTTTTATAAGTCTGTTCATTATCCACTGTTATCACAAAGTTATCTAAATTGAACATACGTACAAGTGCATACTTAAAAGGACTTGCAATGGTCATCGCACCTTATATGTGTTGTCTCTTCTTGCAGCATACCCTATACCATAATGGAGTTCAACATAACGGGGCTCTTCCCAAAGACGAAGTACGTTGTCCGGATTGCAGCCGTCAGCATGTACGGACGTAGTGTGGAGGATGGCAGCTTTGGAAGCACCGTTGCCATGAGCGTTGACAATACAGGTATGACTGTATGCTCCTGTGAGTTCTCACCAGGCACTCTTTTCAGTTTTCGGTCGTGTTTGTATGTTCGCAGCTATGAATCAAAGTGGGTTTGACAGATTTCTTTGATTTCGGTATATGATTAGTTCTCCAAGCCCAGATGATGTGGCTTGTTGTGTTTTGTTGCGGATTTCTTGGTGTCTGTACATTCATTTATTGAAATAATTCGACACCCCTGTGCTGCTGGGACTATGGTACCGCCTATCAACAGTTGTTGTCCACTGTTAGAGAATAATGGGCTGTACCACACTACTTTCAGGAGTGGTTAAGCCTGTATTGTGAATTGTAATTGCAACATCCCCCGTCTTCTAAGTTATGTAATGGTGCTGCATTGCTGTTAATGTGATGTCTGAAATTGTCAGTAGTTGTTGTGAACATTATGTAATTTATAACTCCTGGAGGTTTCAAATCTCAGATTTTTTGAGAATGTAGAATGTAGCTACGAATGTATGCTATACATGATATGAGGGTAAAAAAACAGAAGCCACGGCAAATATTTAATTTAGTTTTTTTTTGCATTTCTTTCAGACACTGATGCTTTAAGCTCAAAAGCCACTACAATGGCACCAGCAGACAACACGATAAAAGTCACCGCGTTCTGGTTGAAAAATGTCGCTACCACTCCGCAAACATCAGGTAAAGAATTATTTATCTATTGGGTGGAAAACATAACCTTGCATGCTTTTTTTCCCCACAACCCAAAGGCTAATTGCATAACTAGTATTCAAATGATAATATCTTAATTGTATAGCTCTGTTCTTGTTACCCGGACATTACCCATATGATTTTTTTGTCTTGTAATTTTTATTTGATGTCAAGTGGTGACTTGAATATAAGCTACTGTATATCGCTTGAGTGTGTCACTGCTATGTATTGTATTGTTTGTATTTTGAAAAAATAAAGAAAAATTGCATTACTAAACTACTAACACACTAAAACTGTTTGTGTTTACTTTTCAGAATCTACGCCAGAATTAGACCCATTTATGCCTGGTCTGCTGGAGACGACAACATCCATTACAACTGGTCAGACTAGTAAACGCATTACTGCGTTGTCCTTTTAAACCTTGTTAACTACATGATTGTATATATAGTCTTCATGGGCCATGAGTTTGAAGTTCTCATTTGATCGTTGTTATTTACTCTTTTTATGAGATAGCAGAATTCTGACATTTCTGATCACCTGTTTAAGGTTTAGGGAAAAAAGCTATTGTCAGTATTGACTGTCGTACATAAACTATAATATCCGTAAATAGTTTCATCAGGTTGGTGAATGATTGAATATAATTTTGCATTTGGGACTTCAGCATTGTTGGTTAACGATATACAAGTGTATAATAATTACTTTACATTTGGAATCGCATATCTCACTATTCTTGTAACAGTATTTGTGCATGTCACAATTACTTTACGTTTAGGACCACGTTGTTAGCAGTAGCACCTAGCCACAGTGCACAGTGTACCAGTAACACATAACTTAAATGCACAGTGAACCAGTGACACATAGCTCCAGTGCACAGTGAATTCGAACCAGTCAGAATCGCCCCAATGAAGATGACAGACAGTCATCGAAGGTCGGCACTTGTTAAACAAGTTATGAATAAAGAGCTTTGCTATTCATTTTACAGATTTCAAGCCCATAACTGTGGCACCAACTTCACCATCGGCATCAGGTGTGTATTTAATTTAGTAAAGGTGTATTGTATTACAAAACAAGAACAGTTTTTGTCTAATATTTCTAATATTCTATCATGGGTGGGCTGTAACTTTGTGCTACATAAAGTTTTATCGTAACACTTTGTCCCCTTAGACAGTCCACTATTTGTTTCTAAATATTATCAAGTTATTGATGGAAGATGTTTTATCATCGTATTGTTACTATTTTCCAGTTCAACATAGCGACGGAGGGGAACAACAGAGTGCTGAATTGAAACTAACTCCTCTTGAACAGGTAACGGAATTGTTTAGTTCAGTATTGTTTGTAGGTAACATAGAAATAAGGCTCTAATTCTCTTCTTTGATACAAATGCAATGCTTAGTTCACATTTCCAGACCTGGGCCCGGTCGGGCTGTTTATAGTAGTCAAAAATTAGATATGCACAAATAGTGATAATAGTTTTTTAACTTTTGTATTTGTTGTCATACTTTTCGTTCCCGGAAACTGCTCGATTGGGCCCCGGGTTGGAAATTGTGACCATAGAATAAGGTATCCACATAAATGTAATCGTCATCATTATGAATAAAAAATCATCTTTTGTTTCGTTTACGTAGATACTGCGTTTGAAGGATCGAATTGACCAACATGCTAACGAAGAGACTCTGATAGAAAATCTCATCGATATCATAACAACAGTCTCTACTTTGGTTGAAACGGTGGACTCAACACCGCCATCATCCGACTTTGTCCTCATTTGGGTAAGATATCATCATGAAGTCAAGGTGGAAGCTATGCGCCTTTTTGATAACATGAAATTCCTTGTAATTAGAAATATTAAAATATCTAAGCTGTCCTGGGAGGAACATGTCAGGGCTTCAGTAGCAAAGGCTTCAAGCAGGCTTCATTTCCTGCGATTGTTAACCAAGCAGGGAATGAGTGTGGACGATCTTATACAAGTATACTTATCACTCATCCGCCCCGTACTGGAATATGGCCACGTTTTACTCGTCGGTTGCAACGTAGCTCTAGCAAACAGCATGGAACGAGTCCAACGTCGCGCACTTCGTATCATCTCTTGCGGAGGGAGACGCGACGTACCAGCTCTACCCTCTCTGAAGGAAAGGAGAGAGTCTGCGGCCGTGTCCCTGTTCAGGTCGATGCTAAATCCCGAACACCCATTACACGACCTGGTGCCCCCCCAGAGAGCAACTGCTACCGGCAGGACCCTAAGGAACAGCCAGGCCATGAGTGCTCCCAGGGCTAGGGACAAAGCGGCTCCAGCAGTCCTTTCTCCACAGGGCCATAGCCCTATACAACAAAGAACTGACGTATCACTAGTTTTATTTTTCCTGAACCTCATCTGTATATAGTTTTTGCTTGGTACAAATTCTTTATGTATTATAGTGTATATGAGGGTGTGTATATAGTGTTTGTTTTGCCTATTGTAACTTTTATTTTCTGTACGCAAACTCTTTCAATTCAGGGATTCTTATCCCTGCTGCAAGGTTTGCTTTTTGGTGTTGAAATAAACTATCTATCTAAATCACGATGGCAACACAAACGTATTATTACTAGGGTCAAAATGGCTTGATTCACTTAGATTTCATTTTCATTCGAGTGTAAAAAACACAACACAGGCTTAACACCCCCCTCCTGTAGGTAGTGTGGTATAGCCTGGTGAATAACAAAATATTTTTACAGATATAAAGAAAAGACAAACAAAAAGCATCATCCGGACCCCAATAACTAATCATATACATGTATCAAAAACAAAGTAATCCGTCAAACCCACCGTGAGTTATAGTTGCGAACACACAAACGTGACCAAAAACAGTACCTTCCAGCTGCAGCGGAAGGATATCTCCTTCCCCGGAGGTAAAAAGTACAGTACAGTCAAACCTAAACTACTGACCTCTTGCACATTAAAGGAGAAGCACCTGGAGATACTAGTAGTAGTCATGTTCAGGTGGTCCCTCAGATTATTTTTCACCTTAACCCAAGCATTTAGAATCCTGTCTATATCGATCATCTATGTAATGTGACCGTTCTCATCAAGTCCCTTGACTGGTCTCTATATATGGAGCGTTAATGTATGTCAAGTGAATTCAACCATTGTCTCTGTACATTGTCCCTGCAGGAGGAAGCTATAGATCTGTTGAGCAAGTCATCTGAACTGATTAGAGCCACGCAAGGATCCACAAAAACAACTATGGAGAAGATAAATGACGGTGCGTAGAAAAAATAACATACTAGACATGACTTGATAATCTCTTTATTCTCTGTAACAGGGAAAATACAATATTTTTATTAATCCTTGCATATGTACTGACAAGACATGATGACAACACACTCAAACAAGAATTAGCATCAAGACAAACATCCTCCAAGTCAGGATAGAAGATTAGTTACTCACTTAATATTTTACTATCTTTAATTAATAATTGAATATACTGTAAAAGTTTGGTGTTGTTTAAATCCAATCTAAATGAGGGACGTCTAAGGAGTAAATGAACTTAGGAAGATAGTTAGTGAAATCTAATTAGTCTGTGACAAAATCAATATTCTATCTCCAACATAATCACTACTTATCATTTCACTCATTTTCATTGTATTGAATAAGATTTCGCTTTTCTTTGCAGCCATAGCAACTACTGTGTCCAGTCTGGTACAGATGACACCAACCCAAAACTACACTACTGTTGATGACTCCGTAGATCTGTTTGAAATGGATGTCATAGATGTGCACTCAGTGGACGTATCACCAAAACAGCAGCTGAAGAACATCAGGGACCAGCAGTTGACATCTCAGCTTCAGGTTTGTTTTTCTATTCCAACATTTATTACAAGACATGGCGATGGCACACTCAAGTTTTTTTCAACTTATCTTATGCCTCCACCAACGCAGACAAGCGCATGAACGGACAACAGACATACTCATTTTCACCTGAGTAAAGGAAATTTGCGTAAAATGCCATTCCCAAGGGCTCAAGATCAGTGTTATGGCAGGATTCGAACTCGGGATCTGTTAGTTCTGAGCCGAACGCTCTGTCGTTATGCCACATGATCTCACCAGGAATATCCGTCAGATTATCTGCCTGTAAACCGACCTTTCGGTAAACCGAAATTCATTCTTTGCAAATTGTGTTCACCATACAGCGTCGTGGAGCTGCATTGTCTCTGATGGATTCCATTGACCGAGCAGCAAACAGTCTTCTGGACATTTTACCACATATGGAGGACTATGCAACAACATTTCATAAAGATGAGATCGCCGTAGTGATTGCAAGGTCCACCAAAAATAGTAACGTCACCCTTCAAGCTGGCCAGGTTACCGTGTCAGCTTCTACAACAAACTGTTCATCAGACGACAGTGCTGATGTTAAGGTTGGTGGGTTCTGCTTATGATGAGGTCACTGTGCACTAACGCGTGTACCTCTTAGCTCCCCAACTGAAGTCATGTACCCATGTACACCTGGGTGGAGTAAGGAATGTCGTGTAGTATTTTTTATTCCAACATTTAACACGAAGCACACTCAAGTTGTTTTAACTTATTTTTGTGTAAAATGCCTTTAAAAAATTCCCTTGGCATGACAGGATTCGAACTCGGGACCTCTTGGTTCTGCTCTGGGCACACGGCCCCACGACCCCATGTAGAGTAGATTGCCTCGATCATGTATTCACTAGATAAACCCCGGATTTGGCAATCGATACTTACACATTTACAATGTCAGAAGATCCTACTGCCCTAATGTCTACAATTTTTTTTGTCTACTAGATGGTAGTAATGAAGAGGAATCTATTTTCCTGGGATGCATCTACCTCTAAAGAAAACGTCATAACACCAGTGAGTAAGTTCTCCATGAGATCTCAACGCTGCTCTCTGCAGCTCATAGTTACCATACCGCTAACATGGGAGACAGTTGTTGGGAGGCAGTACACAGCAGGCAATGCCTTTGATGAATATGGAAGCAACTTGGATGATGCTGCCACGGGTAGGAACAACAGGACAATGGATCTCCATGCGTTTGATGTTCATTCTTCAACCCTGCCTGTCGTGATGCGTTTGTATTGGTGGGATCGTGCTGCGACCTTCCGGATGTTCTTTCGTTACGACACCACTCCAACACAGGAGCTGTATGATGACATGATAATTGTTAACGACTGGGAAAATGTTGCGTTGCATCGAGGCACAAACATCTTGGCAACGTTTACTCCAAATATCCAGAGAAAACAGGGGAGACTTTATGTTGGGATACAAAAATCAGGTAACCTTACTTACTTACTTTTATTATGATATGAATCATAAGAAATGAAATTTGACAATTCACATACTGATTGCTGGTAGGGCTTCTGTATCTAGGATCTAATGCAGTAATCGTATACGACATATACTTACAGAACCGCGTGTGCTTTTGCAAACAGCACATCGACCCGAAGATTACGTACTCCAGGCATCAACACTGGGTTGTGTCAACTGGAATCATGCAACAGAGAAGTGGCAAGACACAAACTGTGCGGTAAGCTAATCGTATTATTCTAAAGTACACCTGTCTCGTATTTACCTTGAAAGTTCATCTTTATTGGTAGAAGTCATTATTGAGCAAGTTTAAACTGTAATTTATAACAAAAGAAATTGGACTTACCCAAATTGTTAATTGTATAACTCCAGTCTTTATCAAGAAGTGAACAATCCACCGTTTCTGTAACGTCACGTTATGCAAATGTCAAGACGGGGGCGCCACAGACTTTCTGCAACACGTGATTAAATGCTCACCGAGTCACTTGCGCCATCTGCATAACGTGACGTCAAAGAAGCGATGGATTGTTAATTTCTTGACAAAGACTTGAGTTACATGTAAACAGTCGAGAATTTGGGTAAGTCCAATTTGTTGGGTCTTGATGTATTTGGTGCATTGGCCACATTTCTTTCGAAAAGTTGTTAAGTTTATGATAAGCAGATCAAACGAGCAACATAATTTTAACACTATATTTGTAATGGCTTTATAATCTCAACATTCAAAAACGTGTCTATCGAAGCTAAAAGTATAATGCATTTCTCTGTCATCAGGTCCAAGTGGATCTATCCGATAGTTTCATCAGATGTAACTGCAGCTTCCGAAGTGCGAAGGCTGCCATTGCCGGCTCCTTACACCTCATTCCGAATTTCATTGATTTCGACAACGTCTTCGGGAAGCCCGACAGCCTTCATGAAAACGGTGTTGTTTTCTACACTGTCATCAGCGAGTGGGCTCTCTATCTTCTAATGATCATCATCTTCAATGTGGACTTTCAGCGTCTTCGAGTGAGTAGATCACAAAGTTTTCCTGTGCATTCTTACGCTAAATGAGGGTGTGCATGCTTTTTTCCGTGAGGCAGAGTGGGCCAATTCACCATTAATCGTAGCCAGCCGCTTTAATTCATGGTTAAGCTTTGTTGGGAAATTCTTCGTAGAGGGTAATTGGTCGCTTTTGTTCCACGTAGTACGTTATTTAGTATTCTGATTTCATTGTTATGCAATGAACGCGTAGTCGAACGCCAGAGTACTCAAAAATCATAGCGGACGTCCAAGGCCATCAGACTAGTTTTGCTAGGATACCCATGAATATGTACATTCCAAAGAAGTCGCTTCCATTCCAATGCACCTTAATGTACCATTAAGCGTTGCCAGCCTGCCTGAATTTACCGTTAAGCGTTATCGTTTTAAATTTACTGATAAACGTTGCCAGGATCCCCTATACAGACCCTACTAAATTTGTAACCGTTCCGTGGCTTCAGGGCTGACAGTACTATTACCTTTGGAAATAGAAACCTGTGGTTTAATACGCTAAAATAAGTCCTCATGAAAGTACTTACCCATATTTCAATGTCAGAAATTCTTCTGCACCAGAAATTCACAGGGGTCTACCTCCCAAATATAGAAAGAAAACAGGGGGATGACCAGATCAAACTCCTGTAACAGCTGATCATATTAAACAAACCCCAACCTAAATTTCTCTGGTATCCATCCGCTGTCGACAGGCAAGACCGAACCACTCAGATCTCTCATTATGCAAACTAAAGTGGCGAAATAAAAAAAAATGACCAACGTTGAAAGGTTTATACCCTACCTGTTCTTTCTAGCACAAAAGTCTCCAAAATGGACCAACATTTTCAAGAGAAAAAGGATTTCAAAGGTACCAATTAAATAGGGACTGCAATTTTTTGCCCTCGACTGCGCAACACAATTGTGACGTCTGCTCTTCATACTCTTGTCAGGAAAAGACGAGAGGAAGAAACCTCAGAAGGAGAAAGCAGCTACCACAGTTGTCCGTCCTTCTACCGAACAGGATGCCGGCCCAATATCTGTACCAGATTACGGTCACCACCGGCTCCATGTTTGGGGCTGGAACATCGGCACGAATCGGGTTCCAGTTATTTGGATCAAACAGCACAACAGTAGTCAAAGTGATCAACCCCGGTGGAGAAGTAAGTCTCTCGTGTTGCTTTTTCTTAACTTGTACACCATTCTTCATAGTCTACCTCAAAATTGCACCCAAGGGCATAGGTACTTCAGCATCTGTGTCATCGGGTACTACATAAGGCAATGTCAAGCCACTGTTACACATAGCCGAATATGGCCTCCCAAACACTGGCCGAACTCTCCTCAACCATGGTAGCTAGCAAGGTTGGCTGTGGTTGGCTGGTGTTCGGCGAGGTCGACTACGTACTGTTCGGTTGCGCCAGCCAAATGTTTCAACATTGTATGAACTCAAATTCGATTCGAATCGTACAGAAAGGTAGACGTGGCCCAAATCTGGTCAGACTGCTCGCGAACGCCACCCAAACATGAAGATTCTGGATCTGTGCAGCCTATAGAATACCGTCGTGTTTGTTTATCACATGGTGGTAGATCCTGCCAAGGGAAATGTGAAGACTTACAATTGATGACTACCCTCTAGTCAATACATAATACTGTCGTACATGCCATTTTTTGTGACACCTCAGGGGCGGAGCCATTGGTATTGTACTTCGATTGAGTTGAAATATTCTAAAAATTATGCGAATGCATTCCCTGGGGAATTGCTTTGTCAACACCTTGTGGGACCGGCCTTTGCACATACCAATGAGGAAATCTTATGGTTAGCTTGAGGCTTAAGACAATAGTCTTTACAGTTTTTCCGATACATTATTTTTTCTTATGTCATTTGCAGTCCTTGGTACGAGGTGGTACTTACGACCTCATCATGCCCCTAAAGACGTCACTAGGACATCTGGAACTACTGCAAATCTGGCACGACAACACCGGTGCTGATGAAGCCTCGTGGTTTCTGAGGGACATGATTGTCAAGGATTTACACACAGACCAAGTGTAAGTAGACAATTAATTGAACAGCAAGTTCGTTCTACACAACCGCGTGTTTGACAAGAGCCGTTCTATGACCGTCTGTCATCTTCATCAGGGCAATTCTGACTAGTTCACTGGAGCTAGGTGTTATGATTCTGGATGAGACATCTCTCTGATATTGACATTTACTGTCATTTCTTTCTTAGCACATGTTCGTCATCATTTCATACTTGAAGCGTTTGAAATAACTTAAAACAAGCTATGTGAGGCATATTTTTCAGCAGCCTACGATACAAAACAAGCAACTGTTTTCTATTTCCAACAGCGACATCACATTTTTACCCCACAAATATAAAAAAGATTATATGGAATAGGATTAATTCAACTTAGCATTTTAAAAAATAACCAAAAAAACCGAGAAATTGTATTGGACGCCTTTAAGGACAAGTATAGAACATTCTTATTAAAGAAAACTTGCCCTTTATAATTACAGGTATCGATTCATCTGTTATGATTGGCTGTCTGACGTCAGAAGTGACGGACTGGTTCAAAGGGTTGTGCAAGTTGCGACCCAGGAACAGCTGCAGTGTTTCAGTAGCCTCTTCAGAGAGAACACGGATGCAGCGTTCTACGATCAACATTTGTGGATATCCCCCCTTGTGTCGCCTGAAGGTATTTCCAGCAAGAGATATATATGGCTGTTTATAGATGATACGGTGACCACACTTCAGCACAGGGGTGTCGAATTATTTTAGTTTAATACCTGAAAATGTCAGATACATGAAAGAAATCTGGACCCCAATAACCAAGTACCATGTCTCAAAGAAATCTGTCAAACCCACCGTGAGTTATAGCTATGAACACACATGCATGGCCGAAAACAATCCCGCGGAAGGATATCTCCTTCTTTTGAGGTAAAACGTGACAGAATTGCAACAAGGATTTAGTGAGATTTGTTCCAACCTGTCTCCAGGGTCGAGATTTTCCAAGGCAGAACGTCTGTCCTGCTGCTGGGCTGTCTTCAACAGCATCATGCTGGCCAGCGCCATGTGGTACAACAGTGGCAGCAGGGTGACCATCAGCAACACTGTGTATGATCTGGAATTTGTACAGTTCACCCTACAAGTAAGACATCTTTTTTCACATCAGAATACGAGCTGAAATAGTTTGCTGAATCTGAATCTTTTTACTATCTATGGATATACAATTGTTAAAAGTCCATGATTTTCCTAACCAATCATGCATTTATTCTCAGTTATATCTGATTTTTAACTGGAAATTAAAATTGCCATATTTATTCACAAGGAGCTGTACGTCAGTGTTATGACTACTCTCATGGTGGTTCCTGTTGCCTTGGTACCGGTTCAACTGTTCCGGCTGGAGATACCAGCCCCCGTCACAGTACTAGGCATGCGATGCCGTCCTAAACATGGTACGTTGGTTTATTCTTTATCACAGATAAAAATTATCAAGCTGTCAGTGTTATAATATAGTTAAAAGTGACGTCATTTCCGGAAAAAGACAGAAATGCAAAAATAAAGCATAGAGATGCAAAAGTCTGCCGGAACTGGCTTGTACGTCTGTTCATTTTTTAGGCGGGGTATTGATAATTCGAATGAACCGTGAATATTTATTGTAAACGTGTCTGTTAGCCAGGTAATACCATGGCCAGTTATGTCAACTTCCTTCAGATAAGGTCGTGAGTTGGTGTCACATGCATGAGCACTTTGATTGACCAGTCTTTTTAAGCTTGTTTTGTTTTCACGAAAGGGTTGTTTGGGGATCGACTGTCCCGTTGGTCAAAGTATGTGGCGTGGTTACTGGTGGTGACGGTGTCCATCGTGTCGTCGTTCTTCGTCACCCTGTACAGTCTGGACTGGGGCAGGCAGAAGAGTGAAGCCTGGCTGAAGACCTTCTTTTTGTCATTCAGCTTATCAAGCCTCGTCACAGAGACTGGCCAGGTAAACTTTGCATTCTGTATACCCGGTATATAATTGGCCTTGCATTGAGCGATACCGTTAAAAAAAAAACCGCCCCTCGGCTTAAAACACCAACAATGATAATTTAAGTGGACGACATACTCTTTGCCAAAAATTATGATTTAAAACGGAGATGATTTGTTGTTCTCGTATACCAACAGATTTTCGTCATCGCGATCCTCGCTTCCTTGATTTGCACCAAGCGAGCTACAAAACAGAAGACGTATGATGTCAACAAGGCAGAACTGCACCAGCGACTTTTGGACCACAAAGGTATTTCTCCCGAACACATACTGCAAAAATACCGTAATGTATTGTGCATAGCAATTTGGCAGATCGTCTCGTTAAGGTCGTATTCGTGTATTTGATAATGATGACAACCCGTCTATATTTTGCAAATGTTGTATCAGAAAACATATCGTCTGCAATGGACAAAATTCTGATGTAATGTTGACCAAACATCCAAGACAAACCGTGAAAAATCTCGAAGTCATAGTTCTGCCGACGTGCCTTGTACCTCGTACATGGTTACAGTTTTTTAAAATTTCTACCTGAGTGATATGCTATATGTTAGTCGTGAAATAGACATGGAAATACGAATGAACTGCCTAGCTCTATCTATCTATGAAATAATCCAGATGGCAAGATTTGCATACGTAACCATTGTTACATGTATTCAAAGACAAATCAGACTCTACCACTGGATAAATTCAGGAGATTATTTCCGGACATTTCGACTAACATCCACCACTCTTCTTCAGCGTCAGTGGTGGATGCCACATGGTATATATGGTAAAAAAGCTCTGTAAAATATCCAGTAGTAGAGTATGAATTGGCTTTGAACATTGTTTACCTGAATGTCTAACCTTTTTCAACGGATTGTTTATTAACGTGTATTTTTGCTTTTTTTTGTAGCCCCACAGAGGATGTACCCACCTAAGGCTGCTTCTGTACAAAGTATGCAAAATAAGAGTAAACAACGGCGTCAGTTTTACCACGTTCTGAAGGACTTTGGTCTCCTGTTTCTGTTTGTCGCGGTGCTTTTTTACATCAGCCACCACGATAAAGAGCCGTTTGCTTTCCACGCATCGCAGATGTTGACAAACACGCTCTTGGAAGATTTCGATCAGGTATGCCTCTTAATTAAGAAGTATCCCCATGGTCATATATGTATCTCTTGAATTACACCTCTAGAATGTAATAATACTCTACTCAGGAAAAACATGCAATAGATTAGCTTTGGTAAAATTGAAATTTAGGTAGTATGGATCAACTCTGTACTCTAGAATAATTCATGTATCTAACCTTGTTGATTCTTCGTAATAATATATTGTACCAGTTACAGTTGTGCAATGAAGTTGATTTTAGGGCTAAGAACTATCGTAGAGTGGAACTCGTTGCCACAAAGCACAGTTGAGTGAGGCATTATCACTATAAAGCTTTAAACAACTCCACGGTTAGACGTGCAATGATTTCGTGTAACGGGACGTTCGGTGTGATGTAGCCAGCTGCCGCCGCACCGCGTGCCTGCGAAGCTGGTGTGTTACGCCGAAGGGCGGTTATACCGGCTATACTGACATAGATTCGCTATCCTTGTTTGCCACAGATCACCACTGCTGACGAGTTCTGGACATGGACTGAGGAGATCCTTCTGCCTGTTTTGTACCCTTCGTTTTGGTACAATGGGTGGAAGATGAAGTACCTGGACAGACAGTTTCCACTTTATACTGAAGCCTTCAGAATCGGTCCGCCACTCCTCACTCAGTTAAGGGAGGAACCAGGTGGGAATATCAACAAAAATATAATTCTGCTTACGCATTTTTACGTATTGGCTTATACTCCATTCCACTTGATGGCGCTCTCGCCGCGCTCTCTCTGAGACTTGACTTTGGCCAAAGCGCCGAGAGATCGCAAAGGTTAGCAGTTAGCAGCCTTTCCAGTGTTTATAGATATATATATTTTACCTAATAGGATAATAACATTAGAAATGACTGGTGTTTCACTAATAGGTCCCCCAGCAATAGAAATTAGCCACGTGAATTAGCATACTTCGAGTGAAACTGTACAACGTTCTCATCAATCATTGTATTTTTATACATATCTTCAGAAGAATCACAACACTTTCAAAATGGTTGGGTGGTTGCAACCGGAAATGCCACATCTGCATGTTGGCAATTCAATGTCAGCGACATAATGTCAGACAACCCAGACTGTGCCTTACAGTACACCACGGAGATTCCAATCGCTTTCTCTGTGGCAACATCGATCTTCTCCAAGCTCCAGCAGAACCAGTGGATTGACGAATACACCCAGCATCTGACATTCCAGCTATCATTTTACCACCCGTCTCTGAAGCTATTCAGCAGAGTAAGAATGACAGTACGTCAGGAAGACATCGGTCATCTTTCTACATCTGCAACTGTTGAAACACACAGGCTGTTTCAGTATGAAAATACTTCCGACTACGGCATGATGGTTGTTCACGTCGTCTTCGTGATTTTGTTTCTGGTTCACTTCATCAAGCAGGTGGTAGGCATCAAGAGAGAAGGAAGAAAGCATTTCCGCTGTCTCTGGAATGCGTTTGCTCTTCTAAGCATTGTAGGATCTTCAACTGTCATCTGTACCTTTGGAATAAGGTACCACTTTGCATCTGCAGCGCTAAGAAACATAATCGAGGCTACAGGTGGGTTGGATTTTGGATAACATAGTCTATAGCAATGGTATTCAGTTTACAAACGGGGGAGATATCTGCAGTTTTGCAAAATGCAATTTTGGGGCGGCAAAATAGATATTCTAAATGACGAAATGTGCATGCATTTAATTTTTTACTTCCTTAATTAAACACGTGTAACTTTGTGGATTTTTGGGGTTTAGATAACATAATCAAGCTCCCTTCCTACTATCTTGCAGGTGAACTTGGAATAGAACAGTTTGTAGATTTTAGCTCCACATTCTGGTGGGATGACGTTTTCAAGCACCTGTTGGCCGTTGTGGTCTTCATCACTACGTTGACGTTACTCCGGAGCGTCCGCTTTAGCAAGACCATCGCCAGTTTCCTCGCCCTGCCGGGGGCCATGAAGAATGACCTGCTGAGTTTCACAGTTACAGGCATCATAGTCTTCATGGCCTTTACCTGCTCAGGTAGAGGTTTTCTTCTGTAAAATCTATTCTGTGTTCGTGTATTTATTTATTTTTTTAAATTAATAAAATTCAACGTTAGAATTTTACTTTCATTTTTTATTCAATTTTTCTAAATTTCATTATTGTAATTTAATTTATTTAACTTCAATCTTATCTTACTTTTTCTTTTGTGTAGTTGATTTTGTTAATTGAGGGGCTACATATTGCCACTAAGTCGTTTTTGAAAGTGCACTGCAGGCATAGATAAGCGTGATAGAAGAATGTCATAAAAGATAAAACAATTGTAAAACAACTAAATACAAATAATAGTAAAAGTACATACATAATGCCAAGAATCAGTACAGAATACCCGAAAGAAACTTATCAAGTCAAGTACTAAGAGTGATGGAAACAACGAAAATTAATGAATAAATGATGGAGAAAATGAGTTATGGAATTACTGATCTGTGCTCTCATATTGGAATCTTTTATTACTTGTTATTGTTGTGGACAGCTATACTGCATATGCTGATTATTGAACAAGCCCTTTCCGTCATAAATTTAGGACTTGTGGTGTTTGGAACACATTTGCTGACATACAGCAATGTCTTGGACACGATGCTGGCCTTATTTGAGATGCTAATGGGAAGGTGCGTGCCCATTTCTTCATAATATGTGCATTATAACATGAAGATCTTTATTGCACGATACAAAAAGAAAAGGGTTTAAAATGAAAACATAGTTACTAAAATATCAAGTGCTACATGTAGTATAATATACAATGTATTAGGGAAATGATGAAGTTTCAGTATTCTTTCTAATAACAAAACAAATATAATAACAAAAGTTATCTATATCATATCAACTGTCAAATTAAATGCAATAAAACACAAGTTTACACTTTCAATATTTTCCAGATTCTTTGCTGATGAAATCTTGGAGGCAAATCCAGTTGTTGGCCCGATCTTCTTCACTTTGTTCATGATATGCATCTTCATAATCCTCATCAACTTTTTGGTAACCATCATCTGTGATGCTATTGCATCCCGTGCATCCGTTGATGATGACTATGACCAGGAATTGGTTGATTACGTATGGAAAAGCTTCAAAGACATTTTCGGAGTGTACCTGTCACCAAAGACTGGTGTACGAACAGGTAAGTGCTCTCAAGGCACATAATACTAGTATCTCGGTATAACTTACTATAAGACACTAAAAAAATAGTTAGACTAAACGATCATCCCTAGCAAGCCATTGACAGAATACCTTTATTGTGCGACAATTGCACATTGTACAATGTATGGCAACGACTGTTGAACATACATTGTAGTTCCAAAAGAAACACAAGGGTTTAAAATGATACTTAACATCATAGTTACTAAACCATCAAGTGCTTGTATGATATACAAAGTAGGGCTAATCATGAGTTTCGGTATTAACATATTACTATACCATATGTTTTGTATAAAACACATTTTCGAAGGATTCTTTATTTCTAAAATCAATCAACCGTTTGAAAAACTTGACTTACGTCACTCTACTGTGTTCATAGTAGACGTCAATTCAGAGATTTCATTAGTTGAAGTTCACGCACTTGTGAAATATATTCTTGTGTTAACGAGTCTTGAAACATAAATTTGAAATGAAAATTACATAGAATTTATACTCATCATATGTCCCTTTGCCACAGATGAGGTAAAACGTGCTGATGTAGGTACCAATTTGCGAATGATAGAGGAATCTTTGAACGAAATCTCAGACGTTACACGCTGCCTGTGGGCCAACAATACAAATGGAAGTCCTTCCTCCACACAACAACGCCCCAACGTGCCATTACAAGGAACATCCAAGCAAATATCTGCGTCACCGCAAACTTCAGCCGCATTCAGCATCCAGGAACAGGTTCAAAATATCCTCGAAGCTCACGAAGACGATCAGCTAAAACTTGAGGAGGCACAGAAATTAAGCAGGCGACGTGCCAAGGCGATGCTGAAGAGGAAACTGACTGAAAGGAGGATGCAAAAGAAAGATTTGAAGAAAAGCATTTCCGAAAAGGAAACCGTCTTGGAGAATGTCCAAATGCTGATAGAACAACACGATGCGGATGAGGGAAGGCTGGAGCAGCGGCAGAGTAGGGCAAGGCGCCAGTTTGAGAGTACACTGCGACAAAAGATTGCAATACGACGCATGCAAAAAAAGAACAATGCCGAGTTTTAACAAGTAATGTTATATGGCTGTGTTGAACATTAATTTTTTTACCGCCAAGACCATGCTTCATCTGCTGATTTCATTATTTGTTTATTTTTCATTATTAAAACGATCAGGTCCTGTTTGGTACAACGTTTCCACCAGCTACAGAACTGTTTCCAGAATTTTGAACATCTATACCATCTGCTTTAGTCATGATCCCTATATCGAGCACTCAATGGTTAGCGCTATATGGCGGTAGACTGCAGAGTCCTTAATAGCTAACTGATAGATAGCAATTATTAAATTGATGAATTTATGAATTTGTACATACAATAGAACCCTATAAGTCACTTATATATTATATTCCAGAATATTGATGATAACGTTTGAGTATTCATTTTAACAAATTTTAAAGTTTTAGCTTTATTATTGCTTTTTATAGAATTGCAATGTAATTTTAATGTTATGTCTTTGCCTTTATTCCTGTACAAAACTTATTCAATATGAATAAAATATATCTGAAAACAAGAAGGAAAGAGTCACCTTTTATGCTTCAAGGATTTTGATGTTATCATTAGCTAATTAGAGAGTTGGTGGTTCTGAAGCCATCTAACAGTAATAAGAAGTCCCCTAGTGGGTATCTTTCGACCTGTAGCTGCTATTTTGTTGGTCAATTATTTAGAAAACGTCTAGACAAAAATCTGGTTGGTATACAACTTTACAAAGACTAGGCGGTCATGAAGGTTGAACAAATGACTAAACACACAGTAATATTTCATTGGCATTGTGAATAATAGACTCTACGTTTTCATTCCTTTACATTTTCGTCTTCTCTTTTGGAATGAATTTTGGCATTCTGTGACATTTTCCAATATTTTTCAACGTACGACATAAACGTTATTTTGCATGTTCTAACCTGTCACACGAAATGGCTGTATAAATGTATTTATTATGGCCCTCTGGTGGAGGTCAATTGATCTGCAGCCGACTCACCCGGAAAGCCAGTTGCGTAATGCGGCTCATTCATACACGAACAGGAAAATCTTCACCTTCCAAATCACATTCAAAATGCGATACGTTTCTGTACCACACAGTGCAGTTTACTCCTGACTACCTCTCACATCAAACGTTCTAGCCAGGCTTCAAGAATTTTGTCCGCACTACTTTGTATACCCGCGCCATAGAAGCCTTAGGGGTCGCCCATTGATACTGCGTTGTGCGGCCTTGAGAGAAGCACGGCGCAGTCTGTCTTCGACTTCGGTCTGGGCGGAGAGAGGACACAATTTACGGCGGAAAAATAAAACGATAAATGAAGAATCATCAGAAAGAACATCTGCGAACAGCCGAAGGTATCAAGATGTTTAAAACATTCAGGTGTTCGACCATGGTTGGCTGGAGGTTGGCTGGCGTTCGGGAATAAGTGGGTGCGCGCGCCGGCTAATCTATGATTAAGAAAAACAACAGTCCCAAATCACGGACAAGAATCTTTACATTTTCATCCTGACAAACATTTTGTCGAGAAGGGAGGGGAAGATGGCGCCGATCGTCACCACGGTCCAGCAGAAGGACGCCGGGAAGTAGACCTCCCGGGCTCGGCTCGCCCCGCCCCGGATGATGGCCAGGGCCGTCTGGTCGATGGGCGTGGCCCTCTTCAGCCTCTTGCGTCCTTTCTCTGTTTTCTGGAAGATAGGAGACGATTCTAATTTTTACTTGGCCAGCACAGGTCAATGGTTTGTACATACTGGACACGCCTATCTGTTCTAGGGCTGCGTATCTATACAGTATATCGCGAAAATCACTTAGTACAGGTCCAAAATACCGGAACATCAATGTACCAGTACTGTACCGGGAATAGACATACACTTAGGTACATACTAAGTAACTGATCTCTTATATTTGCTACTGAAAACGTGTTGTTCATACTACAACGATGAAGAGTAAATGCCGGAAAAGATGGGCAAACATTTCATGGGAGTCGAGCGGCGGAGAGCTCCTGCAACCCCGAATCCGCCCAAATCACGACAGACTGGACAGCGGGCATTTCTACCGCACCTGGAGTCTTTCAATCACCGCCGGCGTCTTGGTGAAGCCGAGTATAGCCATGGTGACGGACACGTCATGTCCGGCCCTCTGTAGCTCCAGACGGAGGCAGCTGAAGAACCCGTCCACACCGAACTTAACAGTGGCCTCCCAGTGCAGGTTAGGAACTGGGACCTTTCCTGCAGATACAAGGGCAAGTGCTATTACCTCCGTGGAGGTATTGTTTTCCGTGCGTCTATCTCTATTTCTCTCTCCCTCTCCCCCTCTCTCTCTCTCTCTCTCTCTCCCCCCTCTCTCTCTCCCCCTCCTCTCAAGGTCACAAGGGATGAGGGGGAATTTTGTAACCGCAGACTGACCGGAAGGTCGAGGTCGGAATTAAGGTCAAACAATCCCTAAGTTTCTGTTAAATGATAATAGCATGAATAGATGCACAAAAATACAATAATAAACTAAAAAGGAAACATTTACAAGCAAATACGTAATATTTACCTTCATATGGTCTATCGTAACAAACTACTCCTCACGTAAAAATACATGATATTTATTACCTAGAGGACCCGACACCACCACAATATGCCCGCTGCTGTCCTTCAGCAGAGGCAGGGCCAGGGTGGCCAGTCGGACGTAACCTATGAGATTGATGTTCACGACGTCTTCGAAGAAGTTCATGTCAGGGTCCTCCTCCCACGACTTCTCCCCGAAATCCTCGTGGATACTCTTGATGTTCGACCCTCCGTGGTTGAGGACTAGGTAGTCAAGACGCCCTGAGATTGAAAAGTTCTTTGGTCAGTACGTTTCAGCTTGCTTTGGCCATGCTTTCCATGCTGGGGCTATTGAAAACAATGTCGATAAATAAACACGTAATTCTAACCAGAACCAAGATGGCGGTAAAATAACGTTAAAATTCAACAAGGCGGCGCCCATGAACGCCGACGAAAACAAAACAGGTTTGCGTTCTTACCGAATTTCTCCTTGGCTGCTTGAATGGTTCTCTCACAGTCCTCCGCCTTCCCCATGTCCCCGGCCACGTAGTGCGCCTCCTGGGCACCAAGGGACTTCGCCTTCGCTACTACCTGAAGAGAGGGTGCGGATGAACTTCAATTCTGCATACCGCAAGCTAAAATTCAATATATACTGCAATGGATTTCAATTTTTTTCCAAATCTTTATTCAATACAAAAACTCCTGCCCACCTCCTTCAGCCTGTTCTCCCTCCTGGCTGTGATGAGGATCTTTGCTCCCAGCCGGGCGTACTGGTACGCCACCTCCTCGCCGATGCCGGTACTGCAGCCTGTGATGACGACTGTCGCACCGCGTACTTTTTCTACAAAGACGGCAAAGGTATTGTTTTCACTACATTTCTACTTTTAGGTCCACAGCATGTAAACCTCAGTTATGTCAGTGTTTACGTCCTTCTACAGCAATTTTCCACGGACTGCAAAACTATGAAAGGTTTTTTTTTGGGGGGGGGGCTCTGAAAAATCTTTAAAAAGTCTTACCTGGATCGAAATTATCTTTGTTCCAGTAGACAGCTAGTCCAGCCAAGGCCGCTAGACTGGCCAACACTAAAAAAAAACAGTGGAGAGATTATTTAATCAACAGCATACGCTGCTAACACGTGCTTTAGATGGTCCCGCCTCGTAAATGATTGATTTACTGTACATATCCGTATATAAGCCTGTCATAGATGGTGGATTGATATAAACACACTCAGGAAACCCGTGAGATAATTCTGTTAGAACAAAGGGTTTGATACAAACATAACGTCTACATTGAGGACACGAGTGTTGACAGAAAAATAACCCTGCAAAATCAGCCTCTGACACCCTTTAAACACTGCTAGTCTGAAAGAAGATTTCAAAACCCTTAATATTCAGCGCTCCATCAAAAGTAGGTCAGATACAAAACGTAGTTTTCAGTGATATTTCCTTGCCAGTGAACAGAGTTTTATAGTCTCTGCACGTGTGCACTTAAAGCAGAAATGTCTGAGTTACTTACCTTACTCCTTAGACGTACTTTAGTGTTGATGAAATGAAAGGCCGTTTCAGGGGTCATTAAAAAGGGGCACATGTGCATACTCATCAATGGTATAAAGGTCACAATAAAAGTAGGGCGACTGTATGCAGCACAGCGAAGTCTTTTGCTATAGTATATTGATTCTATACTAAAGCTTATCAAGTTGAAATACAGTCAACCTAGAATCCTAGATCAAGTGACCGTCTGTACAGAAATACCACCTGGCCACTGACATACAGTCAAACTTGTACTAGTGACCACCTCTACATAACGGCCAGGTGCAGAGGTCCTTCAGATAGTTTCCAATTGACACAAGTATTAAGAATTCTGTCTATAGTGACCACCTATCGCCTGAGTAGTCTTCTACAGCAGTTTTGACTGTATACCCTGATTGAAACTTACAGTAGCTCCCGAAGACCCCGAGCGCCACTGCAGCTAAGACCGCCGCAAGACTGCCCCAGACAAGGCGCGACATGGTTACAACACTGGCGACTCGGACAGACGAAGTACCGGTAGAAGTTGGGGGCGTGCCCAATGCCTGGCACCCATGCGCAGTGCGCTTTCTATTTACCGTTTGTTTGTTTGTTTGTTTGAGCTTTGTTTATTCATGACATACTAATACTCAAATCGCCCTTTCCTATTCCCAGGATGCATAGCGCTAGGGGTTTGGAATATTGTAGCAGGGGGATATACTAAAACGTTATACATCTTGTTTTTCTGTGTTGTTGGAGAATTCGTGTTCAAAATTAGGGGACATATTACAGGTCGAATCTGGCAAGAAAAGGTGTACATTTCTTATGTTTTTCTGGTACCGGTAAACATGGAGCAGGTGGTTTGTAACGTTACTCTCTACATCATCATCATCATCATTCACCCTCCAAAGAGGAACCTTCCCCCGATTACCAACTAACCAAGGCTGCCTTAAGTTTGGGAGCAACCAGACCAGATGTATTCCTCCTTTCTATATAGGAATTTGAGTTAAATTTGAGCTAAATTTGACCCCCGAACACGTCCCGAACACTACATTGCTGACCTACTCCCGAACACCAGTCAACCATGGTCGAACCTCCCGCCCACACCTCAAACATTCGGCTGGCGCAGCCGAACAGTAGCCGACCCTGTCGAACACCAGCCAACCACAGCCGACCTTGCTCCCGACTTACTCCCAACCATGATTGAGGGGAGTTCGGGAGTGTTCCATATTTGGCTATGTGTGGCAGGTGCCTTTTCAACACAATCATGTTAACCGATGGGATCAGCGCTTTCCAGGCCACTGGGCCACAGGTCAGTGACCCGTAAAGAGCCACTGGATTGTAATGCTAATGCCTTGACCAGTCGCGGCGGTATTTCATTTTTTTCCTGTACCGACAATGCGGCGGGTGTCGTGGGCTAGTTTGACGGTGTTACTCGTTGTTGGGGCCGCCGGGATCCTCTGGAACTACGATGGCTTCGATCCAGGTAAATAGGGCGCGCTGATACCGCCTGGCCAATTCTTTTAACCACCAAAAGTTCTGCTCATAGATGACATCTGGTGCTCAGAAGAATGTAGGTCCTATCGACATTTATGAATTATATAATATAATGTCGATAGGACCTACGGACCTACACACATTTTCTTTAATGTCCGTGGTAGAATCCATTGATGCATCCTTGCCCGGAAACGTTTGTTGTGGGCAACTGATGGCAGTCGTGCGTGTATGCATACAGTAAATCCTTCACTACTGTTCACCTCTAGATATAAGGACGATTTCTTTTGCATTGTCTGACATGTCTTGTCTGACCACCCTGGTCTGACAGAGTCTCTGCGGGGGGCCACCGTCGTCATCACGGGCTGCAGTACCGGCATCGGCGAAGAGATGGCGTACCAGTACGCCCGGCTGGGAGCAAAGATTCTCATCACAGCCAGGAGGGAGAACAGGCTGAAGGAGGTGAAAAGACGTCTATTTATTTGAAAACGATTTAGAATACATTGCGTGCGATACACTGGATATTGAATTCTAGCTTGAGTTATGCATAACTGACGTGTGTACGCCCCCTCGCTCCCCCTCTCTTCAGGTGGTAGCGAAGGCGAAGTCCCTGGGTGCCCAGGAGGCGCACTACGTGGCCGGGGACATGGGGAAGGCGGAGGACTGTGAGAGAACCATTCAAGCAGCCAAGGAGAAATTTGGTACGGCGATTAAGTACAAACATTCTTCGACACACGTTGAAGACATGCAGTTATAATACACACACACACACACACACACACACACACACACACACACACACACACACGCACACACACACACAGAAAGAGAGAGAGAGAGAGAGAGAGAGAGATACACCAACAGAAATACGTCCATTTTTCATAGAGATAATGACCACTTATACAAAAGGTCATCATTTTAAACCCACCTCAGGTCGGTTGGACTACCTGGTGCTGAACCACCTTGGGTCCAGTTTCGGATCCATACAAGACAGGTTCTTCAAGGCTAGGTCTTGGGACCAGGACCCGAATATGGACTTCTTCGTGGACTTCTTAAACATCAACCTGGTGAGCTACGTCCGGCTGGCCTCACTGGCCCTGCCTCTGCTGAAGGAGAGTAGCGGGCACATCGTGGTGGTGTCCTCTGCTTTCGGTAAGATTATTTTATTAATCTATTGTGAATGCTTTTAGGTATGGTCATTCAGAACGGGGAAGAGGGAGAGAGAAGGAGAGGGGGAATAGAATAAGAAGGCAACGAAAAAAAGAAGAAAGAGGGAGAAAGAAGAAAGAAACATTAGGAAACAGCAAGAGACAAGAAAAAGAAAGAAAGAGAAGGAAGAAAGAAAACAGTAGGTAAACAAAAGAAAGAAAAGAAGGAAAGAAAAAGAAAAAGGGAAACATCAGGAAAACAATGAGAAAGAAACGAAAGGAGAAAAGAAAGAGTATATGAATGAACAAAGAACCTCAAGCCATAAACGGTTTTGAACACGAACACTTAATTAAATATTGATCTTGTTTGTTCACAGGAAAAATGTACTGGCCCAACTTGACCTTCTACAGCTCTGCGAAGTTCGCCCTTGACGGGTTCTTCAGCTCCCTCCGTGTGGAACTGATGAAGGCTGAACAGGACGTGTCCGTTACCCTGGCCGTGCTGGGATTGATCTTGACACCGAGGATATCGGAAAAGTTGCAAGTAAGTCAGAAATTAGGAACTATGCCCTAACAGTCTCTTATCTCTTATCACTTATTCTTATTCTCACAATTAAAGTGTCTGTACATTCATAAAATTACCTTCGCAAGATTGGTTTGCCTTTAGTGGAGAGACTGTGGGTGGTCGTAGGCGGTAAAGCTCTTGAAGCCATGGATGGATATACATGATTTTTGGTAGGTAAGTTGGTGTTGGGGAGACAAAGGTCAAGTTCGAGCAAAACGGCTTGTGGTACCACCATGGGGCTACTACAAGTGGGTATTGATTTTGCGATGAAACAACATAGAGTTGTCAATGTCACACCTGCCATCAAACTCGTGATCAAGTCTAGAGGTTCACGACATACAATGTATTTGCCCGCCCATTTTGGCATGTTGACCACTGTCGCAATTGGAGGGCAACACATTTTTTGTCAAAATCAGGCGAAATTAATGCACGCGCTGATGTCATCTAATCTCCAAGCAGATCTTGGGGTGGCCGCATAGAGTATCCGATGGATACTGTCCGATGGATATAGTATACAAGGTCTGCTTGGAGATTAAGGCTAGGCTATGTGAAGGTAAACACCGTGCATGCATTTGCTTTACAAATATTACATTTCTGGTTTTGATATGTTTCAGGACGTACCGGACGGTGCCAAGGTGCTGGAAGGTGCCGCCCCGATAAGGGAGACCGCCCAGGCCGTTATACGGGGAGGAGCGACCCGCACACGGGAGGTCTACTATCCCTTCTACACCTGGGTCATGGCAAGACTCAGCGGGCTCGCGCCTCAGGTTGTGGACTTTATTGCAGCAAGGGTTAACATGTTACCGGAAAGTTAATGATCTGGTTTGGTCACTTGGAACTTGGATAGCTGAAAGCCTGTGGTTAATTTGTGTGCTAAAAGCTAATGGCTTGGTTATCCGTAAGTGAATTATTTGGTAACCTAGAAGTTAATAATTTGGTTACCTAGAATTTAACGCTTTGGTTACTGGAAAGGTAATGATTTGGTTACCTCAAAGTTAACCATGACTTTTTTTTACATGAAAGTTAATGATTTGCAATGGAAGTGGTGTCGTACAGTTATGGATTTTATATGCATTGATAGGTGTTTAATATGTGTGGGACGTCATGGAGCTGAGCCAAACACGTACATTTAGGGATTTTTATATGTACCAATAGGTGTTTAATGTGGGTGGGACATCATGGATCTGAGTCAAACATGCACGTAGTGAGGGATTTTTTATGTGTAGCAATAGGTGTTAACATGTGTGGGGTGTCATGGAGAGTCAAACACGTACATTTAGGGATTTTTATAAGTATCAATAGGTTTTAATGGAGCTGAGTCATACATTACATACATTGGGGATTTTAGTGTACTGATGGGTGTTTAACATTTGGATGCTGCCTTTTGAATATTATGATGTGTGTCTTAAAGAAAAATTAAATACATACTTGTTGATATCGATCGATAGTGTGTGTGTGTGTGTGTGTGTGAGTGAGTGTGTGAGTGAGTGAGTGACTAGTGAGTGAGTGACTAGTGAGTGAGTGAGTGACTAGTGAGTGACTAGTGAGTGAGTGAGTGAGTGACTAGTGAGTGAGTGAGTGAGTGAGTGACTAGTGAGTGAGTGAGTGAGTGAGTGAGTGAGTGAGTGAGTGAGTGAGTGAGTGAGTGAGTGAGTGAGTGAGTGAGTAAAACACTTGGTTGTGTAAAAAGAGTATGTTTGTTACTATAGAGCACTGTATGGGGGTTAAACGTTTTGAGAACAATTGTTCCGAACATGCGGGTATTAAAATATTTCATACTTGATGGAAAAGGTTGATATGGAACAGTCCAGTTTGGAATGGGGAGTGAAATATGCTGTATTTGCCCACGGGCAAATGTCGGCCTTTCTAGTTTACCATGGTGTTTGCTAGTCACTTTTAAGTGACCTTTCCCCTACCTGCATCCTTCTTTGTGTAAACAAGCCCACACGATGTCGGTCCCAGTGCGGGTTAGTTTGACGGTGTTACTCTGCTCTGTGGCCGTCGGGATCTACTGAAACTACGATGGCTTCAACCCAGGTAAGTCTCTTATTCTCTCATATCTATCTTATCGTTTATCTTAGCTAAAGTTTAAAGACCCGGGTCGTACGACCTGCTTAAGACAGCGAACTGAGAGCAATCTTGAGACCAGTCGTTGGGGTACACAGTTCGTTTGGTGTCGCGCTCGGAAAATGCTATCATAGATCATTGTAGTCGACTGCTTCTATTATAGTCTCGCTGCGGATCCTGCGTTCATCTCCAAGAATCTTTCGGCGGCTGCCATACAGTATCAAATTAGCCAAGCAGCATCCAATACTACTGAGGACACCAATAAAAACAGATACCAGTACAAAAAGAAAGCCCTAAAAACGACAAAAAATAAGTGTTGACAGCAAATCCAAAACGCTTGGGACCTATCCATGATAAGACAACTGTCCGATGTTGGCATAGATTTAGGTAAACTTTTTATTTGGTGGGCGTGGCCTTTTCTGTGTCCTCAGAAGACCAGATGTATGATTTATAATGCTTCCTTGGCGTTTTTTCTTCTTCGATGAAGTGTTATGTGTCGCGAAATATTACAACGTGGGTTAGTTTAGTTTGTCAGTGATATGTAGCGTAGTCATCAGAATGTACTACATGTAGTACTAGATCTACAATTGCCCCGATTCATGCAAATATTGGTTGTGCAACGGTCATCACCATTAAATATACACTCCCATTGACAGGCCTTCCCATTTTGTTCAAGTCTCTTTTGGATTTTTTAAAAGTATTGAAGAGGCTGTTTTGTTGTTAGAAAAGATACTTGAAACCCTTGGCCCCCTCATTCCAATAGGCTAATATGTCTGGTTACTTATAGATGTTAGTCCTTATTGTTTGATAAGTTAAATTTCAATTTTATATTTCCATGTTGCCTGCCGGAGAACCCTAGGATTCTGAGTCAACAACCCTAACCACAAGCCCACCTTATTATTATTAGTTTTTATGACATTTTTAGTTGGGTTATGAGGTTACAAAAGCTTCCTCGTGACATGATTGATATTGTCCATAGAGTCTGTACGCGGTGCGACAGTCGTCATCACCGGCTGCAGTACCGGCATCGGCGAAGAGATGGCGTACCAGTACGCCCGGCTGGGAGCAAAGATCCTCATCACAGCCAGGAGGGAGAACAGACTGAAGGAGGTGTGAGGATATATTTTTATATTCCACTTCAGGACGACTTTTAGGTCTCCTTATTTCACTATAAAGTGTCAGAAAGTTTTTTGAAATCTTCACATCATCATCTATCCCCTAGTCTGTTCATTGGAACGCCGAGGCAACACTGAAGATCGGACAACCAGCTTTCTCCACTCTTCTGAAATCTTCTGAGTTTTCTGTTCTTTTTGATGTTTGACTTAGTGTTGTGCCAGTCTATTCTCTGATATCATCCTCCCATATCTTCTGTCTACTCCTCTTTTCCTTCCTCAATGGACTGTTCCTTGCCGATGATTCTGGCTAGTCTCATCATAATCTCCAAGCAGATATCTTCGGAAATGTTGGCCAACTGGTTACCTAACAATGGTGTCTTGTCCCCGAAGAAATCTGCCTTTTTCCTTTCCTTACTCTGCACTTATCTGTTCATAAATGACAGACATTTTAGCTTACAAATCACAAATTACAAAATAATCTTGGCGTTTTGTTTTCACATAGGTGGTAGCAAAGGCGAAATCTTTGGGTGCCCAGGAGGCGCACTACGTGGCCGGGGACATGGGGAAGGCGGAGGACTGTGAGAGAACCATTCAAGCAGCCAGGGAGAAATTTGGTAGGAACGGTTGCTCTTTTATCGCGAACCTATTTTGTTTTCGTCGGCGTTCATGGGCACCGCGCCATATTGGATTATGCATGCGCCACCTTGTTTACGGTTGATACATCTCAACAGATAACCCAAAATGTAAGAAGGCAGCAGTCTTGATCTTTATTGTATTATCGCGACTGAATGGCAAATGTATGAGGAAAATTTTATATCGTCTTCAGGTCGGTTGGACTACCTGGTGCTGAACCACATGGGATCCAATTTTAAATCTCTTCAAGACAAATTTCATGAGGGCAAGTCTTGGGACCAGGATCCGAATATGGACTTCTTCGTGGACTTCTTAAACATCAACCTGGTGAGCTATGTCCGGCTGGCCTCACTGGCCCTGCCCCTGCTGAAGGAGAGTAGCGGCCGTATCGTGGCGGTGTCTTCTGGATTCGGTAAGATTATTTCCGTCTGTTTATGAGTACGTCGGCAGAACGTAATTTGAGTCACACATCGTCATCCTAGTCCCATCTTGGCCCCTGTCTAGCTATTAAAAATGATTGTTTGTGTCTGCAGGTAAGATACCGTGGCCAAACCTTAGCTATTACTGTGCTTCAAAGTTTGCCCTTGACGGGTTCTTCAGCTCCCTCCGTGTGGAACTGATGAAGGCTGGACAGGACGTGTCCGTTACTCTGGCCGTGCTGGGATACATCGGGACTCCAAACGTCGTTCACAGCTTACAGGTCAGTGGAAATGCCGCCTTTTGAAGGCATCCAAGGCAATTTCATGGCGACAAAAATAGGTTCTAGATCAGAAAATCTGCCACTGCCATTTCTCAGTACATTTTCGTCATCATTTCATACTTGTGTTGTTTCAAATAGCCCCCAAAACAAGCTACGCGAGGCATTTCTTTATATTTATACTTTACCATCTATAAATACCAGCTATTGTCATCTTGGCCCCCTCCATCCTTTGTAAGCATTTCATGTTACAACAATCATGCTCATCGTTTTGTTCCAGAATACACCAGAGATGCTGGACATCGTGGCCCCGGTGAACCAGACAGCCATGGCCATCATCCGCGGAGGGGCGACTCGGGCCCGGGAGGTCTACTATCCGTTCTCCATCTGGCCTCTCACAAAATTCGGGACTCTGATGCCACAAATGTTCGACTACCTTACCTCCAAGATTGATTTGGTACCCGAAAGTTAACGATGTAACGTTACTGTTGTAACAAACAAATAAAAATCATCCCGTCTACACCTGGCCTATAATAGCCAAAGTCAGCGTTTTGCTGAGTCAACTGGTGGATTACATTGTCACTGTTATATAAGAAAACGAGATGGATCATCTGATAAATCAATTGGTAATATGTGAGCATGTTGACCTCCTATGTATGCAAATTAAGTCAATGCAAATTAGTATTATACTATGAGAACACGTTGAAAAAAAGGAGAAAATAGGAGATCATGGAAGAAAGCGGGAGAACAAGAGAGAAAGCAGGTGAACGCACATGTGACAAAATATCTGTGGGCATGCCGCTGATGAAATTTGAAATACGGATGGGAAAAGCCACTCCCAACAATGGTTGAAGATTTTCCTAGATTACAGATGATAGGGTAGCTTGTCACGACATGTGCATGGACTGATCTGGAATAATAGGAACGTATAGTTTTTTTTTTAAATTCCATCATGTAATCACCAGACGTGGTGACGACACACTCAAGTTTTTTCAACTTATATTAATGCCGCCACCAACACAGGGGACAAATACATGACAGGACAATACTCATTTACACCTGAGCTAAGTGAGGAAAGCCGTGTAAAGTGCCTTCCCAAGGGCACAAGATCGGTGGCATGTCAGGACTCGAACTCGGGTTCAGAGTCGCGCACTCTGCCGCTACGCCACACAACCCCACGAACGTATAGTTGGAATAAGTATCATTGTATAGACATATATAACATATAATTATAACCACCAATCATTCATTCGTCTATATATTGAATTCCATTCCATCCCTTTCGATCTCTCCATGCCTATCGCATAGTTATTTTTCCTCATTCTATAATGAAAATGAATAGCACCTCATTCCCGCTAGGGTTATCAAAAATATACAGTATATATATAACGTTATATATATAGTTTTTACTTTATCAACTGTTGAACACCGTTCATGGGGTCTCTGTCATGACAACGGGTTTCGATACGTGCGGTGTGGCTCTTCAACACGAGCACATGCACATGGCACTAACTAGAGAATTACTCAAGACAGTGTACGGATACTAGTAAAATTCGATGAAAAAATGGAAATAACTGGCCAGGAAAGTCAGGGTAAATTTCCCCCTCCAACAAGAGAAATCTCAACAACCTATTCACTTCCGGGTATAGGGACTAGACGATTTGTAATTGGGGGCCGTAAGAAGCTTGATTTTTCATACGACAAATACACAACTTATTAAATATAATCTATTATATTTTTCAGTATATTCTTATATTTTGAATACATAAAAGGCATTAAAGCATATCATAGTTAGCTATTTTATGATTTTATACTTTTAGGGCCAAGTCCCCTCTTATTGTATAGACTCGTCCTCCCCGCTGAGATTTCCCAGCGTCCCCTGTAGTAAACATGGCGGCACAGTTTAACATCGGTGACATCGTTTGGTAGGTTTTCCTTCCGTCCTGTCTCGCTAAATCCTCTCCATACCTCTTCGATTTCCACGCGATCCTTGAGAAAAATGTCTGAAGAGTTTCCCTGTTGTTTTGTTTCAGGGCCAAGCTGAGCAGTTTCCCGCCCTGGCCGAGTAAGGTGGGTGGATCTTTGTGTGGGTTGTGGTAGCTCCCCCCACTGACGCGTCCCGTGCTGCAGACAATACCCGCTATTTAGCGTGGCTTTAAACTCTTCTCTGTACCAAATCTCCGCCTCCTGTGTACGCTAAATGTTCTTAATTCTTCTCGTGAAGCCGCCTCGGCGAGCATTATAGGTCGTGTAAGCGCCAGCGCTGCTATGTAAAAGCGCTAGACGTTTTAAGCTAGCTGTCATATCATCTGGTGTCCGCACGTGACGCTTCCGACATGGTAAATTATGAGCGGGTCAGAAAAGGGCATGTTGTGGTAAACAAAAGTCGGCTCTGTGGTTGCTGATTGTTTTGTAGAAGAGGTTAACAAGAATCTTCTTTGATGCAGATGCCTACATGCAAATCACTTGAATAGATTTTCTGTTGTTGCGCATTTTCGTTGGGCAGCCGGCAGAGGCCTTACTCAACAGTCAACCGTATGCAAGAAATTATCAGAAATAATTTGATTGTCTGCGTTCGTGTGACAAATATTTAAATTCCACTTTCCTGTTGTTGTTTTTTCAACAAGATTCCTTCAACTTTCATCATCCCGAGCATATCAGGGATTGATATTGATATTTCATAACTGAAAGACTACTCAGAATATTCATACATAAATACATGTAAATAAATAAGATAATTAAGTAAAATATTCAATAACAAGCAGCTCACATATCTGCCTATATATGTCATTTTCTATGTAGGTCACTTATCTTCAACAGCACCAAATCATCACAATATGTCAATAAATTTTAACCCCTAACCCCCCATACTACAGTCATAGATTAGTTTTGTAGTATTGTTGACACATTGATACAGTATCATACACGATATAGGAGAGAAGGCTTCCACCGTTGTTATTTGATATGTGTAATGTCAGACTTTGTACCTTCTAAAATTGTGGTGCAAATTCATTCATTTAGTAGTAATTCATTCTTTTTCAATCACCTAAAATCAAGTTCTCTTTTTTTTGTAGTACCTGCAACACCAATTTCAACAAGAACTCTTTGCTACATACATGGGTACATGAAGCTTTGTCTGATCTCCCAGTAACACACTTTACGGCTCTGTAAGGTCATATAGGATGTGTCTACAGTCATGTCTACTAGTCACTTGACTACTTATTTTTCCTTCTCCGCTCTCCACAGATTGTTCGGCCCAAGAAGGACATTAAGAAACCTAAAGGGAAGAAGCCTGTGTACTTCGTCTTCTTCTATGGCACGGAAGACCAGTGAGTGGACTTTTGCATTGTCATTCAATTTGTGTTTTTAACGATGACATACTGTACAATAGTTTGGTTCCCAACTATCGATTAGTTATACTTAGTTTCTCCCGTGCATATCATATTGGGCAGCAAGTTTCCTCCACTCTGTTCGATCTTTGGCCAAATTCCCTATTTTCCAGGTCTTTATGGAAAGTGCGTTGCCATGTTAGCTTTGGTCTGCCCTTTTCCTCTTACCCTCTGGAGTCTGGTTTCCAGAACATAGAACACAGTACTTAGCCATTGATATATCTCTACTGTAACATAAATCCCTGATGCCATTGTGCATTGTTGTATGCTCTTACAGTGCCTGGGTAAAGGCTGAGAACCTGAAGCCCTTTGAGGAGTACAAGGACCAGATGATCAAGGCTAACAAGGGGAAACGTTTCCACCAGGCAGTGGAGGCTGTGGAGGCCGTGCTCAGGAAAGGGGGCGGAGCCAAGGTACAGAACACAGCAACTAATTATCATACAGTCCTTGCAGGGGACACAAAAAGGGCTAGGGTCAGCAGTTTTTTTCTAGGGTTGGTAGGACAACATTTTTGTCCTAGACCTAGTCTATATCCATGAAGGTTAGACATCCACAATATGTTGGCAGAATGTACTGTGTCTGTGCAAAACCCGCATTTTTCATGGTTTTTCACTGTCATCCTTAGATACTCGATTATGACCTTAAAACACTACGTTCTGCCAACATGCTGACATCCACTATATTTCATCAGTCTATAGGTACAGAACTAGTGATGCGTACCTAAACGTAACATTAGGTAGAGAGGTCCAGGTACAGTCCCAGACCTGTTCCTGTACCTGAACAATTTGTGGTCCATTTGCCCTACCCACCCCTCAAGTATATAACTGTAAAAAGGTGGCCAACAAAATGCCTCCAGTTTTAGTTATTGATAACATCACATATGGTGGTGCTTTCCTTGGTTCAAAAGATAAACTTGTTGGATGTTTTAGGTTCAGTGTCACTAAGTACAATATGATTTTTTTTATCCTCGTCTTTTAAGAGAGTTCTTGTAAAATATCTATCAATCCTCATGTCTGAACTATTCTGGACATTTCATCTCAATCTACAGACCAAGAAGGTAATACTTGCACATTACTAGTCTTGTAAAACCTTGTCAACATTTCTGGATTCTCCACTTTTGCTTTATATTTCTGCATTGATGTAACTCTGACTCTCTCTCCTTTTTTCCTCCCTCTTCTCTTCTCAATTTCTTTCCTACTCTAGCGAGGCCGGCCACCCAAGCACTCTGCGTCACCCAAGTCAGGGCCGTACAGGGTGAGGGTCCTGGGTTCTAGTCCCAGCAACCTGTAGGGAGCATATTGGCAGAACGCACTATGCCTGTGCAGAAGCATGCATGTATTGTGCATAGCACTTTGGCAGAACGTCTTGTTTAAGGTCGTGTTCGTGTCCCATCTGTAGTTTTAAAATGGTGTGTCAGAAAAGATATTGTCTGCAACGGACAAATTTCTGATGTAACGTTGACCAAACATCCAACAGAAATAATGGAAAATCCGAGTTTCACCACAGGCACAGTGCACTCTGCTAACATGTAGCTGTAGGGTGTTTGCATGTAATGTCACACAGTTGTCATGTTGGTCAGTTGAAGAAGCTGGAAGAGCTATAAATTTGCAGGTGTATCAGAGTGGAAAATACTCTGATAAAAATTATACTTTTCCATTTTGTGCACCGAGAATCAGAACTGGGCACCTAATTGTTTTATTTAGGCACAGGTAGACATCACAAATTATGCACCTGAACAGCTCCCATTTTACCTGCACAAACCTGCATATGCAGATCTGAAGCCCTGTCTAAGCCTATAGTTTGTCTCAATCCAAAGGCATGATAAAGTCCCTGCTCCATCTACTAACCATGTTTTATATGTTTCCCTGCATATTATGTATCTTGAAATCCTTTTTTTTTAAATCATTTTGTTTTTTTTGACATGCATGTTTGTTCTCATTTTGCAGATGTCATTGTTTTGCAACTCATTTCTCACAAGCTCATTTCAGCTGCTTGTCCTAGTTTGTTGATAATAATTGTTCTTGCTTTTCTAACACCCTTTTTTGTTCCCTTATAAACCTAGTGCTTAAACTAGAGTTTATGCTTACACTATTTTTCATACCTTTAGATTATTCATAGCTTCAGATTGTTGTGTTCTAAGTATTACAGATGTCCTTTATCATCTATAAAGTGTAAAACAAGATGGACCTGTAGCAGGGAAACTTGGAAAGTGAACACTAGTCATTGAAGACGCAAGAGAGATATTATACAATGTACCTCAAGACTCGATTTACATGTGGGCAAAAACCTTACAGTACCAAAACTGCGTTTGCACTTAAGCATACAAAGACTGGATAGGTTAAAGTTTGGATGTTGTAGACTCTGTTAGTGTTGTCACAGCTAACTTCATGATCCTATGACATCCAAATCGTATGGCGACCTATGATGCATGCCTTAAAGAAAGTACTAGTACTATATGTGAACCCTGTCTGTTGCTCTTGCAGGACACAGATGACATTGACCATGAGGAGGTTGTGCCCAGCTCCAAACCTGTGCAGAAAACCTACTCCAGAGAACCACTTCTCGGCAAAACTGTGGTAATAGCAGCATTTATAACACCTTTTTTCTGCAGGAAGAGTTGAGATGTTAAGAACTTGAAGACAGGAAGTGAAATGACCTTTATGGTACCTTTGATCTAACTTCCTGTCATTGTCTTTGACATGTCTAGTGTGTGAAAATAACGAAGAAAACATTTAAATGCAAATCAGAAGTGGGCAAATCCAGGCAGAAGCAGGCAAATCCGAGAACCAATTGATTGACTTCTTGTGGCTTCATCTTTTTAATCTTAGTTATTCATAGATGCCTGCATATTTTGAGTGTTTAACAGTGATACTTAGATGAGACATCTTTTGATTTATATATTTATGAAAATTAAGCTGTTGTACAACTCACCAATTTGTCTCACTGGAATTTTTGAGTGAATCTCTCGGTCTTTATCTGCTATTTGACCGAAGAGATGACGGCCAAGTTAGAGATTCGGTGGAAATTCTGTTGAGTCAAATTCTTTTTGAGTTAGAGAACAGTTAAACTTTCATTTTGTAATTTACTAACTCAGATAAACTTTCATGATAGTTACGTCTTATGATTAATTGTGATCTGATTTTCAGAGTCCGTCCACATCCATTGGACTGAAGAGGCCACCAGAGGTAACTGGGCAGATGTCATTCATATTTTCATCAGGAAATAAATACATGAACATTTGTCAAATTTGTCAACATCACAGATTCCATTTTGAGGCTGTGACTCATACAGACTTGCTAAGATATTCTTTAAGTTAACCTTCTTCCTGCTGCCTAACTCTGTAAGCAATAGGGAACTGGTAGCCAAATGTCTCACTTGAAGTTGGTTTTAATCATGATGACTGAGAAGTTGAGTTTGTAAGGCCTTCCAAAAGTGAATTTTTGGAGATGCTCCGGCAAGCTTCGCAATTGCCTGCCTTGGTCATCTCTTTTTACTTTATTTCTTTATTTCAGGCATAAGTCGCCCATACACAACATACATATAAAATACACACACAATAACATCAGTAAAATAATAATATAACTATATGTACAGACGGGCCCAGTTATTGCGAAAGAATCTGCTACGGAATATCACTTCAGATTTAAGAACAGATTGGATAATGTTGTTTGATGACTTGTATAGACGGGATATAAATGAGTAACATTGTTTACGCCATGTAGCATCAAATGTGTCAATCCTATTGTATACAAACATTTCACTTGCACTACAAAATCTGGGTAGTGACATTATGATGCGAAGACAGTTATTGTAAGCAACTCGACACTTTGATACAATTCTAGAACTAGCTCTGTCCCACAACTGTGCAGCAAAAAGTTGGGAGCAATGAGCTGTAAACAACGTCTTTTTAACATATGAAGAACAATAAGCGAATTTGCGTATAATAGTATTTGCACGGCTATACAGACCTCTTATCTGGGTAAGAGATTTTTGCATCTCTATGTTTCATTTTTGCATTTCTTTGATTTTTCTGGAGCCGACATCACAGGGTGATGTTTTTTATGTCAGCTCAAGAAGAAATACAGAAATGCAAAAATAAAATGTACGTCATGTAAAGATGCAAATAGTCTGCCGGGACTGACTTCAGTAGTGACTTGTGCTGACCTTTCCGAGACGGGGCCTTGAAATTTTGAATGTAACAGGAGAACCGTGTATATTTATTGTAAACGTGTTTGTTAACCAGGTAATATTAGCTATGTCAACTGCAATCAGATAAGGTTGTATTTTGGTGTCATGAACACTTTAATGTGTTACCTTCCCCTGACAGAGTTTGGGTGCAGAAGCCTCCATAATCCTGAAGAGACCCAGGGAAGACAACGAGAGTGACCTGTACAACTTTGATGAGTCAGAGGTACAATCATCTGCTATAAACATGTCACAGAAATCATGTATTTTATGTTTACCTTGAGGCAGCTACAGAAAACATGCTGTTTTTTTTGCTTTGATTCTTCTTCTTCTTCAAGCACATTAAGGTCAATGACCTGGACCAAACATCTGTCACCATGGTAACTGGTGCTGTAACATACACCCTGTGGTGTTGGGTTACATTATGTAGCAGGGCAGAGCTGAAGGGGCTGGTCACCATATGAATGTGTTTAAGTAAGAATAAACAGAGCAGACAGTAGTTTGTTAGGCTAGACTATTGTGAAGGTTAACATTTTTATTTTGCTTTGGAAATACATGACTGTAATGATTACCTTTCTAGTCTTGATAGAGCTCAGTACAATGTGTTCCTCCTCTATTTTCTTTAAACCTTCTCCCTTCTGCCGAGCCTCATCACCTATAGAGAACTGGTAGCCAAACAGCTATCTTAGTGTTCTAAAAGTTCTGCAATATTTTGTTTTGCAGCACGAGACAGAGTCGGACATTGTGACCTCAAAGGACGACATCACGCCCACGTGCTTGAAGTAAGAGCTCCCTTTTCTCTCCATGTTCATGCAAATTATTCTGGAAGCCAGACTAGTATCCGTAAATCAGAATTTGTACATTTTACATGTACATGTATGTTGAACTGATGTTGTGCTTCTTTTGTTAATTTGTTAGGATTCTTTTCCTAGGCCTGGTAATCATGGTGTCTGGGATGGACAAACATACAGAGTGACATTGTGTTTATTTGTTTGTTTGTTTGTTAGGATTGGGTTCCTAGGTCTGGGCATCATGGGTTCTGGGATGGTGAGAAACCTGATCAAGACTGGCCACAGTGTGATGGTGTGGAACAGGACTCCTATGAAGGTACATCACATAGAAGTCTGATTTATATGGGAATGTTTGTGTGTGTGTGTGTGTGTGTGTTTGTATGTATGTGTGTCTTTGTGTGTGCATGTGCGTGCGTGTGTTTGCATGTGCATGTGTGTGTGTCACAATGGAGAGCAGTGTTACTGATATGGCCAGGTAGCAAATGAATGAATGGAAGTTTATTACTGTGTCTTGCGACTACACACCACGCAGCCCAAATGGGCTTATAATATATAAGACACCAAGAGAAAAAAACATCATGATACGAAACGGTACAGAGTCAAATCAAATCAAAAGGTAACATACATGTGGGAGGTAGCTGTCGATTGTAGACTGTGCAAGGTGGTAGAAGCAAACACTCAACCCTGGTTACCATGGAAACTGGTCATGGGATAAACCATTGTCAGGTTTTTGAGGGGGTGTGGGTGGAGGCTTTATGTCATACTGTGAAAGCGCTACTCTACTAAGCTTGCTGTACTTCATCTTCTAAATCAACAGATGAAAGACTTGAGTGTTTTACTTACATTTTCCAGTTACAAGCATTTTCAAAACCCAGAATCTTTAGATCCTAATAAAGTCAACAACTCTAACCGCAAGACCATCTTGCTACCTTGTTATTACTGGCACTACCTGGCACCAGAGCACTATGGTACTTCCAAGCACCCCCTGAGTGTTTGTGTACGTGTGAGATTGTAATCATTCTAACTGGCAGTTCAAGATTCCTTCTTTTGATCAGAGAGAGAGTTTCTACTAATTCTAGATTCCCTCTTTTGATCTTATAGAGTTTTGTACACTTAACTCACAGTTTAGGTTAGTGGCCCTGCCTGTGGACCAAGAGGCCTTGGCTTGAGTTTGAATCCTAGTACCCATTTTACACCTGGGTGGAGTGAAGAAAGTTGTGTGTAGTGCCTTTCCCAAGGACACAATGTCTGGCTAGGAATGCAAAGAATCGAACCCACAACCTCTTGATCCACTAGCCTAGCCATTTGGCCATAGCTTAATGGTTCATTGCATACATTTGAAGGTACCAGTAAGAAGTTTGAGATCTTTTTTTTTAAATATAATGTGCTATAGTGAGCAATACCCACTGATTGTACATACACATTTGCATGTACATGACACTTTCACTGAAAATGCACAAATCTATGTAGATGTCTCCTTTCCTACCATCATTTGTACAATGTATGTTTGATTGTTGCTATTTTACACTAATGCCAATGGGGTAGGAATGTGTGGTGAGTTAGTTCTGCATGTATTGTGTTGATTTTGTATTACACGTATTATTCCTATGAATAATATTAGATACTGTGCACAGCATTGTGACTGAAGAACCAAGGTACAATATCTGATGCAAAAAGGATTTAATCATTTTGTTTGACAAAATCACATTCAACTCTTGACGTCAACATTCTGGTTAATTTAGACATTTCTGATTGCATGAATTAGATTCCTCATATTTGAACGTCACACTTTTACCAACTTAAAACATAACAATAAAGTCTTTGGCTTAAACTCAGCAAATCTTATATTAGCAAAATTATTCTTTCAGCACATACATGTATCCTGACAACTTTAAACAGTTGCTGCAAAAATACACAGACCAATGAAATGCAACTGAGAGGTAGCAATGTACACTGGCATTCTTGCATAGATTAGTTTCAGACCTAGTGTAGTCATGAAAACGCTCAAAAATGTATATTAAGTATTGTAAGCATAGAAATTGACCATGGAGGGTTCACATGAGGACACACTTGTTTTAAAGATCAAATTGTGGCATTTTTTGTTGCTTTTTCTCAGCTCTTTTGCATGTGTTTGAAAAAATGCTGCCATCCATAAACCTAAATAGTTTTCTTTTCACTGCCTAAATGAATTCCATGACCCTTTGTTTTTTTTTTACCAATGGCCATTTTAATAACTTCCATTACTATGAACAACTGTAGTGTCACTATAAAAAACATGTTTGTATTTGATACAAGTTCACAATGTCTTTATGTGGAACATTTTGTCCCATTTTCCTCACAAACATGAGAGGAATTGTTACTGCAACAGTTACTGTTTTCAGCTTAAAAGTTGTACTGTAGTTTCCAACACAAGAATTGGACATCAAATTTTTGACTGTCCAACTGATGAGCAATCTACTGCTTCTGTGCTGTGCAGGATTAATCTCCAAGCAAATCTTTTGGTAGCTAGAAGATTATCAAAATATTGGTGAGCAGCAGGGCAGTATCCTACATGCCACGAGAAAAAAGATGCAAGTATAAAAAAAGCCAAATAGAAATCGTTAAAAATGCCTAAAAAATAAATCCAACTAATACCTCTGCTTGGAGAGTGATTCCGGATAGAAGATACAGCCATAGCCTTTTTTCATCCTATGATCCACTGCTCACTGAGTGATCGCAGAATGTGACATCGCAGAAGTCAGGTATTGTTTTGGCAAAGGCCAGAATTGGACAGTCAAAAATTTGGGTCAGAAATTACAGTGACTTCAAAATGATTTCTACCAAACACAGACAAACTTTCAAACTAAGTATGTTTTCTGCAATGTCCAAGGTAGAAACTACTTTCTGTGTTGCTCCATGTCTGGTCCCCCTTCGTTCTCCTCTGAAATGGTCGGTAGGGAAGGGGCGCTATTTAACATGTTGTTACTCGACCTGTTAGTGTTATCCCTCTGCTGATGGTCAGGATGAACAAATCCTGGATTAACAGATCCTGGATTAACAGCGGGATTAGCAAATCCCTGGTTCACCACCTCGTGGTACGGCGGGGGGAGATCCTGAAGTTGAAACTGTGGCTCGCGTGACTGAGTCCCGTTGTACTCTGGAGGCGCCTCTGGTTCCGTGTTTGCAGTCCTGCGAAGGTACCTTATTCGACACGCCACCCCTATCATGATGCCTATTAGGATAACCACCCCTCCTCCTATGCCTATAGCTTTGCCGATGTTAACTATTTTGAACGGATCTCTTGGTGGTGGTGGTGGAAACATGGAGCTGTCGTCGCCCTGCCATGGGTTCTCACCAGAATACCCCAGTGTGCCCAGGTCCTTGCATTTGTGGGAGATCTCAAAGTTGTACCTGTTGGAATAGATGCAGACTCGGTGGAAGGAGCCAGGGTCCAGACCTGTTATCCTGTATCTGTTTGTGGAGTGATGAAGATCCCCAGTTACTTTGTACTGCATCGGTCCGTTCACGCTCCAGTACACCAGAAAAGTCGTGTTGTTGTCATTCTGTTTCACCGTCCACGAGACGTCGATGGTTGTTTCGGTTTTAGATTCGGCAGAAATGTCTTTAAGCTTCCCCTTCTCTCCATACTTCTCGCAGTAGCTTCCCCGGTAAGGGCGGGGGCACCTGCAGTACGCCAGGTCTCCACGCATGCTACATTGCCCCTGCATCAGGCACGCGTCGTGAGAACACGGAACTTCAGGCTCATCTGGTTCAGGTTCCGGTTCTGGGTTACCCCTGGACGGTCCGTCCTCTTCGGAACCCTCTTCACGATATTCCTCCTCCTCCCGCTCGCCGTCTTTTTCCTCTTCGCTGTCATGGCCATCGTTACAGTAGTCCTCTGGGATGGACAGCAGTTCCTCCCCCTCCAGCTCAGCAGGGTACCTGCACAGCAACCTGTCGTCATTCAGTATGTCACCGTGGCTGTCGAACCGCTTGAGCCATTCGCGGAAATCATCGTTTTCACAGGAACAGTCCCACGGATTGTCAGACATGTCCACCTCGTGTAACTCCAAGCTTTTGGGGACGATGGAGCCTATGGCGTTGAAGGAGTTGTTGCGCACGTTGATGTGTCGTATCCGTGTTAACCCAAAAAACACGTGTTCGGGCAGCGTCTGCAGGCCGGGGTTGTTGCACATGTGTAACTGCTGCAGCTTCGGTAGGCCACGGAACGCAAAGTTTTCTACAGTCGACAACTCGGGTAGGTCGTGAACGTACAGCTCTTCCAGCTCAATAGCTAGGCCTAGCGCGTGGTCTGTGATGGTTTCTATCGGGTTGTGGCTCAGGTTTAGCCTTTTGAGACAGTTCCTTGGAAACCAAGTCTCGGGGAGGTCAGGAATCATGGTCAGTCTGTTGAAATCCAAACGCAAATTGTTCAGATTATCCAGTCCAAAGAACACATCGTTCTCCAAACCGATAATCCTGTTTCTACTCAAGTCTAGCGTTCGCAGGCTGGAGAGACCTTCAAATGTCCGGTCGTGCAGATACCCGAGCTGGTTACTCCGTAGAGACAGGTCAACAAGGGTGGGAAGATGCTGAAACAAGTTCGGTGCTACCATAGATATGTCGTTATCCTGAAGATTCAGTACCTGCAGCGACCGGAGACCGTTGAACGTGTTTTGGTCGATGATGGGGAGGTTGTTGCCCTGTAGATGGAGGTGTTTGAGCTGGTACAGCATGTCGAAGGTGTAGGGGAGGAGCGAGGAAAGGTTGTTGTTGCTTAGGTCTAGGAGTTCCAGAGCGCTGTCTTGCTGCCTAAATGCGTCAGGATGAATCGAAACAAGTTCGTTGTGGCTCAGCTCTAATGTCCTAAGTCTTCTGAAGATGGAGAACTGGAAGGCATCCGGGCCAAGGGAGTGTATTCTGTTGTACTGAAGTTGCAAATGTGCGGTTCCCCTTGGGATGTCTGTGGGAATGTTTGTCAGGTGTCCGTGTTGGCAGTCCACCCGATCGTCTGGCCGGCATGTACAGTTCGTAGGGCACCCGTGCACAGAGATGTGTAAGAACGCAGCCAGGAGCAGCAGTGTCGTCTGTGGCCTTCCCTTCCTCATCCTGTCTTCTGCATTGATTTCAGATGAACTTGAACCTGTAAAGGGAGGTACATGAAAGCACACAGTCAGCAAGTAAAAACGAGTGCGGCTGCAGTGTGTCTGACCAGCAGTAGCAGCAGCAGCAGCAAGATATGTATTCATTGTGTGACCACATTATCGTATTTGAGTTTGGGGAGATATTAAAGGGTTAGTCAGTTACGATTATGTTAAGGACAAAACTTTAAACGCAACAACAACAAGTAAATCTTCACTTATCCAGGATTCAAAACAGTAGGTGGAAATGATCAAGTCGATTAGGCCAGAAAAACAGCCAGAAGCAGAACGCCTTTTGAACAATGGGCTAGTGGGCTTGTTGTGACGTCAAATGTGGGTGCTCAAAAGTCATGTACTCATTCTACATGTAGTTCTTATCTTTAGCCGATCTGGTTCTTGGTCCTGGTGTGGATTTTAAGCTATTAGAATCTGATGAGACTTGTCATTTTGGAATCAAGATAATACAGACACGCAGTCAATGAGAACTTGTTGATACATTTACGTCATTGTGGAGTCTGGGTCATTCTAGTTGATATTTTTAGCTGATCTAGTCTTTGGTATGACAATACAACACAGAAAAGGATTTAGCTTTTCAGATGAGACTAGTGTGACTTTAAAATCAGGATAGCAAAGCTACACAATGTACATGTACATGTATCTATCGGAACAAATAAATTCTGACACAAAGTGACTGTGCAGTGAAGGGGGAGGGGGGCAAAGGAGTAATATACTGTATAGAACGTTTTTTTTCCAAAATTAAGAACCCTATGCTTTTAGAAATGTACCAATTATTGACTGAATTATTAGATGGGTACATGTCATGTATTGACATGTTCAAAGGGTTAGAATGTGGTACAAGAAAAACCTACTTTGACCAGCTAACATTTAACAAATGATACAGATTGTTTTTCTGGTCAATTTGTCTACATTTTGCTGTGAGTGTGACGTCAGGACTGCTTACCAAGCATTTCAATCCACTGCCTTCTACTGAAGTTCTAGCTCTAGTTTGACCCAATAAATACAAATGTATTTACTGGGTACCATGTGTATTGGCCAAGAAAGGTAAAATTTCGTCAGAGCTGTAATTTTTTGTTGCCATGATGACACCTGAGTGACGTTAGGAGTGATAACCAAACACACTGGCCACTTACCTGCCCTCTGGCTACATGGGATTTGTACATGTACACATCCGATCTAAACGTATGTCCATCGTATATATTGGCCAATAATGCTACAAATCTTAGTCAGAACTGTGTTGTATAGAGTATTTTTTTCACACTCACAGACAGAACAATAGTGATAACAGTTGAGTGCACTATACAAACATCCTTGTTGGCTGTATTCTGTCTTAATATCAGAAAGTACGCACACGTTACCGAACGGTGTATATTTCCCTTCCAAAAATTGGTCCAAATTTACTACAAAATGTAGTTGGGAGTGTGTTTTTTTGCCAACAAAAACAGCGCTGGATTGTATAATGCTGCTAACATTCGAGACTACCAACTAAAGGCACATTGTTGTCACCTTTTTGCCCTCTAGCTACATTTTATTATGATATCAGAAGCCATTTCTTACCTGTATATTGGCTAATAGGTGTTCCTTCTGTGTTTAAAATGGTTTAAATTAAGAAGTCTTTTGTACAACGTAGTATTTAGTCCCCACAAGGCATGCTTGTAGTATAGGTGACTCACGCCATATGTGTCACAACCCCACTTAACAAAAGACCCCTTTTCCGGTCGCCCAGCTCTTTTACGTCAAGGATGTCCCCTTTTTACTCACTACTCTCCATGTAGGAAGGAACCAAATCACAGCTCTAGTTCCCTTGTGAATCTGACAATATTTCCACACTTGGTGTAGTGTGCCGTTGGTTGGTAATCCTTGTCTGTGTTTGTATGGCCCTGTCGTTGTCCTAATTTCAAATCCCGATGACCTAAAGTCCTTACCTTCCTGTTCTGTGATCTGTAGTAGTCCAAAGTTCGTGGAGGTCCGTGGAAATGTGTCTGCCCAGGTTTGCTAGCATGCTTCCCAACATTCCTGGTAACCTGTCTGACGACAACTGTACCTGTGTGTGTGAGGTGTGTGTGTGTCCGTGACCTGCGCGGTAACGATATGCCCGCAGGCGTAGTACCAACGGTGCCAGGTGATTCGTCAGTGTGCAAATAGGCTTGTGGGTAAATCATTAATGCGGGGCTGGCACTAGGCTGTTTACTGTACCGGGCGGTGCGTGGTATTGTTCCTACCCACCTGCAGATCAGGTTACCCACTTCTCGGCCTGGGGACTCCTCAGGTGTTGGGCCATACCAATTACTTTCTTTGGTTATCACCGAACAAAAAAGGACATTAGGCCACACTAATTTAATCAATTTGTTCTTGGATTTGCTTCATTTTTTTTCTGATTTGTCAACAAATGTACATGACGTCGTGTATTTACCGGTAGGTTCTGGATCAACTCGAAAATGCTTCATTCAACTTACTTTGTAAGTGACCAGAAAATTGACTTCTTGTATCATCCGAATGTTACATAATGCAGCTTTAAAGTAAAGAGGATAACATAAACAGGTTTGAGAGGAAATTTGAAGGGGACTTTTTTTTCTGTAGCAGGTGGTGCCAGGTCATGTTTCCGTGTGGGTGTTGAGTTGCACATCCCTCAGCCAAGGTCTGATCAGGTGTCAGCATTTTACCTCTTCAGGCCACACTGATTTAAAGGCAGTCATTTGCGGCTAAACAAAAAAGTATGACAAAATCTGTCAGATATTGACATTTATGCCATTTTTTCACAAATAGCCTCAAATAGCCTCAAAACAAGCTACATTTTTTGGGTACCGCCAATAAATAGCCAAACAAGCAATCATTTTCCATCAGCGACATCACATTTTTGCCTTACAGATATTAGTATGCTATGGGATAGGATGTATGCCATTAAGCTTAAGTGCATGGTTGATCATTTCCAAAGAAATACCTGTACAACAAAGTTGCCTTTTGATCATTCTGGAAGTGTACAATACATACCTGTAACATAATGCCTATTGTTTATAAGAGGTGTGTCTTTCAGACCTCTGCCTTTGGAGGTTGCAATAAATTTGCATATCAGACTTTGAAAGTAAGACTTGTGGGTTACATGTACATGTACATTGTACAATATTAGCAACAGGCATGCCACTGGTTTGTAATAGGCTTTAGAAAGCTTTAAAGGGGATTTCAGGAAATCCATATGACACTGTATCTTAGTACCCAATCTCACAGGCAATTACTTGGAAAAGTCTCTAAATAAAAAAGGGCAAATCCGAGAACCAATAATTGATTGCATTGGTGTGGCCTGACATTGTCAAATATGAGTGTATATGGGAGGTTACTGGGTGAAAGGCCAACATTCTGGTTCCATTGTCATAGTTACCTCTTCCACCTGTTACAGCGATATACCTTTGGGCCACATCATTGTAATATCCTGGTTGTCGGATCTCAAATAAGTATTGCCAACAACTATTGAAAACAACTATTGAAAACAAAGAACCTAAGCCTTTTGGAACACACAGTTTTAGGGAGTGTTAGGAGACTTCTCTAGCCCTCTATTTTGTATATCTTTATAGTAGTCATCTTGCAGAAATTTTACTTTAGAAGGGAGACTTACGTATGACATTGACAGTAAACATGTACGTAAACATACTTACCTGTCAGGAACTTCTGAAAAATCAAAATCATCTGGACAGGTGGTTTGTTTATATTATCGGTATATCTGTTTATCAAACTGTTTCAAGGATGCTTGAAACCTTTTTTTATATTTGTTTAAAAGCTATAGACTGATTATGTAGCTATCAGTTATTATTTACAGTCAAAACTGCCCTTTGAATCTGGAAGTTGTATACAGCTAATAAATACTAGTACATGTATTATGTAGCATACAATTGGAGCTCAATTCTGTATCTTTCTATGACCATGCAATATTTCTGTGCCTGGTCCTTACCTTGTCCCGTGGCCTAGTTAGGTTTCTATGCGTCCCAGCTGTTGCCTGTCATAACATTGGAACAGCAGAATTTAAAGCAAAAACAATAGGAATGCAAGTTTTCTGATTCAGAATATGATAAGAACAGAAAAGGCATTGCTGTAATGAACCAAAGTAAGATTTTGAGAAACTGTGAGAGTGTATATTATCCCCAATTTTCTTCTAGAAAATACATGTCATAAAACATTGTAAGTTGCTAGATTTATAAATTAAAGAAGAAAAAAAGAAAATTACATTTCAGGTTCTTTAAGAGTCTACACTGAACCTTATATGATAAGATTGAGATTTACCACATTTGTGGAAAGGTTGACATAACAGGTGACTATCACCTTTTCAACCTACATGTATAGACCAGACTGTAAGGTTTGAGCCACTCACACTGGGAAGGACCCTTACTCTTTTTCATTAAGTGTGGCGGGTTCTCCAACATACTTGACGAATAGCTCCCCTCAAACATGGACCTCCAGCTTTACATCCCATTCAAGAAGACATCCCTAACTGAAGCTCCATAATACTCATTTATACCTGAGTCAAGTTAGGACATACATGTTATGAAGAGTTTCTTTCCCAAGGGCACAACACTGCTGATACAAACTTTTGAACTCAGAACTTTCAGATTCTAGGTCAAAGACCTTAACCACAAGTCCACCTTGCTTACTAGAGAGTAAGTGTGTTATGATAAAGCAAAACGTAGGGCACAGATAGTAGCATTTGACACAAAGCTTACATGCGCAGGTAACAGAACTCACTTGTGATTGTGGCTGCAGAGCTCACCTTTCTGTGGCCAGCGGCTACTGACACGACTTGGCAAAGCTCCAGCCTGGTACTGCCTTACACCACTACTGTAGTTCTCCTAAACTTCTCCTACCAAAAATGCAACTTTTTTCATGCAAATTTAGGTAAAATTGACAAACTGCATTGCAAGTAAAGTATGGTGGAAAGAAATTGACTCTATAGTTGTAGAAACCACACTGTACACTTTGCAAGGTTTTTGATGTCCGCAAAAATTATAGCACTTACAGTAACAGGCTATAACTCAGAAATCCTCTTACCTGCATACAATCAAGCTGATACATAATGGGGGCAAGTCGGTAACAAATCTTCCTGGCTTACATGCTCAAATGCAGCAAGACCTCCAGGAAATAAACTTGTGGTTTGGTATTGCGTACGTGAAGTCTTGGCACAACAAAAGGACAGTAACTTTCGTAAAGTTGTATCACACAAATAAACAAACAAACAAGTGGATACAATTAGTACAAACAACTACTACTATTTTCATAGATAAAATCAACATGTTGAATATTAAGTATCATTTTCAAGGCCTAAACATTCTTTGAAGTAATATACTGCTGCCTAGCCTGCTAACTTAAAACTTGTGTGTGGAGAAGTTTTTGCCCTGATATTTCCTGTTGTTTTGAATAGTGTGCTGGAATCAGTGTTCTAGCCAACCTGAAATTTAACATTGATTCATGACTTTTTGTTGACAATTCTAGCTGGGTCAGGGCATGGTCCCCTGGGAAAATGTTGAAATCTAGACCATCTGAAATGCTATTGCCTGCATTTTAGGGGCAAATTTTTGCTGGTAGACTAAGCTTTAATGTATTCAATGACATTTCTTTCCATATCTTTACAGACTGATTTTTGTCTGTCAAAGATGACAAATTGAGCAAAATTTTTGTCCGTGAGGAGCGTAGTGTTGTCAGGATTTTTTGCTATGTGTACTTCCTTAAGTTACTTTGAGGAAGTGAAACCATCTTTTACATTGTACCTCCTCCCCCCATTTGGAAGTGATTTCTAATCTACATGTAAAGCATCCGTGTGCTTTAAATAACTCATATGCCTTCAAGGAACAAAAATCCTCAGCCTTTTTTCCTGCCAACGTGGAATAATGAGAAATGACAGTTTTTGCCAATTTTACACTTTGCCTATTAAAAGTCAACACAATTTGCATCTCTTTCGTTTGAAGGAGTAACGTTAAGTAATCGTAAACATTCTATAATTGGATTCTTGGGATTTTCTTATACACAACCAGTGCTTCTCTTACCTTGCTTACGTTTTCATGTCTATCAGACACCTTCTTCAGGGCTTCTGACTGGAGTACATGTGCTGCTTCTTGCCACCATACATACATGTAGCCAAAGGAGGTGACGCTTTTGCGGCGAGAACACAATGATTCCCAAACATGGCTAGTGTCCCAAACATGGCTAGCATTAGCAACTTATTCTAGGGTCGGTCAGGAAACAGGAAACAGAACATTTTTTCATAGGCCTTAGTAGTAAAAGTTGACTGCAATTTCCAACACAAAAAATTTAGACTCGCAACCAACTCCTTTGGTCTTTGTCAAGGAATGAGCAGCTTTTTACAGTTTTATTAAGCTTGATTCAGAATGACTTCTATCAACACAGATGAACTTTCAAGCTAACCATTTGTTTGCTTGTTTGTTTCAGTGCCGAGACTTAGTACAGGCTGGTGCAAGCGTGGGTGGTACTGTGAACGAGGTGGTAGCAGCGTGTGACATCACCTTTGGCTGTGTGGCCGACCCTAATGCTGTCAGAGATGTAAGTCATACCAATCGATCAATTAATCAATCAATCAACCAATCAATCAGTCAGCCCTTTGCAGTGTCCACTTGCTAGCTGGGTGTCCGTACATGTGGCTATTATATCTGGTTATGGGTTCACCACACCACGAAGTGGTGGTGAACCCATATTGCTTTTTCTGATGTTTCTTCTCCTTCTTCTTCTTCTCCTGCCACTTCTTTACATTGATTCAACTCCTTCATTTTTGGGCGAAATTACCTGTAATTTCGTATAGAGGTAGAGTGGGTAAATACCCTTAGGCGTTTTTTAAATTTTTTTGATACAAGCTTTTACAATCGTTTTATTTGCTTTTTAGTGGTCCCCATAGGAAAGTACTGTTGGGGCGTATGCGCGTGACGTAATAAGAAAGGAATTCGGGGGAAGGCCCAAATATGGGCATACAAGCAGGTGGGGTCATGTTTGCAGATGTGGCTGTTGATTGGCTGTTGGCTAATTAATTAATTTACTACCATTTTCACGTACAATAGGGGGATTACCAGCGCGGCTGGTCAACGCGGTCTCGGCCGTGGGCCATCGGCTGGTCCACGCGGTCTCGGCCGTGGGCCATTACTATTTGATACTCTGATATTGGATACCGATTCGTGTGATTCCTATAAACATTTCACCTAACTACGAACTAGTTGGAAGAATTATAGCTGCATGGATGCCTGTATATGATTTTAACAAACACTGAAAATCTGACGCAAAAACTGGCAGATATTTTGCTCTTCTCTGTTGGAACAACGCAAGCGGGAGGTCAATGACCTGCGCCCCGCGAGTACTGTAAACAACGGTACGTAATGTGTATCGTCGGCGCACG